AGTYCCTTTGTGATCAAATGATTTGAACAGCAATTCGATGGTCAGGTCTGAGTTGTTTACAATACTTTTCATAAGAGGCCCCGTCGAGACGCCAGTACTGTTGAACATCAATGCATATATCCCACCAGATGGTCTGCCTAATTCCTTATAATAGCCATGTTGCAATACAAATAAGCTATCAGCTTCGTTAGACTTAAACTTGTTTGGTAAAACATTATCAATCTGTCTCTGTGTTGCATTGTCTATTGGTATATATCCCAGGTCATTGTTAGCATTGTTATCACAAGACCCCAGAAGACCGATTGACTTAAAACAGTATTGGCTCTTTACGTCTGCTTTGAAGCTCAGGTAACGGCCATCAACACGTATGTGAATGATGACGTTGTCATTCCACGCAATAACGTAGCGATCACGTGACTCAACCCAAAATCGTATATCAAGATGGACAGGTCCCAGACGAGTAGCTAGACCAGTAATTGGAGTGAATGTTTTGTTCACCCATAGGRTAGGAAGACCTCCTGTCACATATGGACCATGGAATGTTATTACAGTGTTTATAACTTTAAGAGCAATAGCGTTGATATTGATTGAATGAAGAGCTGTCGGAACTTGTCGTACTTGCAAAATCAAGGAATGTTGTGTCGAATAAATCACATAAAATTCACCAATAGCTAAAAAGGTATAACTGACACCGTCAAACGTAACATACCGTCCACTGTACGACACAGCAAATGAAACATGAAGAGAAGTCTTGATTGATACGACGGCAAGAGAACAGTCTTGTCCTTTCCACCCGTTCGAGCACGTTGCACAGTCCACACCCTTCCAACTTACATCACATGTACATTGTCCAGATTGTGCATTGCATTGTCCATGATTGTAACACGGCGATATAGCTCCACCAGGACAGACTTTAGAGCAGTCATTTCCCCAGTAACCAACATGACAAATACAATTATTTGGTAATACTTTGATCCCATTCTCACATTTCTGATCACACTGTGAACCATACCAAATTGGAAAATCCTTTCCTGGAAATTTGTTGCAGAGTGGTTTTGCAGGCCAAGTATTTAAAGATAATACAGTTTGGCAGTAGTCAGAAAATGCGATGACTACTTCCATAGACGAGTTTATATGTCCTGAAGATGCTATTCGCTGAAGACAAGATCGATAGTAGTAAGTTAACAAACCTTCCCCAAGTTTACCACAGGCTKTGAAAAGCGGTCCAGTGAAAAACAAAACTTTGCAAAACTTTTCAGAATCGTTCTTGAGTGATTCATTAGCAAAGTTATATGTCGGTCCAGCTGGGAAGAACGGTTCTTTTAGTATAACATCCGAGAACTTCCACGCTGGAACTATCCAAGGTGTGGTCGTCATTTTGAATTTGACCCCACCAAAGGTATCCGTGGAAATCCCTCCCTCACCTTCATTAAATCTCCAAGCGTGCGCAAGAGTACCTGTTTCTACTAAAACTTCTCGTTTGTATATCTGTTGAATAATAGCAGGGTGGAAGTAACGCGTCCAAATACGGAATTGATCTATAAAGCCAATGCTGATTATTGGTGGTGATGAAGGGGCTCCTACCAATGGAGGGAACCATCCAAATAATGCCAAATACCCTCCAGCTTCCAAAAGATTTATATTCAGGGAGATATCCAGATCTATTCGCTGCACGATACCATCTGTCAAAAAGTAATACACCTGAAGTTTGCTAATAGATCGTTGRTATACCAAGCTCAGYTGTGTCCATGTATTAAGAGCTACAGTGATGTTAGTCTTGTATATGTGCTTGCAATAGTGTATGCTAAGTGTTCCTTCAATGCTTGTCAAGTAAAATGTTTCTTCTTTACCGTACGAGAATATTAGTCCATGTCGTTGTATATTAATCATCAGGTCAATGGTAATATCGTTGGATAACAATGCGGTATAGATGACTGTTGTTGTTACTAACGCAGTTCCGTTAAAGAAAACCGCATAACCAGCCGTGGCACCTCGATATTCTGTAATTTCKTTGTACGAATAAACAAAAAGACTCTCACACTCGAGAATTTTAACTCTAGCTGACAGTTCTTTGATTTTGGCTGTACTAGCATTCTTTTTGCCACTCGTATTTTGATTTTGGATGTGTTCGGTTTTGTTGTGCATGTCTTCTGAACAGTTTGTCGGTGGATTGTATGACTCMAGAAGATCAATAATATCTTTATTACAGGCCCCAAGAAGTCCATATGAGCCATTGCAGAGTTTGTCCGAAGCCTTTACTCTAAGGTTTAAGTAACGTCCTTCAACCCGAATGTAGACCGTCACCTCGTGGTGTTTGAACTCATATAGTCCGACCGAAACCCTCACAAAGGTAAAACCATGTACACCAATCGAGGGAGGGTTGATGTCAATGTCTATAACAGTACCATTAAGCCACAAAACAAGACTGCCTTCGGATGAATATGGTCCATGGATAACCAAAGTGTGTGTTGAGATCCGAATAGCTATGGCATTGATACAAGAAGCTTGTTGAAAGCATGATACTAAGCGAGCTTGCACATAGATTGAAAGTTCASATGAAAAGATTAAGTAATACTCGCCAGTAATGTGTAGCACAAAACTCAAGCCATTGAATATACTGAAATGCCCACGGATGGATACAGCACTCACACTAACTACTAAACCATTGTGAATTGGGTCAGTTACAGCCAAAGAGCAGTCACTTCCACTCCAKCCGTCTGAACAAGAGCTGCAATTAACATCCCCGGCCCAGTTAATATCACACGTGCACATCCCAGAGAGGTCACACGATCCATGCTTGTTACAGATGTTTAGTGCRCCGCCTGGACAAACCATAGAGCAGTTGATACCATAATAGCCWTTATGACAGACACAGATATCTTGACTTARATTTGAAGGTTTTCCGTAAATACATRRAGTAGAGCAGTTGTCGCCAATCCAATTCGGGAAGTCCATACCTGGGAAATCATTACACAGCGRTCGCGCTGGCCAGAATGACAGCTTGAGTGTTAATTGACAGTAATCCGATAAGGCCACGATTGTWGTCATTGAATGCGTCATCTGGCCTGATAATGAGAAATGATAAAACRATCGTAAAACCAACCRTGTATTATCATTTGGGTATGGCGTAARTATARAATGATCGAATGGAAAGAGAAATGGTAATATTGAATAAAACACATAAAAAAGGATTTTTAAAAYRYKAACGTTTCCTTACCTGACGAGATGACTTTCGTAAGGCAAGCCTGTAAGTAGAACTCCAGGGTTACGTTTCCAAGTCTTGAGCACGCGTTATACAAGGGACCCGTYAGTATAAGTTGTGTACAGATACGAGACGCCAACAGTCGTATTGTTTCATTGTTATTATTAGGATTCACGGTTGGAACGTAGYGAATAGGAGCGTTAGAGAACAACCACGATGGAGRTCTCATTGGGTAYTTTGGGAAGAAGAAATGGTTTTGTGCMACAAGGTCTTTTGTCATGTAACCTTTTCCTTCGTTAAACTTCCACAAACCAGTRAGCGTCGACATATCRACTTGYACATTAACTGAAAAGCTTTGTGATATCGCAGCGTAGTCTAGAGYCCTCTTCCATACTCTCATTTCATCAACAATTCCTMTAAAMACATGGCTTGTTCGAGTGCTTCTGACCCCAGACGAGGGCTGCCAAAGTCCAACCGCTAGAGTACCACCATCGACGAAAGGATCAATCTTCACAACGAACGACTTTCCTTGAGTGATRCCAGCTGATGATGTAATATARATTGACAGCTGAAGGCTTTTTCGAATGAATACTACAGATATTAAGTTCCACTTGTTCACTTCAGTTGGAATTCCTGTGTCATATACTTCATTGCCGATTCCTGCTTTGACGGTAACGTGGTTGCTAACGTAAAACGTTAGTCTCGAAGCATAAGAGATAATAACACCACCACAGATGTGAGGYTCGCACGAGTGAATTAGTAGCTGAATGGTCATGGAACCATGAGTGAACACACCTTAAAATACACAAATAGCAAACAAAATATTAATAAATCCCAATTTACCTTGTACAGATCTTTATCTCAGAACTCATTTAAACAGTGCATTACCTGTTATCCTCTGAGATACTGCRGCAGAGAATCTAAAAGAGAGACAATACAATCCACCATAAACAATCCTTGTCTCTTTGTGGACGCTTTCTTCAATGACAATATTAGAGTCACTCGGTTTAACAGAGATGTGAGTCTTGATGTAATYYCCAATAGAAACACCTGTTCCGTTGCTCTTTCCAACATTTCCTAGCACYGTYCCWGAAGAATRTCTATCYGGATCGCACGATCCGCAAAGTCCTTTAAAGRTGGAACAGTAACTGCTRTCAGTCGTGGCCTCGATGTCAAGATAGCGATCAAACATTGTCGTGTATACTGATAGATGTCCTTGAATGGTAACCAAGAGCCTTTTGAGTGTTAGCATTGTGAGAGAAATGCCTTTCTTAGCAATGTTTTTAAGAGTCTGTTTRTCAAGAGATACGTTTTCCCCATTGATGTATATAAGGACGTTTTCTTCGGAATTGTATGGAGCGTGTACGCTCACGTTCGTTCCTTCAAAATRCAAAGCGAACGCGTTTAAGCAAACATACCCGTTATTGCAGGGTACCTGACGAACTTGAAGCTCCAAAGCAGAGGACGAAATCATAATAAACTCYCCTACATTTGAAAAGCTATAAAGTGCACCGTCAAAACCTATTACCCTTCCGTTCTCTATGATCTGGCACACTTTAGTGRCATTCTGTTGTCCAGTTGCATTRCGCTCAGGAGAAACGGCAATGTCGCACTTATCTCCAATATAGCTCGGTGTGCATGAAGAGCAAAGATCATCTCCCTTCCAATTTTGATAGCATTCACACTTTCCTGTTTCAAWATTGCACTGTCCATTGCCGCTACAAGGGTTTGCTGCACCCCCAGGGCACTCTTTGGTACAGTTCSTGTCCCAGTATCCATAATCACACTGACATCTGTTTGATACATACTGACCATATACACATTTCGTAGTGCAGTTTTTACCAACCCAATTGTCATAGCGCCCACTAGGATAAACACTGCAGAGGTTTTGCCCTGGTAACCTAGAGAGATTGAGTGCTGCTTGACATTCAAAGCCCATTTGCAGTGTGGATTGTTTAGCACTATCTAACGAGCTTGTCGCTGCAATATCCATCATACATGCTTCGTAGTAAAAGTCCTCGCCAACAGTGGCATTTCCGCATTGCTCACTGAATGGTCCTTTTAAGAATATATTCTGACATAACTCTTTAGCAGCTTGTTGTAGTGATTTGTTAGGGAAAAAGGCTTCTATAGTATTCGTTAGCGATATGTTAAGATCTGAAGGCACCCATGAAGGACTGATCCAAGGTGGCAGTGGAAGAGAAATGCTAATTGAACCGACAGAAGGCGTGACAGTATATCCTCGACCATCGTTGAAGCTCCACCACAGGGCAAGACCTGGAGATGTTACTTTAACACTGCCTCGCCAAAGTTGTTGTATTGTAATACCGTCAAGTCTTTTGTTCCATATCTGAAGCTCGTCCAGCCATCCAACAAATCCTGGTATGTTCACTACGACGTCCGTTACTGTCCATATTGCTATCCCTACTGTAGAACCTGGCAAAAATGCTCCTAATCCAATATTGAGAACTGTTCGTCTGATGATTCCCGTCGATGTTATTCTATAGAATTGCAGTAATCCCGAATCACGTCTGTAGACTATAGATATTTGGTTCCATTTTAGAGTTTCAGCTACAAGCAAAGTATTGAAAATTAAGCCTCCGTAACGTACTAATAATGTCCCATTCTTAACGGTAACAGCAAATGTTGAATTAGATGCAAATGAGATAATGATTCTTTCTTGATGACCCGAATAGTTCACCTTCACATAAAACTGGATGGATACAAATTTTCCAATAAAGACGTTCACGAGAGGTGGGGAAACTAGTCCAGTTCCGTTGAACAATAAGCAGCTACCGGCACCAGTGATGATCTGCTTTTCCTTGACGATATTTAGTACATCCGTAAATCCACTATCATTAGCTGACACGATCCATTTTTGTACAAAGGTGTTCACTTTCACTTGGGTAAGTTTTGCTACATCGTACATTGTTGCTATTCCAGAAACGCTGCAGTTCGATGCTTGAGCAGTTCCTCCACACTGACCGAGAAGACCACAAGAATCAATACATGCCGATCTATCCATTGCAATGGAAATGTCAATGTGTGTTCCTCGGTGGTATATCACCATGCTGAAATTCTCAGGGCCCGCTACCACATAAGAATCGTGTGATTTTCTGTGGAAAGTAAATCCTAATGAGCCGAGTTTGATGAAAGCCTTTTTGTTTACTCGGATACCATTTGCCAAAACAACAACGTTACTTGTCGCTCCATAACCTGTGTGGAGAGTGACACTGCTGCCTCCACTGCGCACAAACACACATCGAGCACCACTATAGCCTCCTTGTCTGAGTTGTCTCACTTGGACACTGATTCCAAGTCTGTTTGAGGTAAAAGCTTCAAATTCTCCGGCTACAGAAACGTCCATTTTCAAGCCATCTAACGTTAAGTAATGACCCGAACCAGCTATTGTAGAAACAGCAATCCCAGGTTTTTGAGGTCCGATCACGATGGAACAGTCGAGTCCGTGATAGGTGGATGTGCAACGACTACAATCGTAAATTCCCCTCCAACGAAAGTCACAAGTGCAAGCTCCAGTTAAGGAAGAGCATTCTCCATGTCCGTGACACTGATTGAATGGTCCACCTGGACAAAAACTATCGCAGTTTGTACCCCATACTGACTTATCGCATACACATTTCATGTTAGAAYCAAGAGATCTATAACCATAGACACACGAATGAGCACAGTCGTCTCCAATCCATTCTGATAAACGAGAGTTCTTAAAGATGGCATTGTTACACATTTGTCGCGCTGGCCAATCGGTAAGATTCAGTGATAATTCGCAGGCATCTGCAAAAGCAACGACTACTTCAATGCCCACACCAACTGAATCATAATCTGATATGATTTGCAGGCACGATCGATAGAAGAAGTCAGTGCCTCCCTGACCTAATCCAGCACAATTATTTCCAAGAGGAGATTTCAGGATGTAAGAACTGCACCACTGTTGTGTTTCAGCTGAGACAAYTGWTGGATATGATACTTGTAGTAACACCACAGGGGCTGTGCTGTACACCCAGATAGGTGCATTGGTCACATCTGTGATATACAAGTTGATTGAAGATTGAATGTCATACACCATTGTCCCTTCTCCTTCATTGAACTTCCATAGAATCGCTAAGTATGGTACTCTTGGTTGTACATTTGCGGTCCAACTAGCTTTGACATCAGACAAACTAAAATATCTATTCCATACACGAACTTCGTCAACGTAACCTTCCAAACCTTTCAAAGAGCCGACATCATAATCGGAATACCCGGGTACCCATTGCCCGATGGAGATGCTTCCTTGTGATGCATACAGTCCCTTCTTTATMGTTTTTGTAAGATGAGTAATACTGCCAACGGAATTGACAAAGTACATCGTTAGAAGCCCCGTTGGCTTGTAATATACAATRGTGGCTTGATTCCATTTTCCCAAGTCTGGCGTTATTTGTGTGTCCCAGACGCTACTTCCTTGACGCACTTTCATAGTTTTCTCAATGAATACAGTCAACGCTGWAGAATGACTGTAGCAGTAAAGAACCCCTGCAACAGTTTTATCGGATTTAAAAACAATTTCCACAGTTACATGTGAACCTTTAAAGACATCCGGCAAAATATCCGTTTCTATACCAACACCTTGGAATTTTAATCCATATTCAGCACCCGTTGGTAAAGCACTTTCTTCATAAACGCCATAATTGTATATACTCGTAAACAAGCTACTATCAGGCTCGACATTCCATTTGGTTTGTAAGGTTTCTCCGGGTTGTAAAGAGAGGTCGTTGGATATGTCACCGTCGCAGTTACCGCAAGCGGCTCTGGTGCTCTGGCACAGATTATCTAATACACGACCAGAGATTGAAATACCAGTCCCTGTCAATCTGATTTTAATGAAAATCTTCCTTGGTTTACTCAAAAGTGTATAGGTTGTTGATGAGCTGTATTCCAGGAAAGTGTCATCTGTAAATGCAATTCGCTTTTTGGTAAACTTGACAGTCTTGTCATTAAGCCAAACTGTCGCTTCACCTTGTTTTGTGTAAGGGGCATGTAAGACCATTCTCCAATCGTCTCTAAAAGAAAACGCGACCGCATTGATACACCGTGATTTGCCGTTAGAACAAGATATTTGCCTTAWCTGCGCCTTGAATTGGACGTTGTTTATCAACCAGTATTCACCAGTGCTATAGAAAGTGAAATGTGCGCCATCAAAGCTTGAAAAATGYCCACCAGAGAACACATTGCAAGATGGAATCTTTTTACGAGATACTGCTACCGAACATCCTGGACCAACCCATCCAATGGTACAACTACTGCAGTCACTCTTCCCTTGCCAGTTAAGATCGCATGTGCAAGTGCCTTTCAACGAATCGCATTTCCCGTGTCCGCTACAAGGATTTAGAGAGCCGCCTGGACATTCCCTAGTACAGTTCTTTCCCCAGTATCCTCTATTACAAACACACGAGCTACTATTATTGGTATCTGCCTCACCAAAAACACATGGTATATCACAGTTTGGTCCAATCCAGTTAACGCTGTAAGTTACCTGATGGCACAGATGCCGCAGTAAGGAGACTTTTACGCCAAGGACGGCGTAACAGTATTGCGCATACAGTGATACGGACACGTAAGCTTGGCTTACATTAYGTGCAACGTTCACGTCTTTGAGGCACGATTGATAGTARAATTGACGGAAGGGTACATTACAGTGGGCTATAATAACAGGATCGAAAATCAGTTGCTTRCAAAKAGATATAGCTTGCATTTCCAATGTCTTGTTAAAAARTACAACATTCGGCCCAGTGTCCATTGTTGGAGCAATAGGAGCTGCATAGGAGAATCTCCAGGACGGTCGACGGTCGAGTACCTCTGGTAGTGTAATATAATTATTTGCGTCTATTTCACTTCCAACAGTTGTTCCTTCTCCATCGTCAAAAAGCCATACCGATGACAATCCTGCAGTTTTTGTCCTAAGAATTAAATAAAAACTTTGACGAACTTCCACTGGGTTGAGGTGAGTATTCCACAGCCTAAGGCTATCCAGACTACCGACAAATGGAAGAACAGGAATCCCGGTTATATGAGCATTGGTGATAAACCACTTTCCAAGCCAGACTTTTCCTCCGGCATCAAAATGATTGTAACCAATGAAAAACTTTCTTGTGATGAGTGCATCAGTTGCGTTCATGTGGTGATAAGTCAATACTCCTGAAAAAAATAAACGATAACAAAGGAAATTAGGAAATTACTGAAAGTATTTCTAAAGACTTATCTTAAAATGTTGTCAAATATTTGAATCACACACCTGCTATCCGTTGATAARYAATTGTAACCTGATACCATGAGTTCATTTGCAAAGCTTCGCCAACGTCATATGCATTTGCTCCAATGTAAACTTTAACTGTTGCATCATTCACTACGGCAACTGTTCTGCTTGTAGCATAAGAAACCATAGTGCCACCTACTTTGCTGATCTTTACAAAGAACTGAAGTGTGAGATCGGAAGTCAAGTTGAAGGTAGTGCTCATTGAGTTTGCCACAGAACCGTTGAACAACAAGCAGTAACCTAATGCATTTATCTTCCTTCTCTCGTAGTAAGGAGGAACGTTATACACAAACATGGATTGTGATGGTTTCACGCTCCATCTTGAAGATAACAACTGAGCGAGAGCAGCGTAAGTAATATTTTTATCCCAAAGTACAGTATCATTTACTCCTTTGAAGTCATTAAAAACGTTACCGTCACACGAGCAACATAACCCACTTTCAACTCGACAAATATTCGCCGCGGATATAACCTCGAATGACAGGCACTTCTTCCATGTTGTAACACGCACTAGGGTAAGGCTGGCTGATGTTTCATTATTTCTGATTTCATATGTTCGGGGAGTTCTTTTACGGTAAGAAAATGCATTATTGAATTGAGCGCTTGTAGCATTAGTAAGGTTGCCATTAATCCAAACAAATGGTATCCCTGTGCTGTTGAAACTAGCTCGAATGGTGACTGTATCTAATCCAGTTTTTACAGCTACAGATGTCATACAGACGGAATCATTACGATAGGGAATTTGGCGAACTTGAACTACGAGATTTGGTGTGTTTAAAACGTAGAATTCACCTGTGACTTCAAAGTTAAATCCAGCACCATCAAAGGTCTTATAGTGTCCTGAACCAAAGCCTTGACAATACGAGACATTCGTACTCGTAGTAGCAGCACTTACAGAGCAGTCTTTTCCAAACCAACCGTTCTCACACTTTGTGCATTCATTTGATGCATTAGCAGTTAGTGGACAGTTACATTTCCCAGTATCAGGCTCACAAGTTGCGAGTCCATTACAAGGAGTCTTGAACCCCCCTGGGCATTCTCTGGTGCAGTTTTCGCCATAAAAACCGTAATTGCATCTACACTTATTACTTGWCATGGACTTTCGCCTTCCATATTTGCAAAACATTTGGCAGTTGGTACCTACCCATTCAGGAAAGTTATTTGGAGTCACAGCATTGCAAAGCTTTTTAGCGTACCAAGGCTTCGATGGGTTTAAGATATGACCGAAATCAGAAGCACAGAGTGAGATCCAGTAAGCACTTTCAATGTCTCCAGTTCTCGAAACAGTAAAAATACAGGCACTATAATAGAACGACAASAGACTTGCATTCAGGTTAGGATATGATACTTTAAGGTCCGAATCAAGAATAACTTCCTTGCATTTCTTCTGTACAGCGGTCAAAGGTATCATCATTTCAAATCGCARACTATAGGCTTTCCGAATATCAACAGAGAAGGGGTGAATTGGAGCAGTAGAATATACCCATGTCGGGGGGTGCCAGATGGACGAAGGTATTGTTATGTGTGCCTTCGATACACTATCTTTAGCGACGGATCCTTGTCCTTCGTTGAACTTCCATAAACTTGCAAGGTCTGTTGAATACCTATTATTGAGATTTATCTTCCAGTGTGATATCACGGCTCCTGGATCGAGTTTTTTGTTCCAGATTCGCAGTTCATCCAAAACACCTATAAATCCTTGTGTAGGACCATGGCCATGCCCCAACGGTGAAGGCCTCCAGTAACCCAAAGCTAAAACACCGCCCGGTTCAAACACATTTACCTCACTGGAAATAGGAAAATTACGGCTACTGACTACACCGCCTTCATTGATGAGATAAAACTGAAGGATTTTATTTGCTTTGGACCAGACGAGTGTTATATGAACCCACTTATTTGTATGTATGGTCACCAGAGTATCAAGAACTGTCTTACCGTAGTGCAGTTGGACATTTCCAGAGTTTAACGTCAAAGCAAATGTCTTCGTAGTCGTGTAGGAAATCACTGTTCCAGACGTACTAATACGCTTCATCATAAACTCAATAGTGATATCAGATGATGTTATACTGTACATTTCACTTGTCTGTACTCCGGTGTTGTTGAAAAACAGGGCATACCCACCACCATCAAGKTCTCGTTTCTCTTGATATTTGTTAGTGTCATAGATGAATAAGCTATTGGCTATGGCTACTTTCCATGATGATCCAAAGACTTCGTGGATATAGGCTTCGCCGGGAATGTTGTTACTGAATGCTTTCTTTAGGAATTGAGTCCTCGTAGAAAAGTCGTCTGATAGCTTTCCGTTACAGCTCCCCCAAAGTCCTCCAGCAGACTCACAATACGTTTTGTTTTTAGCTTCGATATGTGCGTCTAGATAGCGATCATACAAACGCACCTCTAAACGAACCCCACGAAAMGTTTCAAGGATAAACTTCAGAGATGATACACGACGCAAAACGAAACCATCCGACGAGCGACCGACTCTCTGTTCCAAAGTATAAGTTTGTTTTCCATTAACATAAACTGATGGCTCTCCACTGCTTGTAAATCGTCCATGAATCACAATAGTGCTATCACCAACCTTTGCTGCAATTGAGTTGAAACATGAGCTTGCATCAAAACATGTCACCATTCTGCCTTGTACTTCAAACCTAGCAGCTCGTGATGCTAAGAGATGGTATTCCCCGACACCAAGGAAACGATACGCAGCCCCGTCAAAGGTAAGAAAATTGCTAGGCCCAAATGCCCCAGCTGTTTGATGATTTGGTATTTGTTGAATGATGTTGCATTCACTACCGAGCCAGCCGAAAGTACATGACGCACAGGACGCATCACCCTGCCAGTTAACATCACAGAGGCAATTTCCTGTTGTTGAGTCGCAAACTCCATGTCGGTTACAAGGTGCTCCAAACTTACCAGGACATTTTTGATGGCATGATTCACCCCAGAACCCATTTTTGCAGACACACTTTTCGTACTTGCTTGAATTCTACAAAGAAACAATTAAAGAGTCATTATATATAGAGTTATTATATATGGATAGATCGGTTTAAAAGTCAATAAATTGTTTTTCGGTCAAATAAATCATTTAAAGAAATCGATGTCAAACTTATCTTAAAGGATAATGGGCAATCACGGTAAATTAATAATATGTAATAAAAAACTCACGTTAACTGAGGGAACACTTCCACACGACAACCTATCCAACATTGATGCATCTACTTGTGAAGTGTAACGTTGGTTAGACAAAGGATAAGCAAGTACCCATACTATCGGTATATCATTTCTAAGTCTGTGAACAAACATAAAATTTCATCAAATTCTTTGCGAACCAAACACAAAGAAAGTCAAGAGTATTAGATTGAAACTAGCGTTAAAYAAGTGTGAGCTGCATCGTTGTTTCTAAAGAAAAGTCGTGAAATAAGATAAAAAGTACGAGAAGTTTCTTCATGGAAGTTCCTTCACGTACTTTTTACGATGTAAACTTTATCTTATTTCTAAACTATAATAGCAGATRCTAATTAACGTGTAACCCAATAATAGCTGTAATCCATCATTATATACCTGACTTCAAAAACCCTTTCATACTTTCCAGGCTCAAACTTGGTTGGTTGTCCAAGGTTTTCAGAAACTAAAGGAACCAAATTTCCCGAAACGTGTTCGTTCGCTTTACGTACAAATCCAGCTTGTCCACCAGGGTCGAGTACAAGATTGGGACGAGAGAAACGATTGTCTGCTCCAACTGATAGATATACGTTGTGTGTGTTCTTGTTTTCGTAACCGAACCTGGCATAAATGGCTCCACTCTTTACTTGATATAGACAGGTAAGTACTGGTTTAACCGGTTTGTTTCCCCACAAACCGTCACGCACGTCACGGTAGTCAGCATTGGCCTTAACACACTTGATGTTACAATTCTCACCAACATGTGTTTTATCACAAACTTTACAGTCGGGTAAGGCCCACCCATTTATACACTGCTCACATGTTGAACCATTCCAATGACCATTTACACTATCGTTGTAACATCCACAAATGTCTCCGTTAGGAACAGTCGCCATACCATGAACACAGTAAACACTGCAACTGTCTTTCCATCCAATATAGTTACTAACACAACGCTCGCACTCAGAGCCAGTAAAACGTGTTTGACATTTCTCACAAGATGATCCCATAAATCCATGACGACATACACACTTTGGTACGTTCTTCACTAGAGTACAATTTCCTCTATTGCTACACATAGGAGAACCTGGGCAAACGAGCTTACTACAGTCCAATCCATCAAAACCTTGATTACAAAGACATATTGGTGTTAGCGCTCCTTGCTCTTTTAAGCAAACCCCATGACCGCTACAATCAGGCTCACCAGGACAATCTATAGATTGGCACAAGTCTCCTTTCCTTCCAGTTTTGCAAACACACTTTGAATTATTGCATGTTCCATGTCCTGAACACTCCAAGTCGCATGCAAGCCCTCGATAACATGGACTGCATTTACATATGGCGCTGTTAGGTGGGTCTTCTTCACCATGAATACAAGGAAGCTCACAAGCAGACCCCATGGTATTATTTGTACAGTTGACACATCGTGGAGGGTCGACCGATCCATCACATTTACCCTTGCTGTTACAATCAGGTGTTCCAGGGCAATCAGGGATGTTACAACCTTTACCTTTCCATCCGTTGAAGCAATTACAGGTCTGTAAAACGCTAAGACAGACACCGTGACCACTGCAATCAATGCCATCGCCAGGACACCCAACCGTTTCACACTTGTCTCCCCGGTACCCACTATCACACTGGCATTTATCTTTGACACATTTTCCATTAGAGCTACATTCTTTATTGCAGTAGACACCGGTATGACAACTGTCACACTTACATTCCTTGCCTTTTTGTGTACTTATCACTGTTCCATTATAACACGGGGTACCACAATCATTCCCAAAATATCCCGGATCACATGACACGCAAACAGGTGGATTGTAGTTGACTCCATCACACACGCCATGTCCGTTACAGTTTCCACCTCCGGCACATCTTGGAATTTCACATCCTTTCCCAGTCCATCCAGGATTGCAAAAGCACGTGCCATCGAATAAGCAGGAGCCATGTCCAGTACAATCTGTTTTCCATCCAGGACAACCTCGAAGATGACATAAATTTCCCCTCCATCCATCAAATCCACAGTCACAAGTATTATTGGTACAGTTACCACGACCAGAACATTCTTTGTTACAAGAGACGCCACTATAGCAAGCTTCACAGTTACAGATATATTCCCCTAGGCTATTTCTACTAGGCGTGCCTTTAACACAAGGRATATTGCACGCTGCTCCCATCCATCCAACATTACATGAGCAATAAGGAGTAGCTGCCCTATTGCACGTACCATGTCCACTACACTCTGGAGTACCAGGACAATTTGGGATTTCGCATCCTTTCCCACTCCATCCTACATTACAATCGCATACACCCGTTGCACTGTTACAAGTGCCATGCCCGGTGCAGTCGGTATCCCACCCAGGACATCCTTTCTTTTCGCATAAGCTTCCCCTCCATCCTTGAAATCCGCAGTTGCACGTTTGATTGACACAAGTTGCATTTTTAACCCCGGAGCAGAGACTATCACACTTGACTCCTGTAAAACATGGATTGCACTCACAAAGTCGAGCATCGGTTTTACTCTGTGTACCATTAATACATGGTGATTCACATGCTACACCAGCCCAGCCGGTTTGGCACCTTCCGCAATAAGGAATAACAGCTTTTATGCAATCTCCGCGGTTGTTACAATCGGGTTCTCCAGGACAGTCAGTCTTATTGCATCCAATGCCTGTAAACAAAACGACAAAATTAAAGTGTACTTTGAAAAACTAAATATTCGAAGAAAAAAAGAAAAAAATATTTGTTTGCTTACCCCTCCATCCAACGTCACAAATACAGCGTCCAGTTTCAGTCAGACATTGACCATGTCCAGAACAGTCTTTCTTATATCCAGGGCATCCCTTCTTTTCACAATGTGTCCCTCGCCATCCATCAAAACCACAGTCGCAGACGTCATTATCACAAATTGTACTGTGGTTTGAGCACAACGTATCACACGCTGGGCCATTATAACATGGCTTACACAGACAAATGTTGTTTTCTGTAGGATTACCTTGCTTACATTCTAGTTCACAAGCCACTCCCATCCAACCCTTGGAGCAATTACATGTTGGAGGACTGCCTTTATGTTTGGGCGGTRAACATGTTCCTTTTCCATTACAATCTGGAGTTCCTGGACAATCTGGTACGTCGCAAGMATTTCCTGTCCACCCTGAACTACATAGACATTTTAGTGTCGCTTTGTTACACGTTCCATGACCAGAACAATCTAAAGGCCATCCAGGACAACTTGGTATTGCACAAACATCACCTTTATATCCTTTGTCTTTGTCGCAAACACACTTACGGTCGACACACTTTCCATTGTTTGAACATTCAAGATTGCAACCAGTTCCAGAGAAACATGGGTCACAAAGACAACCCGAAGAATTTCCATAATTTAAGCCGTTCACACAYTGGATTTCACACGTTTCTCCAGCCCATTTAGGATAACAGTTGCACGTTCTAGGATTACTATTGCTGCAATCTCCATGCCCTGTACATGGAGGTGATCCAGGACAGTCAAGTTGATTACAAGCATCACCTGCCCATCCAGGATAGCAAATACACTTTTGATTTCTAAGGTCACAGTAGCCCTTTCCTTCACAATTACCATCTCGTCCAGGACATCCCGGAAGTTCACAGTTTTCACCAATATAGGCGTCGCCGATGTTTCGATCACATTTGCATTTATCGGAAACACATTCACCTTGACCAGAACACTCCATCTGGCATCCACTGCCAGTATAACACGGGTTACAGATGCATTTTCCGTCGACAGCACGGCCGTGAACACAAGGRTCATTGCATGCTGGACCCATCCACCCTTTKTCACAATTCGTGCACTCTGGTGTATCTCTATTAGTTGTATTACACAGTCCTCTACCAAAGCAGTTAGGAGTACCTGGACAGTCTGCTTGCTGACAACCAAGYCCACTCCAACCTATTCAAAACAATGACAAAAATATATGTATATTTATTGTCATACATTTTATTTACGTCACTACATGATGCTGAATTATAGTATATTTTTTTGGTTTTAATAGGATGCTTAGAATTTACCTGGGTCACAAATACATTTGTGTTTAGTACTGTCGCAATTTCCATGGCCAGAACAGTCTTTTCCTCCACTTCCTGGACATCCTGGCACTTCACATAATGAACCTCGCCAACCTTCAAGCGTATTGCAGATACATTTTTCCTTTTGACATTTACCATTACCAGTGCATTCTACGTTGCAGCCTTTACCAGTAAAGCAAGGATCGCAACTGCAGATACCACTATCCATTGGGACTTGATTGCCAAACACACAAAGGTTTTCGCAAGACGGTCCCATCCACCCTTTTGAACAATTAGAGCAGCGTGGGGGGTTGAACGATGYATTGCAGTAACCTAAGCCACAAACAAAATTCACGTTATGCATTCATGAAGAAACATGTAACAGCATTTTTTGAATTTGCGAGATTATAAGGAAGTTTTCAAAGTATATACAACTTAGTCAACAAACGTACGTATCATCTGACAAATGATGCATGTAATATTACCTCGATTTGCACAGTCTGGATTTCCAGGGCAATCAGCGATCTCGCATCCATCGCCTCTCCATCCACTTTGGCATTGACATTCGTGTGTAGCGCTATTGCATTCACCATGATCAGTGCAATCTGATCCAATACCAGGGCAGCCAGGATTATCACAATTGGTACCTCGCCATCCACGGTCACATTTACATATGAGATTCACTATTTTACCATGACCAGAACATTCACTATTACAACCAACACCTACCCAACCGGGCTCACAGATACAGCTCCCACTATCCATTGGAATTTGTTTACCATGCAAACAAGGATCTGCGCATGCTGGACCCATCCACCCAACAGTACAATTCATACATTTAGGAGGATCAGTGGTTGCATTGCACAGTCCACGTTCAGAACAATCGGGAGAACCAGGACAGTCGGGAATGTTACATCCTTCTCCAGTCCAACCCTCTCGACATGTGCAGGTATGTGTTGCACTGTTACAGTCACCATGACCAGAGCAATCGATGTTATCTCCAGGACAACCAGGATTGTCGCAAAGTGTTCCTCGCCAGCCAACTACACAAATACATGTACTGTTAATAATCTTGCCATGTTCAGAGCACTCGCTGTTACATCCAACTCCAGTATACCCAGGTTGACAAACACAGTTACCACTGTCCATCGGAACTTGTTGCCCAAACGTGCAAGGGTCGTTGCAAGCTGGACCCATCCATCCACTTCTACAGCGTTGACAAGTTGGAGGGTTTGTTGAGGCATTACAGTAACCACGATCAAAACAATCTGGTGCACCTGGGCAATCAGGTATATGACAACCAATACCCGTCCACCCTTYGTCGCATAAACAAGTGTGTGTTGCACCGTTACACTTTCCATGTCCTGAACAATCCTCTTTAAAGCCCGGACATCCTGGAATTTCGCATACGTCACCTCTCCAGCCTTTCAACTCATAACACTGACATTTGTCAGCGACACATCTACCATTGTCCATGCACAGTGAATCGCATCCCTTTCCAGCCCAGCACGGCTCGCATTGGCAGTTTCCGCTATCCATTGGTGASTGCACTCCATGAAGACATACATCATTACATGCCGGCCCCATCCAGCCTTTTGTACAATTGTGACATACAGCCGAACCATTGATAAAACTGCAGGTACCACGACCATAGCAATCGGGTTCACCACGGCAGTCAGGCAGACTGCAATCAATTCCTTTCCAGCCAGGATGACAGATACATTTTTGTAGAATACCATTGCATATTCCGTTTCCAGAGCAATCATTGGGACATCTTGGAATTTCACAGAAGAGTCCTTTCCACAATGGTGAACARGAACATGTCGAGTTTTGACACTTCCCGTGCCCTGAGCATTCCGAGTGACAATAAGGACCAACGAAACACGAATTACATTTGCAGGAATTTCCAACACATTCACCATTACCAGAACACTTATGTTGACATTTATCTCCATGATAACAAGAATCACAAATGCACTCGCCTGTGAGACTACATTGACCGTGTCCACTGCARCTACTATTAGGGTGGCATTGATAACTACATCGATAGCCAACATAACCTTCATCGCAAACACATCCTCCCCATCCAGTGCAATTACCATGGCCTGTACATGTTTCATCACGGATGCAGTTGTAGGCACAGTCAAYCCCAAGATAACCAGCATTACAGGTACAAGTACCACTTGACGATGAGAAAATTCCATGTCCATGGCAGTTGKTTTTTGTACAAGTTTGGCCGTCTTCTCCAAGTCTAGAACCTCCTTTTACCGCTTCATTTCGTAAAACATCCCTTCTTATTGGGTAAGGTGAAAAGCGATTTAGATGACCACCTCCGCCGCCACCTCCCTCATAATGATAGCTGCCGGACGAGCCACAACTACCGCTYTGATACCCTCCACTTCCCCCATTGACTTGGACATGCCCGTGCCCGTCGAAATATCGCGCCGATACAGAGATCGTTCCGCCACTTCCTGCTCCTCTATGCTGTGAATTGACTCCATTTGCTTTTAGCGCGCCATCGAGCTCTAGCAAATGATCGGTTATTGAGAATATTACCCCTCCTCCAGGGGTATCAGCTCCACTTCCTGATTGACTGGCACTGCAAGGCTCTTCGTATTTTGGACCACCTGAAAGAGACAACAAGCAATGATGAAAATAAAACAAATAAATAACAGTCCAACAAACACAACTGAAGCACCAGTTGGATATTGTTACCTTATTATATCTAACTAATGACAACCATTTGTTTTACAAAACGCACTTTATCTAAACATTCATACTAACCCAGAGAATTACAAGCTCCACAGCCTTTACGATACCCTTGTCCACCTCTTCCACCATGTCCGGCGCCGGCAACATTGCTACAGTGACCTCCACTATATCCATGACCTTTAGATGCAGGCCARCCACGAGAAGATGTATCTACAGTTGCGTCATACTCGATGCTCATAAAGTCATTGAGTAAGTAAACCACATCTCCGACGAGACTGCCAGTGTAATCAATATGAAGATGTTTTACATGGAGTGTCACTGTTTTAGTCTTGATGTTCTTGGATCCACTGTCGATTRTTAACACAGCACCCTGCATAATTTTCAGTCTTTTGAACCAATACCGACCGCTGTAACGAGAACAGTTGGCGCACATCGACGCTCCTTGGAAGAATAGTGTAGCACGAGTTCCTTTGAACAACCTTAGCTCCTCAATTTCTCTCAAGACACCTTTCATTTCCAGCGCGGGATCTCTACTCCCTGTTAGTACGGTCAACGGAGGGAGATATAGTTCTCCTGAAGGAACGATGTAGTTAACTGGAGCATGAGTTCGTGTGCTATGTGTAGCAATACGGAATTCAGTTCCAGAATTGACGTAAAAACTTCCTGTTCTGTCTCCCGTTGCCTTTCTGATGGTCACTCGTACGACTTTACCAGGGACCTATCAATAGAAGGTGTGTTTTCAGTTATATTAGCGATATTCTATCTTTAAATAATACTTACATTATTGCCTCTAAAGAATTGTTCAGAACAATTAAGTTAATATTAATAAAGAAATATTAAACCTTATATAATCACTTTGTTTCTAAATCGCTCGGTAACTCATACATTAGTATTACATCTATTTCGGAATATTTATTATTTTAAATAAATGTTGATTGAAACGTTGTCAGACCTGTTTTGCTCTCAAAACTCCGTTTCGTAGAAGTCTGACTTCGTCAAAGTAATACTCCTCACTTGCATCTTCTGCCAAAAAAACAGGTCGAGATTCCGAGCGAGCTGCATTGTCTATCTTAAGGAAACGGTGGGTTACGTTGTCTGTGATTGTTTCTACATAAACAGTGCCTGGACTTCCATGATATCCTGAGACACTCACACTACGACCTCCTAAACTGCTGATCACCCCCTGGTAAATTAAGCGTTTTGTAAGAACAACTGCAATACGTCCACCTGATCCAGCGCCATTTTGACTTGGTCCTGGAAAACAATAGAAAATAAAGGCACAGCTACGTTAATGGGAACAACATAAGAAGAAAGGTTAGTTGCTCAACCAATATAATTGCATCCAGTGTAATCATTATAATTCCCATACTGTAAATTTATTTGTAGTACTGTAGTTTGTTAAGAGTTTAAAAGCCTCGAAGTCCACTTATTTCAATTAATGCTTCAGTACAAGTGCAACGAAAAATCGTTGTTAAATCTCATATATTCGATATGATCATAAGCATCGAATTAAGATTCAGGACATATTTTTACCTCCATGACTCTCAATACTCCCAAAACCTTTTAGATACAAGGTCTCCACAATGACTGTCCCGCCACTTCCACCACCGTTAGATTGATTCTCGTCACCATAACCATTACTTCTAATGATTCCATTATTCAACAAATAGTTTGCTGTTTGCAGCTTTATCCAGGCACCACCGGCGCCATGTCCCCCGCCACTACCGGGGAATTGAGGTCTGTATAAAGACCCGTATTGTGTCCCCACTGTGATACGACCACCTGCTGACGCAAAGCTCCCTCCTTTAATTCCAGTAGCCCCACCGTGTCCTTGTCCAGGAAGATACCCGCCACCAGTACCGTCTATGAGCCCACCCTTCTCGATGATTATGTACTCCGATTGTAGTGTGACGTAATTTGAGGTAATCTGAAGCTTTCCACCTGTATATACAGCAATACATCCAATGAATTAAAATTTACAATACCAAGATGAAATTCGGCATATCACCATTATGGAGCTCTCTATGGTGATCACAGTTACATATTTCATTTACCACTACGAAAGATTATCAAAGGGTCAAACCCAGTCTCTGAGTATACTTGCCGGCTTGACGTATCTCTTACCTTTTTTAACAACAGTTTCAGCCAATTGCAATATATATCTGATAGGAGCTTTTGCAATTTTTACGACACCAGTGTTTGTTATAATAACGATAGGAATATTCACCAGTCCAGCTGTGTATGGGTTGAATGGGTTGTCTTGATGCCACTTCGTTTCATTCGGAAGCCGAGCAGTGTGGGCAGACCCTGAAAACTCAATTGATCCTCCGCGCTCGACAATCAGTCTCTCAACTCCAGTCATTCGTCCTGTTATAACAATGAAGTTAGTTTGAMACGTGTCACGTTGACCAAGWGTCAATAGGGAAAAACAAACAAGATAAGAACAAAACAGGGTGACAGTCGTTATGGTATTCGAATACAATCTAAATACCTTTGATAACTGATGTTTCACCTCGCAGTATYACTTCAGTGGGAAATATTATCTCAGCAAAATCTTCGACATAAAACCCACAAGGTGCATCCATATAKGTGTGAGTTGACTCCACAACAAACACAAACAGACGTTGCCTTGAAGATAACCTGATAATGCCTGTTTTGTCGCCTGTTACTTCGTGTGCAAAGATGGTGACRTTTTTAGCATCGCTTGGATGGTAGAAGGTCATAGTGGAGTGTCCCTCGACCTAAAGAAGCAATAAAAACTTGAAAGACGGCCAATAACAAAACGAAATATACATTAMGATTCTAGCTTTACCTGCATTTCGTCAAATTCATACAAGACCGTATCTTCCTCCATAACTACTGTCRGTGTACCCACAACACGCTGTTCGTTATCTACTTTTATTTTAGAATGTTCGGGTTTGAAATACGTAATATTCTGGTTGTATTTCAGTTCGCGGTATTGAGGTCCACGACGACTTTCATACTTATAAACAGTCCCCGCTGCTCCTGCGTAATTGGCCGCAGAACTGGAGCCTCCAACACATCTGAATGTTCCTATAAAATGAAGTGTTTATTAAATTTTATCGATCTGTGATGTCACTGATGGACGGATATTGCTTACCTCCATAGTTATTTTGAAAATCCACGTGTATAGCAATACGACCCCCTGCACCTCCCCCACAGTAACTGTATCCACGTCCCCCATTAGCAGAAACCTCTCCGTGACCAGTCATGTTCATTGTTTCTATAAGAATGCTTCCACCACTTCCGCCGCCCGAGTTGTATCCTCCATTGTGTCCTGACGATGTAATTAACCCATCCACATGTAAACGTTTACTGGTACGAAGCAGCAGAGATCCACCACCTATGCAAAAAAATCAAGATTAACTTAAACTGAAATAAATTGCGAATGCAGCCTACTACTGGAAAAGAAGCCAGAAAAAATCTGACTTTGAACGGGATTCGAACCCACGACCTTTGCGATACCGGTGCAATGCTCTACCAACTGAGCTATCAAAGCCACATGGGAGCAGTCGTATCTGGGTTAGCCCTTAATGTAAACTACTGAAGGACACACATATATATTAAACTGAAATATTAGGAAATAGTAATAAGACGAATAAATAATACTTGTCCATAACGTTCTCGTAAATTTACCTGAGCCTCCATTGGATCCACCACCACCACTACCAAGAGCYTTKGGAGAAAACACTGATCCATATGCMKTGCCTCCTAAATTTTCGCTGAAGCTTTTTCCTCCAAGGCCGCCATGACCTGCACCTGTAGGATGCGTTGACGCKGTCCCGGCGCCCTGTCCTCTTTTAGCTTTGAATCCTTGGCCGTCTAGGTTTAACGATCCTTTTGTTTCAATTAGACCATGTGTCGATGAAATCATACCATGATTAAGTTGGACGGTTCCCAGGTACTGTATTTCAAATAGCGCTGTGGTTAGTGAAACGACTGTCTCTGTGGCRCGSAGCAAGTTCAGTARCCCTCCTCGTTTAATAATTGTAAACGCGAAGGAACTATTTCCAGGATTAGTGATTTGCACATATGTCCGATTCTCAACAAGCGCAGTTTGAGCAGTCGATGATATTGTTAGCATGGCCTGGTCCTCGATGAATAAAAAGTGAACGCCTGTCATTGTACCGTGTACGGCTGTCCTAACACCATGGACGTGGAATTCAGCAGGGAGAACAATTTCTGCGCCCTTATCAATCAAATAGCTGCAAGGTGCCTCGGTTCTGTTTGTTTCGGACTCAACGACCTCGACAAAAACCTTTTGCTTCTTTCTTAAATGGAACTGACCTGTTCTATCTCCAATAAACCTATGAGCTATGACAGTAATGTTCGTARCGTTATCAGGATGGTAAACGACAATCCTAGAGAAACCTGTTAGTTCCATTTCATCAAACTCATAATCCTCTTTATATTGTTCCATKATAACAGTAGCCCCAGGGACATCCCGCCCCTCATTATCCACATGCAAGTAAGTGTKATCTACAGCCAATAATGTCATGTTCTTTTCTGGGAGATACTTCAAATGGCGGTATTCCATTGGTCGCAGGTTCTCTTCTTTGTAAAATGTACCTGCAGGTGCACTTCTAAACTTATCATATCCAACGCCCCCTCGGTTACGGATCTTTCCTCCAAACGTGTAACGCCATCTACAGTGTACAGCAATACGACCTCCAGCACCTGCACCGCCTTTCCCTTTCGAATCACCGCCCACTACGGAAATTTCTCCATGTCCTGTGAAATTGGTCGCTTCAATAAGAACACTGCCTCCGCTTCCTCCACCACTATTGGACCTCAAAGATTTGCCTCCTCTAGCTGAAATCAAGCCGTTAAGCTCAAGGCGTTTAGCGACTTCCCAGTATAACTGACCACCACCAAATCCTCCTTCACCTTGTCCATTTCCRCCACCGCTSCCAAGTAGCAGAGGCCTAAGTACAGAACCATATGACCTGCCTCCATTCAATGCCCCCTCGCCTCCATATCCTGCACCAGTTCCCACAGTTGTCCCATTATGTAATATTGTTGTTCCAGAGCCTGGTCCTTTTTCCGCTTTGAAACCACCATAGTCGAGCTTAAAATGACCCTGACTGTCGAGCCAAGCAAAGGAGGAGAGCACCTCACCGTAATTCATGTGAAACAATCCTTGATATTTGATTGATAACTCACTGGATGTTACTTTCAAGAACTCGTTTACTTTTTTAAACTCRATATCGCCACGACGTTTGACGACAATTGTGGCAAATGACACGTTTCCTTTCTCGGAGATGTAAATGTAAGTTCGGTTCTCAATCAAAGCTGTTTGTGCCGTAGAATATATATCAACCTCGGCTCCTTCAGACACTTTGAGATCTTGAACACCAGTAATCATGCCCTCTARTCTAGACCTTGTTCCATGCATATGAAACTCTGATGGMARYAGAATTTCTGCCTCAGTGTCTATTCTGTAGCTACAAGGTGCTTCGGTCATGTTCGTAGTCGACTCTACAACTTCRACGAAGACCCTTTGATTGCTTCTAAGGTGAAATTGACCTGATTTATCACCAATAAAACGATGGACKACTGCTTGAACCTTATCTTTTCCGGGATGATACAACAAAAGCCTCGAAAATCCTGTTAATTCCATTTCGTCGAATTCATAGTGAGWTGTATTTTCTGCCATTAACATCGTAGCGCTAGGAACATCAAACCCGTTATTGTCGATATGTACATATGTATGATCGACTGCTAACAAGGTCGTGTTCTTTGTCTTGCTGTACTTTACGTGTCTATATTCCAAAGGTCGTAGGTTTTCCTCTTTATATACCGTGCCAGCAGGACCTCCGTATTTGCCACCTTGGCCGCCATAGTCAATAAATCTACCCCCGTATGTGTATCTCCATCGACAATGTATTGCAGCTCTGCCTCCTGATCCACCACCGCCGTTACCTGTTCCCGAACCACCTTTGATAGAGATGTCACCATGTCCAGTCACGTTTGTTGCTCTGATAAGGATACTTCCTCCACTTCCTCCTCCGGTATCAGTCCCAATACCATTGGTTCCATCGGATGTTAGACGTCCGTTAATTTGTAGTCGTTTAGCTACAAACCAAATTAATTTTCCTCCTCCTTTTCCACCAGTTCCTCGTCCGTTTCCTCCTCCGCTACCAAAGTGTTGGGGCTCATATACTGAATCGTGTGCCACACCTCCMACAGAATGATCAGTCTTTCCTCCTTCTCCACCATGCCCTGCACCAGACCCGACGTGGTTTGTAGTATTTCCCTTTCCAATCCCCAATTCGGGACCAAACCCCTTTCCTTCTAGGGAAAGAAGTCCTTTACTCTCAATCCAAGMAAAACTTGAATCGATGGTTCCGTGATTCATGAGTGTTATACCTTCGTATTTTATTTTAAACTCAGCACAGTTCAATCTCAAGTCAAAGTTAACACGAGAAAATGTCAGTTCAGAGTTTCGTTCCACTATTACACTTCCAAATGTAAAGTTACCATTTTTGTCAATGTAAACATATCGYCGATTTTCAATCTTAGCAGTTTGTGATGTTGATGAGAATTCAGCTTTTCCACCGCTAGCAACAAGGAGATCGACAACGCCAGTAATGCGTCCTTCAAATATCGACCTTGAACCATACAACATGACAGTAGATGGGAATATGATCTCTGATCCATCATCAATCTTAAAGCTACAGGGTGCTAACGTTTCATTAGTTTTTGATTCAACAACCTCAACAAAAATCCTTTGGTCCCGACGCAAATGGAATCGTCCAGTTCCATCTCCAAGGAAACKATGGACAATAACCGTTACGTTTYTAGCACCAGGTGGGTGTCTAACCTGAAGATTTGAATGTCTTGTCAGGAACAATTCATCAAGCTCGTATACCACGTGGTTACTTTCCAAGAGCAACGTATTCCAAASTGTCTTTCTATTTGCATTGTCGACTTCCATATATCTTCAAAGGAAACAACACATGATAAGCATTTTATTATTTTACTTAATTTGTAATATAATTTTACTTGGTTTGTTGATCTTTGATAGTATAAAGCATGCACGAACATCAAATTGTCTKGCATGTAAACAAGACTGTGAAAATATTCACTAACCTGTGAGTTGCCGTTACTATTGTTGCATTCGTTAATWTATCATATTTCAAATCTGCGTACTGAGGACCACGTGATGTTTCTTCCACATAAACTGTCCCTGCTGCTCCGACAGATTTTCCAAGGCCACCATACATCTTRTATATACCAGAGAATTTATGTTTGAAGCGAACATGGACCGCAATACGGCCACCAGCGCCTCCTGAACCAAGATTTAAACCATCTCCACCTTGACTGTTAATCTCACCATAACCAGTTATATTRGTGCATTCCATAAGTAGGGTACCTCCACTACCACCTCCGGCATTTGTCCCGTAGCCATTGAGACCACGTACAGAYACAAGACCATCAAGTTCAATTTGATGCCCTATCCTCCAGTAAAGCAACCCACCTCCAGACCCTCCTTTACCTTGTCCGTTGCCTCCACCACTTCCGAARTGAAGTGGCTTGTACACTGAGCCATAAGGTTCKCCGCCGGTGAGGTTCACTTGATGTGCTCCGCCTTCACCRCCATGRCCMGCTCCTGTCCCAATATCATTAGTAGTTTTTCCTCGACCAGGACCATTTTCAGCTGGGAATCCCTTRCCATCTAAGAKTATYTTAGCTCGAGATTCAAGCCAYGCCCAGGAAGAGACAATGTTCCCATGGTTCATATTTACAGTAGCATGATATTTGACACGAAAAATCAATGCTGTTAAAGTAAGAGTATCGTTGATCTTTGTTAAATCCAGTGTTGAGCCTCTTTGTATATAAATTTCAGGAAAGGTGACATTCCCCGGCGTTGTTAATACTTGAAACGTTCTGTTTTCTTTKATTCCTGTTTGACTGGATGATGTAAAGACAACACCTGATCCTTCGGCAGCAATTAAACGRTAGACACCAACCACCAGTCCYTCAAACGTACAGCGTGTTCCAAGTAGAGTTAAAGAATAAGGGAAGATGATTTCTGCTCCTTTGTCGACTTTATAACTTACAGATGCAACAGTGTATCCTTTGTTGGACTCTACAACCTCGACGGACATTTTTTGTCCAGRTAGTAAATGAACCAAACCAGTGCGATCACCTGTAAAATTATGAACGACAAGTACCGCATTTGCCCCGTGAACATTCAACACTGCATGGTTCTTGACCTCGAGTTCTTTCAACTCATAGTAGGTTGTGTTCTCATTAATAATGATCGTGGAAATACTCGGATTACGGTTCATATTATCTACAATAAGTTTCGTAAAGCTAACACCGAATTCCGTTTTATTGCCTTCTGTTTTAATCATTGGTCTGTGTGAGAGTCCTTCGTTGGTGTCCGTATAGTATACAGTGCCAGCAGCTCCTGCTTTGTTACCAAATCCCCCATATGCGTTGTACTTGCCGGCGTATTCTCGCAGCCAGGATACGTGTACAGCAATACGTCCACCAGAGCCTCCTCCACCGTTACCGTCACCACTGCCACCTTCTRCAGTGATCATACCATGACCAGAAAACATAGTTGCTTTAAGGAGAATACTTCCTCCACTACCCCCGCCATAATTGGAAGTGCCATTACCACCTTTGCTTTCTATGGTGCCATCAAGATGCAAAGAACGTCCTATGGTCATCTGTTGAAGAAGACATGAAAGTGTTAAGAATGAAAGAAAACATGTTATGGAACAATAACAAAGTTACCTGAATTGTGCTCCCTCCACGACCTCCCCCGATCCCTCCTCCGCCGCTGCCAGGATGCAATGGGTAAATATACGATCCATATCCAGTACCTCCAGCAATAGTAGTACTTGGGCCTCCTTCTCCTCCGTGACCTCCACCTGATCCAGCATTGCTTAGTACTTTTCCTCCTCCAGGACCATTTRTAGCGGCCGGTCCACGACCAGTAGTACTTATGACAGATCCTCCTTCTAATACAGCTTCGGAGCATGACATAGATACAGTATCCGCGGACACAAATGATTGCGCTCTCATGTGGATAAGGTCGACGTTCAGCTTTAAACGTTCTGAATAAAGAATCTTTGAACTTGCCTCCATCATTACGACACCAAACGTTAGATGACCATCAACTGGCTTTCTTGTGTACGTTCCCTTCCTTATTTGGGCATTGCTGGCATTTGGACCAACTTTAACAACGCGCCCTAAACGTTAATATTTGTAATAATTAAAAAAACATAGCAGATTTTGTCGTATCTTTAAATTACTAATGTCCTTTATTGCTTTATCTATCAAATTTTATCAAGCATTTACTCATTTAACTATCTACTGAATACCTTCGGTTAAGGTAAGGTTAGATACACCGGTAATGCGGCCATCTAGCACAAACGCGGGGCTCTTGAGACCTGAGATGTGGAAATCAGATACAAGTACTACCTCACCACCATAATCTACTCTGAAGTTTACTTTGGGGAACGATCGTCTTTGTGTTGCCTCCTTGTATTCGATGTAGAACACATTACTTTGCTTAATGTGTAACGTTGATGTTCCGTCACCAAGAATAGTATGAACTGAAATTGATGGTCTTGGACTTGGACTTGTAATTGTAAACACAGCCTAAACATATATACAAATGGTTTTACTTTAAATTAAAACATGTTGTAATCAGATTAAACCACCGCACTCTTTCATTGTCATACAAATGCTCATATGCTCGTTTCAAGTCGAAATCATCAGGAGTGCTTTAAAATATAACTTTATTACCTCTCCTTGCAACATAAGCTCATCAAATCCATATAAAGCAGAATTCTCTTCAAGGCTATTACTATCAACGGTTTTGGGGTTTCTTTGGTCCATGACAAACACTTTTGGTGGATTTGCATATTGATTGTTGATGTACAATCGGCGGTTTAACTTTCTGCCATTGATTTCTTCAATATATACTGTGCCTGATCCACCATGTTGGCTACCAGGACCATACCCTCCAAGGGCATGGAGTCCGCCACGGTACTCGTCTTTGATCGAAACATGCACAGCAATACGACCACCCGAACCACTTCCACCTTTCAGTGCCCCGTACGAGCTGCCAACACCTCCTCGCGCTGAGATCGAGCCATGGCCACGTAGGTAGCCTGTTTTAATCCAAACACTTCCACCGCTACCAGCACCAGTTCCTGTAAAATAATTCAAATATATCCAACTAAGCAAATACGATTAGGACGAAAGCTTTACTACTATGTACGTAGATATACTTCTGATATGTCTTATCATGTATATTGCTGCAGTACCTGTATTTGAAGGAGCGGCATCAGCGTCTGCATTGAGGTTTCCATCAAGGACCAAAGCATAACCAACATTGATTCTTATTCTTCCCCCACCTCTACTACCCAATGTACTAGAAACAGCACCACCTCGAGCACCTGGCAAAGAAGGCTCGTATATTGACCCGTATACCTTTCCGCCTACTTTTGAAGGACTTTCTCCTCCTACAGTCCCATGCCCTGCTCCTGATCCACCTGATAATGAGGCTATGCCAGAGCCGTTGGTAGCGTGAGTATAGCCACGTCCCTTACAGCTAAGAAGAGCATCTGGTTCCAGGTAAAAGTCAGTGGCATCGAAMTCAAAATATTCAGCAGTGAAGCGGCAGTTAAATTTAATGTCCTACAACACATTAGGAAGGATTAGATTATAAACATTATCAAGAGAACTCACCATTGTATACCGTTGGTTTTCTTGGTGTATATAGTACTATTTCTGCGGGATAAGCCTTACTGAGAAATAGTTTTAGTGATGACTATAACGATGAAAAAAAATAGTACATACCAACAATCCTACAGTAAAGTGAACTCCCATTGGTTCAGGGTAATTGATGATAGTGCCACTACCATATTCAAGTGAAGAAAACACAAAGGCGCCATCAGGATCGATACGCTGGTATTTATTGTTCTCAAATACTGCTGTATGTGCATTCCATTTGACTAGTACTTTACGGCCATGTGCAACACGCAAGTGTTGAACATTGGTAAGCCTACCACCCCAGTCAAAWGCAACTGGACCACGTCCAACAATGTGGACGGTAGTTGCCATAATGGCCTCAGAATATCTATCCAGTTTGAAGTTGGTTGCAGTTCTGTTCATGAATTACAAAAAGCATATCATTGCCAAGTTAAGTAATTTTTATATTTTCAGATTGTAAATGTGAACACAGATACACTATATTGCATATACTTACGGATGTTACAGGTATAGCTAGAAATGTTAAATTGCATATGTTAGTGAACCTGAATGTGCATCAAAGTACCTTGTGATTGTCGCTCTCGCCTCTTTATATTCTACGTTGAGACTCTGGTTCCTGTGCACATGTATCAGCCCTGTTCGATCTCCAATCATCTTGTGAATGGTTATAGTTCGTGTAACATTGTCAGGTAGCAAATGAACTGAAGCATTACGTACCAAGTGAACCTCATCAAATTCATAGTGCACTCTGTCATGATCAAGAGTCACATAATGTGCCCACGATCTTCCTTTATTATCAATTTTCAGCTGCTTGAATTCATAACCTTGACGTATGTCGAGTAAGTATACTGTTCCTGGCCCTCCTGAATACTGCRTTGCATCCTTCTCATTATCTCCAGCACTTCCTCCAATGGCTGAGAACACACCCAAAAACTTGCTCGGGCTCCTTGTGTAGACAGCAATGCGTCCGGCAGATCCGCCTCCAGAGTTAGCACCATTACCACTACCGCCATCAACAGCTATCCTTCCATGGCCGCTGAAACGCCCGTTATTGATTAAAACACTTCCACCACTTCCTCCCCCCGCGTTAGAGTTGGTTGGTGCGTTGTTTCCATTTGCTTGTATTGTCCCATCAAGATAAATGTTATCGCCGACATTCAATGTAATCTTACCACCAGCTTCTCCACCACTGGAGCTACCTGGACAACCCCTTGTACCGTACTCCCCAGGCTTGTAAAAGTCACCATAAGGAGGGCTATGTAAATCACCTGGTTTCCCTAAGAAATAGAGTTATTGTAAGAAGATAGTACAACATGAGAAAACAAATAAATTGCAGTTAGATACCTTTTCCGCCATTGCTAGCATGACTTCCTCCAGAGCTACGACATAGAGGGGATAAAGTTGGTCCAATGTTTGGATTTGGCCTATCACTACCTGACATTGTAATTGTGCTCCCAGATTCTAGTAATATGGTAGTCACACCAATGTCAAATACATCAGCTATTATTTTTGCACGGAATTTCATGTGAATTTTTCCCACTGAGCATCGCATTCCACTAAAATGATTGAATAATAATTCCGTGCCGTCTTGCAGTTCAAGCTGAGCCAGTGCAAACTTTCCTACTTCGGATTTTACAACCACGTTATTTTGCTTTACTGCTGTTTGGACATTCTCAGAGAACTTTGCTTTAAGTGTTTTGGTCACAAACAGGTGAGTGACACCTGACAAACGTCCGTCGACTGATAAGGAAAAATCGCCTGGAATCTGACCCAGACCCTTTGCCCCATCTCCAATAATATAAAGTGAATCGCCAAACACTATTTCACTTCCTTTATCCATATGTAGATTAACCGGAGGTTTGGAGACAGTATGAGCAGTGTCAGATGCTTCTAGTTGTACAACATGATTTCCAAAAGCATGAATAAGACCCGTGCGATCTCCTTTAAGCTTGTCAATCATCAATGTTTTATTCCCGGGTGACATAGCTATAGAAGCTCTTCTCCACAGCTGCACTTCAGAGAATGAGTACTCACTTCGTCCTGCTTCGTGAATTGTCACCACATCCTTCACTGAGTTCATGACGTTGTCAATCACTAGCTGAGAGTAATAACGATTTGAACKTACTTCCCTGATGTAAATAGTTCCAGGTCCACCGTGTTCCCCTCCTACTGATACACCTCCTTGTGCAAGTAGAGCTCCCTTGTAGGCTCGGATTGTTACATCAAGTGCAATTCGTCCAGCTGCGCCACCTCCTGCACTGTTCCCTCCACCTTTACCACCGTTGACATTAGTAATGCCATATCCTGTAACGAAACATCGGAATTTTATTCATGTACTTGAATCATTTATCCTACTTTGCACAATTCGAAAACAATCACAAATTTTGTCGAATGTTGTTATGCATGTATGTTCTCACCTGAAAATCGATCAGCCTTTATCCAAATGCTTCCACCACTACCACCTCCAGCACTAGGCTCTGCATCTTCTCCAGACACAGTGATAATTCCATCATTGACTACCTCACTACCAGCTTCAATTTTTATGTAGCCCCCAGCTTGTCCTCCTAAAACGGTGTTGTTAAAATTTCCTCCTCGACGACCAGAATCCTTCGGCTGAAAAAGTGAACCATGGTAGSTGCCCCCAGGACCGCCGTTKCCACGACCTCCTGAGCTTCCATGTCCGCCACCTGCGCCTTTGGGCAGATACGACACTTCTGAAGAAGGTACAGCTCTTCTAGCAGCATTATTTCCAGCGCAGCTCAACATTGCACCCGTCTCAACATCAATTTTTCCGGTTAGTATGTTTAAATGATGCGCTGATAGCATTGCGCCATATTTTATGTTTATAAATCCAACAATCAATTTCATCTCACGCTCGTCATGCATGGTGAGAGAGCTTCCACTGTAGAGTAACAAGTTTGAGAACGAGAAAGTTGCAGATGACTCGTTTTGCCTCGAAGTTCTTGCATTTCGATGAAAGATAACTTTTCTATTTTGAGTAACCAACAACTCACGAACACTTGACAACGTCCCATTTACCTCCAGAGCAACATTTCCAGTTCCGACGATATAAGTCTTTGAAGCCAGTACAACTTCCCCACCAGAGTCAATTTTCAAGTTTACTGGGGTTTTGGTAACTGAATTTTGAGAGTGTACTTCAAGCAATATCTTGTGGTTGTTCCTAGCATAAAGTAGTCCGGATTTATCCCCATTAAGTTTTCGTATATCAAGTGTTAAAGAATTGTTTAAGGCTTCTGTCATTCGTAATGATGCTCTTTTGTACAAGTGCAGCTCATTGAACACGAGTGTGATAGCTTTTTCTTGTAAAGTCACGTAGTGATTCCATCCCTGATCCTGGTTGTCGATTTGCAGTTGTGTATATTYTAACTTGTAGCGCACCTCCCTAATGAATACAGTGCCTGGACCTCCTGACATCAGTTTGTTGCTAGAGATACCTCCGAGCGACTGCACTTTACCGCGATAGTTAAACTTAGTCTGAACATGAATGGCTATTCTTCCTCCAGCACCACATCCACCCCCTCCATCTCCAATTCCACCATTGGCTGAKATGACTCCTGAACCTTTAAGTTCCCTTCTCACTTTCAATAATACACTMCCTCCACTRCCACCACCAGCGGCAGTTGAAGAAGCGCCATTGCCACCATTAGAAGTTATGTAGCCATCATTCAATAGATAATCACATGTAATAAGTATAGCTCCTCCACCATTGCCTCCAGAACCGGCTGTTGATCCGTTGCCTCCTGGGCTGCCTGGTTTATCTGGCTCATAAAGAGTGCCAAATTGATCTCCTCCTTTTGCGTTCGCACTATTTGATCCACCACGACTTCCATGACCACCTCCAGAGCCACCTGACACTGAACTTGATCCGGCTCCTGAGTTTGACTTGAGATTAATAGCGCTGTTTGTGGACAATGCTGCRCCTCGGCCAATCAAAAGAGTCTGAGCTTGTATGTTAACAAAACGTCCACGCAAAATAACTCCGTTTTTCATATCAAGTGTTTTAACCMGAATTCTCAAATTCTGAGGTGCGCCAAAGTCGGAACCACTCTTAAGGGTAATGGACGCAAACTGTTGTGTACCAGGGATGCTTTGAAATTCAAACTTATTACCATCCATGAAAGTTGTTTGTGATGTCAAGCCAAATTGAACTCTGCTTCCTGACTCTACTACCAGGTGACGTACGTTTGATATTTTTCCATCAATYTTTAAAGTGGCTCCATCAACTGTGAGGCTTGATGCTACTACCATATTAGCACCCTCTTCAATATGGACATTTGTTKTTAACGTCAAATGACTTTCTTGAGCCTCGAGTACCTCAGCATACAAAGTTTGGTTGCGTTTAACAGCCATTTCTCCTACTCCGTCGGCATTGAACTTCTTGATGTTGATAATTAATTTTAGCTCAGGTGGGCTGGATATCTCAAAACGAACACTTCCAGTCATCTTAAGCTCGTCGAAGTAGAATATGCGCATAGTAGGTTCCGATAGAACAGTAGCCGGTCTACTTCCATYTATTTTTATATTTTTAATCCAAAGCCTTTTCCTCGGGAGTCGCTCATTATTATCTTGAATATAAACTGTTCCCGCTGCACCAACTGCTGCGCCGGTCCCACCAAGCGCCTCAAATTTACCCTCATAGCTTATTATCTTTTGCGTGAACACGGCAACACGCCCACCACTTCCACCTCCTCCCTTGCCAATACCATTTCCACCATTACTTCCAATAATCCCATTACCTATGATGTTTTCTGCGGAAATCCAAATACTTCCACCGCTTCCTCCTCCGCTTTGTGACCCATTTCCAGCTTGTCCATCTACTCGGATTTCACCATCAACTTGTAATGTTTTGACCACTTTGACATGCAGAAGTCCTCCACCAAACCCTCCAGAGCCAGACATGCCACTTCCACCACCGCTTCCTGTGACATTCGGCTTTGTCGCTGAACCATACCAAAGACCATGATTCTTACTTGACTGTCCTCCATACCCACCATGACCTGCTCCAGTTCCTAACGATCCAATAGTTATTCCAGCACCTGGGCCRGATTCACTCACATCACCCTGTCCAGATAAGTYAATCAATSCACCAGGGTTAATCAGGATAGAAGAAGCTTGAATATCCATCCAACTGCCCTGTAATATAGCTCCATAATTTAACTCCAGACTCCCGACTGTTAACGGTATCTTTTTCAATCTTGCATTTTCGAAAGATAGTTTGGCGAGTCTTTTTATTTGTAAGGTCGAGAAAAGATATTCTCCACGTTTAGTTATGTAYGTGTATTTACCGTCAACGAACCTTGCTGTCCTTCCGGTAGATGAAAACTGCGTTTTGCGGTTGACRTCAATAATCATTTCCAAGACACCAGTTAAAGTACCAGAAAATCTGTTGTCGCTCCCTCTGAAAGAAACAACATCTGGAACTCGTACTTCTCCATTGGGATCTACATGAATGCTGTAATCAGGCTGTAGAGACTTTGAGTCGGGTTCAATGGTAACAGCTACGTTATCTTGCACATGCAAAGTACTTTTATCATCGCTGCTTACTTTATATAGTATCGCATTCTTTTCAAAATGAAGGACTACTCGCCCGTATAAACCAAGTTTGTTGAAGCGATACAACTCKACACTCGTCTCGTTCAAGTATGCATGAACTGTTTGGTCTTCATTGCCACGATTATCAAAAATAAGTCGTTTCGATCTTATTCCTGGTCGATTTTCTTCAATGTATACCGTTCCTGGGGATCCACTTAAGGACCCTCCTTTGCCACCCTTTGAATAGAACAACCCTCTGTATCTATATTGACCGTTGACGAGGATAGAAATACGCCCTCCTCCACCAGCACCTGTTTGCGGTGCCATTCCATCTCCACCAATTGTTTCGATTTTCCCTCTTCCTGAGATTTCCACAGCTACTATAATATTKATTGTTCCACCGCTACCTCCTGAAGTTGACAATGAACCATTTCCACCATTTGAGGAAATAATTCCATCAACATTGAGTCTTTCAACCTTTAAGTCAATTATCCCACCTCCGTATCCTTCGGTCATGTTAGTAGCTTTCAGGCTTCCACCACCACTGCCAAACTCATGTGCTCGGTAGAGGGAGCCATACAATTTACAGTTTCCACCTCCACAACCTCCATAACTTCCACCTTTGTTACGTGTTCCTGCTCCTGGGCCTTKGGATGCTGCATATCCAAGCCCGTCCGCTCGTAAGGTGCCACTGAATGCAATGTTCAGGGAAGGAGTTTCAACTAGCAAGTAAGAACCTTCCATTATACCCCGATATGCAATGTCTATAGCCAATGACCGTATTTCAACAGGCATCTTTGAATTAACATCGGACTCGAATCTTATTCTTCCTCCACTGGACACACGCAGYGATCTGAATAGAAACTTCCCTGGTTTTGAAGAGGATGAGCCGATTAAACCAGATTTAGCCACAACAACCAAAGCATTTTGWCCWATTACTACTTCCTGACCACCAATCAATCTTCCGGCCAGATATAGAGAAGGTGTGGAGTGTGTACGACTTATGAAGAGGYTCGGAGCGAGATTTAGTGTACCTTCTTCGTCTACAATCAATGCCCAAGGAAACATAAAATATTGCTGACTAACGGCTTTTGATGCACYCAGGGATAATGTTTGATTTTTTCGAACGTACAAATTACCACTGTTGTCGCCTTCCATTTTCARCACGTCGATTTTCATCTCGGTATTATTCAAAGACGCTATTTCTAAACGAGCACTGTTAACAAGTCGCAACAAACGAATAGTGTATGCTGTCCTGTTTTCATGCATTATCATTGTCCTGGCCATTGTTTYCTGCTTATTGTTATCGACAATAGTAGTGTTCAGCATTATTCCAGTTACAACATGTTTGATAAATATCGTTCCGGCAGCACCATGATTATTCCCTGTTCCTCCATAGGCTGAAATCAATCCTTGATATTCATAATCGTTCACATGTATAGCGATYCGTCCACCAGAGCCACCTCCAGAATAGTTTCCTGACCCACCATTACTAGTGATTTTACCATGTCCATTGATTTTGTTCGCTTTAATCAAAACTGTTCCGCCGCTTCCTCCTCCACTGGAATCTGAGTCGCCATTAGCGGCGATGAGTCCATTATTAGTGATTGTGTTCTTGACATTCAGAAAGACAATACCACCACCTCGCTTGATGAAGCCACTTCCAAAGTGATTTGGTTCAAACACTGATCCATAGGCTAGTCCACCAACTTCACCGCCTCCTTGACCGCCATGGCCAGCACCACCACCTGGAGACTTCGGTGAGCCGATACCGACTGAAAGTCCACCGCCGTCAACCAGTATTCTGGAATTACCTTCAAGTGTTATATCATCAGTGCTAATATTCAGTTTCTTTGTTATTCCAGTAGTTGTCAGCAGTGCGCCTTTTCTGGTTAATAACTTCTTTACTCGAAGTTCAACGTTAGTCTTTTCAAAACTAATTGTGGAGTCGGAATCTAACGTTAGTGAGTCAAGATCAAACTTAGCAATTGATACACGTTTTCTAATGGCCGAAGAAGACCCAACATGTACTGAAGAATTAGTTTGAACTCTGAATGTTTTTGAGCGAATTTCGCCCTTCCCTAGAAGTTCCAAGTATTTTGACTTTCCGACTTCTGGTTGATCTGCTATAATGAGCCCAGACACCGAGACGGTAGGTTTACTCATTCCATTAAACACCACTTTGCCATTGATTTTTAAAGTACCACCGGCCATGATATTTACGTCACTGTATATTTCTTTGTTCGCATTATCGATGTCACGTATTACCATAAAGCTGCCACTTGTTATAATGATCCTCCCATCTTTATTTGTTTTAAGAGTCTCTATGTTGACGTCCTGTTGAACTAAGGTTAAAGTCCCCGATCTAACGTCTACCTTCCCAAAGGTATAGTTCTTGACTGCTGTTGGTAAGAAGCTTTCTGAATGTCCTTTGATGACGAGAGTATCGTGTATTGGCACCTTCGCTGTATTCCTGAACACAATTGTTCCCATGCCTCCAGAAGAAGCTCCTTTCCCACCGTCAACATCGAAACTGCCTTGAAAATCTTCAATTACATGAGATGCTCGTACTGCTATTCTTCCTCCACCTCCGCCATTCCCAGAACTTGAGCCTCCACGAGCGCTTAATTTACCAGAACCTTTTATTATTGTACTCGAGATGAATAAACTTCCACCACTACCACCACCAGCTCCATTTTGGCTATCCGCTCCACTGGCATCAATGGTACCGTCAAGGTATAAATGTTGTACCAGTATTGTCAAAGCACCGCCTCCTTTACCTCGGTATGCTATCGTGCCACCTCCGAAGGCACCGTACTCCATTGGCGCAAGAATATTACCATAAACAGCATTTTTATTGATGTTACTGCCTCCTAGACCACCATAACTCCCACCCTGGTTAGTTTGAACTGCTACAGCGTTGTCAAAGTTCGAGGCTAAAGCTTGAACAGTGCCTCCGGCTTTAATGATCAATTTATTAACAGTTAAGAAAGTTATGTCACGTCTGTTATTAGAAGCCTCAAAGTTCAAAACAGCATCTCCTTGTATTGTGAGCACATTGAATGAATAATTCCCAGTTTTTAACGTACAGCTTTGAGAAGCTAGTAGCGTAAAGTTTTCAAAGTTACATCCGATATTGTAGGTTACATTGTATCTTGTCTCGTTGTAGAGGTAGTAAATGACTTTACGTTGCATTGATGACTTTCCTTGGTTATCCCATACAATCTTATAGATAGTTTTCGAGACGTTATGAGACACAATGTACGAAATGTTTGATTTAGTCCACACGTGCAACCCTGTTCCACAAGGATTATAAAGTGTAGGTGACGCAGTAGCGAATGTCTGATAACCATGAGGGCAATCTTTCCGGCTCAAAGCCGGTCCTTTTTGTTCTATTTTTTTATTGACAGCTGAAATATTTACCACAGCTTGGGCGCCATAGTCTTGAACAAAAGAATCGGTTTTAATTTCCAACTTCCCAGGAGTGGTGGTAGCAATACTTCCTGCTTTCTTCACTCGAACATGAACAAAGCTCATCGTTGAAATGCCCTTATCTGGTTGTTTACGATACCCGGTATGACCAGGATATCCAAGAATCATTTTACTGTTGGTACTCACGGTAATATCTTTAACCCCAACAAGACTGCCTGATACAGTCATAATAATACCTTTTCCTAGGACAAGCTTTGGTGGCAAAGATAGAGTTCCTCCATCTTTTATCTTGATATTAAAGGGAAGCTCCATTTCAGAAATCCTAGATCCAGTAACGCCAATGTAAGTATCATGATATGGTTGAGCTATTAATAGTCCCGAGTTATCGCCATAAACAGTTTTGGCAATAAGCGTCATAGGACTTCCTGACTTACAAGAAATCATGTATAGAGAAGCAGAATTCAAAATATGTATTTCATCAAAGGTATAATCGATTATTTTAGGATCGCAAATAAGAACACTTGAAGTATTGGTTGTCAAAAGCCTATTGTTGTCCAGGTAAAGCTTAGTCCTTGAATCTTTTTCCAGGTAATGGTGTTGGTAGAAAAGGCCAGATGCCCCGTTACTGTTCGCTTTTCCTCCACTAAATATAGCAGAGAAGAGTTTGGAAGATGTCTTGTAGTATACCGATACTATCCCTCCACTTCCTCCACCGCCAGACACAGATCCGCCATCACCACCACGCACATCTAACATACCAGAGCCTTCCAGGTTGGTGGCATTGATGAAAATGGCACCTCCAGCACCACCGCCACTTATATCATCTCGTGTAGCTTTGCCCCTATGAAAAGATAATCAACTGATAAAGGACATTGAAAAAAGAAATAATTCAGTTCTTTTCTTCACTCTAACGAGAGTAATGTTGTAATAATATGGTATATGATAAAATAAGTAGATATCTTACCTAGATGATATGATTCCATCTAATGTGAGAGTTGCACTAACGGTAATATTAAGTCTCCCACCTCCATAACCACCCTGACAAGGATCACTCACTCTACCAGCACGGCCTGCTTCACCAAACGATTTAGGACCATAAACAGAATCAAACGGTTCTGGACGATTCTTGGCTGTTTTTCCTAATCCTCCATAACCACCATGACTTCCCCCTGAGCCAGCGTAGTATACATCAGATGGGGCACACCGAGTCCCTTGTCCATCGAATGAGACACGGGAGCTTTCTAGAACAGACATAGAATCAGCGAGTATCGTTACATTCGCCCCGATTACCGTCCCGCCAGGGTTCAATTCTAAAGCTTTGACCTTCAAAACGTATTCATTCTTTGTATCCGTCATACGTAGAACACCTCTATTGAGAATCTTGATCGTATCGATGCTAAGATGAGAAGCTTTAGGCGTCCCTACTGTTAATGCCGAACCACTAGATCCAATATCAACAAAACATTCTGATATCGTAAGATCTCTCACACCAATAAGGCATCCTTCAAGTGAAAGTGAGCTTTTATGAAGCATGATCCTATTCGGAATGTGGGCGATTCCGTTCTTATAAACCTTCAAATTTGCCGGTATGTAGTAATCAGTATCTCTGATAGCAAGAAATTGGTTTGGCCCGACGTGAATAAACCCAAAATTACCACCCTCATAGTCTCCAACAAGTTTCTTGATTTCAATCATACGCAAACGATTTGGATCAAATTCAAAGGCTAAATGTGCGCCCCCTCCAAGCCTTATCTCATCAAAGCTGATACCCTCATACACATCTTTGCTTAAATCCGCATAATCGATTACCAGCTTATTTGGCTGTTGTATCAAAGACGTGTTGGTAAGCCAAGTCCGAGCACTATCGTTTGATAGTAAATTGTATGATGCAATCTGAGATATCAAAGGTGTTCTTCCTAGATTATATACTTCAAGAATTGTTTTTCCAGTAGCTTTGTCGTTCTTATATATTGTACCAGCAGCTCCTGCCTCAATTGGTGAAGTTCCTCCATAAGCAGTTACAGAGCCAGTATAAAAATACCTATCTGAATGAATCGCTATACGTCCACCACTACCACCTCCACCACCTGCACTTCCACCAGCCCCACCATTAGCCTGTATTGCTCCAGAGCCTGAAAACGATCTTGTTTCAATAAGGAGGCTTCCACCACTTCCTCCACCTGATGTACTTCCTAGATGACCGCTCTTTCCCTCAAGTTTTATGGAACCATCTAACCTCAAACTGGTAGAATTTATTAAGAGAGCACCACCTCCTGGATTCTTCCCACCGCCACCACTGCTACCAAACATGCGTGGACGAGAGACGCTGTCGTACGAATTTCCTGTTATCTGTTGACCTTTCCCCTTGCCACCTCGGCCACCATGACCTGCACCTGATGAACCTAATGGATCGGCTACACCTTTTCCTGGACCGAGATTAATACCCTACAAAAGTATTAGATATAGATTGAATGTCATTATGAATTACCGTGAGGAAAACTAGGGAACAACTGCTTTTGAAAAGTAATTAAACAAGATAGTGTACCTTGAAGCTTAGGTCAATAACTCCAGATTGTTCAATTGTAACTTGCTGAGCCTCCAGCGTAAGACGGTCAGCAGTTAGTAAACCACCACTTCGTATCCATAGTGATGAACAATGGATAAAAAGACCACTTACGTCGCTTTCAATGTCAATTCTGCCACCTCCTTGAATCTCAATTTCTCCAAATTTAATCACTCGTGATTTGCTGCCATCAGGTGCTGTCAGTTTCCTGGAAAAATGTAAATCATAATGAAGCAACCAATCACCAAATCAGTGAAAGTCAAAGAAAGAAAAGAAGTAATTATGATGTCAATGTAGTAGACAAAATTACATAGAATACCTTAAAACGAGCTTTCCTCCGTTTCCAACGGTCACATTATGCGCCCCACTAACACTCCCAGCAACGATTACTTTAACACCATCGATGAATATATTCTCTGGAAGTTTAACATCTCCACGCGGATAWACATTAATGCCTAAAGGAAACTTTTCTCCCTTAGCGCTTGCACCACTTGAAGACATAGTTAACCTTTGATTCTCTTGGATATGTAATATACCAGATAAATCTCCAGTAAATCCTTTAATAGCCCACTGAATAGATGATCCTGGGGGGTTAGACAGAACAGCGAGCTGTGCTTTTCCACGTATATCAACCTGATCGAATTCTATTGCACGAGTTATGTTTGATGGTGTTATCCAGGTCTTGCCTCCATCGTAAGCAACATTGATAATGTCATCAGTGATTGGAGTTCCGACATTGTTGTTGTTCACGATTAGTTTTCTCGTATTGTTTTGTTTGTCGTGCAAGAAGATTGTCCCAGCTCCACCAGATTCACGTCTAAAATGCATATTATTAGAATACTATGTTAGCATAAGGTGAGTTGATAATGTAATTTGCACCTCTATTTCCTTATACTTAAATTGATAATTTGTCTTTTTGTCAGAAAGGATACAATTGATTGGGCGACTTACTTGCTTGAGCCTCCATAAGCTTTAAACGACCCACTAAAACTGTTATTGTAGAAGGTCACGGATATTCTACCTCCTCCACCACCGCCACCAAAGAACTTGCCATTTCCACCGAAAACTGTCGCTTGTCCATTGCCAGAAAGGGCTTTGGTATCCAACCAAACACTTCCACCGCTGGCACCACCAGTGTTGTTTTGTTGGCTATGCTGACCATTTGCTGTAATAGCACCATCGAGGGTTAATGATTTAGCCACAATTTTCACTATTCCACCACCTGTTGCTGATAAGCTTCCGCTACCGTGAGATTGTGGTTGATTAACAGAATCATAGGCCAAACCTGGTACTGAAGAAATTCCACCAGTACCCCCACGACCACCATGACCTGCTCCTGCTGAGTCTACAAAAAAAAAAACAGTTACATCGTTTGTAACATTTTCAAAGCCCGGCAACAACTCTGAATCGTAGACTCCTACCTGAACTAGAACCAGGTCCACTCTGTTTCTTCATTCCCAGTCCATCAGCCGAAGCTTTACCAGACGATTCTATATTGACGTGTTCAGCAGTGATTTCAAGCCATTTACCGTTCACTTCACCTCCAGCAAGAACCGAAAATGTCTCAGTTACGTTAAGACGTAAGGTAGGAGAAGAAATATTGGTTGATTTGGCTGTTAAAATTGCTTTATTCATAATAGTCAGTTTGCGAATTTTTAGTGTCATTGGAGGATAACCATATGACCGGCCCTGTAAATCAAACAAGTAGCCATGACACTATAGCTTGTACTAAAACGAAACATGCCTAATTATTACCTGTTCTGTGACTTCCAACACAGTCCCTTTCCCAATTGAAAGCTCATTCAAACCGCTGAGAGTTCCTTCGAGGGTTATCATTGGATAATACAAGTTTCTTAGCAGCATTTTTGGTGGAACTTCGAAAAATCCTTGTTCGTAGACCTTAAAACTTGCAGGGAATTGTGAAGGCGCAGAATTGACAATAAGACGTTGCGATTTCCCAACATGTATCATCCCACCGCTGTCACCATCGAGGCGGCGAACGTTTAACGTAATGAAGCATTCACACAAGACACATGGACAATCACCAACATGTCTTAGAGCAACATGACCTATGAAATGTTTACAAGAAAGAAAATATTGATATGAAACATATTTGCACGKAATTCTGTAAGCAACAAATCAATCAAGCTCACCTCCGCCTTTCACAATCATATGGTGCACAGTAAATTCTTTCAGATACTCGAGATAAAGCCATGCTCGTCCACCGTCAYTTGATATATCCCTATAATCCTTAATGTATAGGTTATTGGTCCGGTAGCCGTTGTTATCAATGATCAAGGTACGATGAGTGTTATTCTTAGACAAGAAGACAGTTCCTGGTCCACCGGGCTCACTGCGGCTAAAGCCACCATGCGCCTTAAAAATACCACCAAATCGAGATGTCTTGAAGCTTATAGCTATTGATCCGCCACCCCCTCCCCCACCGTCCTTGACATCAGTAGCCTTTGCACTCCCTCCTCCTTTAGCAAAGAATTTACCTGCATATAAAGAAAGCAGAACGAGCTCAATCTTTTTAGATGTTTTGTGAAATATAAGATGAATAGTTTCTCAACCCGAAGTGACTGTATTAAATGTTGGATGTCGCAAGCGGTCTGTCGAATTGAATCTACAATACCTTTTCCTGTTAAAAGATCACATTCAATGTAAATACTTCCTCCGCTTCCACCGCCCGTACCCTGGTGAATAGCGGGCGCTGCTGACACATCAATAAGTCCATCGTTTTGCACAAGTCCAGAGCTTTTGATATAAACAGCACCACCACCTGTACTACCAGCCTATTGTATACCAACGGTTATGTTAATGTGACGTCATTAAATTATCTTCTGCAAAACTACTAACCATATCCTTATACCCTTGTCCACCACCACTACCAGGGTTAATGGGTTTATCCAAGATCCCATACGCTCTTCCAACTCGTAACTGGGCTCCACCTCGACCCCCTGCTCCACCATGTCCCGCACCTGAAGCGCTGGACGTAGACGCAATACCAGGCTCTTTGCCTTTACCAAAGATGAAACCTCGAGCAGCAGCTGTCAGTACAGCAGACACATCAATGTATACCGCACTGGCCGTTATGTTTAGCATGGTGACGTTCATTACAGCACCAGCGTTGATCTTAAGCTCTTTCTTGAGGTTAATCCTACAAAATCATTTTCAAAGAGGTGTTTATAACAAAAAGTGTACAAGACACTGACAATAAAGATTAAATTGGATATCTTACCTGAGTTCAGTAGGATTGTTCACTCTTTGGTATATTCGTCCTCCATTAAGTATCGTTACACTGTTCATATTCATGACGCTTTCGTTATGTGAATTTATGCGAGCAAGCGAGGTGATATCCAGCGTACTGCCGTACGAGACAACTAAGTCTTGAAGTCCAATAATGGTAGATTCACCATATATGGAAGTTTCTTGAAGGTAAACTTCATTTGGTAGAACTAGGGTAGAATTCTGGAACACAAATATTAAAACGATTCAGTGACGTGCGTGATTGTTTAGAAGACAATACCACTTTCTCACCTGGTAAGCGCGAATACTGAATGGTATCAACGGGTTGTCATTCAGGGTGAAGTTTGCTAATTGACCTTTCCTGACGTGCAATTCTCCAGTAAAGTCACCTTTATATTTTCCTACTACAAGTTTCACGTCTCCCCTATCATTCTGCACACCTAAATGAGCCATACCACGTATATCCAACACGTCAAGTTCAAAGTATGACGTCGCGACGCTATCAAACTTAATCCACGTGCGTGAAGCATCTTGGTTCAAATACGAGCTCGCAAGGGATGATGGGTTATCCTGTCCGATGTAAAATTCCAGTTGGCTCAATGCAGTCGTATTCGACAGTTTTGTCAAGGTTATCACGATCTGATTGACAGTGCTTGAAATGTCGACGTCACGGTAAATCCCTGTATCATGACATCCTAAAAATGTCCATCGATCGTGCAACGTGTGGCCCTTTTCTTGGGGACGTCTGGATGAGACGGTATAACTGACTCGGTAGCCGTCGTGGCAGTACTATAACAATACAAGTAGTGCACATTACAAACAAACACACAAACTTTATCAGTACTATTCATAGCATGGCAGTCATTAGGCAAAGTACAAGAACTATTCTTACCGGATACAACCTCAAATGGTGTATGTACATTGATTTTGAGAAATCTGCTGTAAGTGTGACACTATCCACATCTACTATAAAGGGTGAATTATGATCACCATCAAAGAGCTTTGACATTCCGTTACTAGGCAACGATGATGTAATGACGATGCCATTGAGACACGTCTGCTTGGTAGAGTTAGTTTCTTGGGCTTGAAGATTTAATTTTTCGATCTGAAACAATACATTGTAACGGGTTGTTGTAAAAAGTGTTTGGAGACATAAACTACTTATATTTTGTTTCATCAAAATGTTTAAAATACGAAATATGTTAGCTTGAATCTAGCAACATACTCACTTGGTTTACCCGAGCTGTAGCCGGTGACCGTTTCTTATTATCAACAATCAAGGAACGCTGTCCTCTTGTTGTATTGTTGCCTCCTTTCTCTATAAACACTGTACCAGCAGCGCCGTACTCAACGTTTCCAAATCCTCCTGTTGCTTCAAAGACTCCGTCGAAGAACCCTTGACTATAATACACAGCTACCCTACCACCGGAACCACCACCTCCACCGAGTATATTTTCATTATAACCTTTTCCTCCATTTGCCTGTAAATAGAGATGATGCATGATTATCATTTATGATGATGAAGATTTAAAATAAGTATATTGTTTTTGAATGCACGATAAGGTAAAAATATCGATTTCAAGGAGTACGAGTTTTGTTACAGCTGACCTGAGTTGTACCGCTTCCTTCTAAGGACTTTGTCTTGATAAACACACTTCCACCACTACCACCGCCAGCGTATATTCCTCCATCACCTCCATTAACACGGATAGTTCCTTCTATGTCAAGAGTATCGCTGATATTGAGGAAAATGATTCCCCCTCCCCTCCCTCCCTGGTTTGCACCATGCCATCCACCACTGCTACCTAGAAAAGGAGCATAATTATCATCTTCATCACCATCATTTGTACCAAGGCGATCACGATGTTAAAATCAATATTGCTTCATTTGCCATACCAAATTCTAGGGGCTCGATAAAGGAGCCATATGAATCGCCAGTGAATGGTGACATCACAGATCGTCCTCCTCGTCCCCCATGACCACCACCACCTCCTCCAGCATTTCCTGGACTAGGAGAGTTTTGACCAGCACCTTTACCTGGATAGTAAAAGTGTTGGTGATTAATTAGGTATCAAGTCGTTATCCTGTAGTGACCGACTCATTACACATTTATTCATTAATACCTTTGAATGAAAATGTTTGACCAATAAGAGTAGCTTCTACTATCGCCAAGGCATCAACTGTCATATTTTGCGCATGCACATGAAKATTAACCGCTGACAGTTTTCCACCACCAAACACATGTAGGGTTTTTCCTAGAAACTCACGCACTCGTTCTTGATTGGTCACTTGCATTAATCCTTTGTTACGGATACTGATTGACTCGAAGTTAAAAAYCTATCAACAAAAATAAAATTAGAACATTAGCAAAATGTTTATTTAAATAAAAAACAAAATTTCCATTCCAGACGTTCCACATCATTTGAAAGTAGCACCAAAAACTCACTCGTGTGGGGTTCCCTTTGGTGTCATACATCTCCCTCATATAGATGGCTCCACCATCTACAACTGTTATGTTCTGACATCTTCGTAACACACCATCCACTTCAACCGTTACACCAGCAACGCGAAGCTCCCCCTGCATGATGGTTAACCCCCCCTGATAAATAATCATGCCCATGGGGAGGTRGGATTGAAGTGACAGAAATGTCTGGTTGAAACCAAGATGGATCCTGCCAGTGCGATCGCCTTCCATTTTCCCTATAAAGACGATTATCGTGAATTCAGATGGAGACAAGAAGATATGTTGTTCAACATTTTGCTATTTTTTAATTGCTGTTCAACCTCACTTCAAATATTACTGCTGTGTGGTAGATTTYATGTACAATTATCTTTTATAAAGCAATTACAAGGTTCATACCTATGACAATTGAGATGGCATTTCTTGGTTTTGATGGCTTGATAAACGCTATCTGAGCACCGCCATACAAATGGACTTCATCCAGTTCAACATCACTTTTATTGACACCAAGTACATGGWCATGTAGAGTAAGCCATGTGCGAGATGATCCATACAGGGAAAAGTTACCATAAGCAGTACTGAGATTTGCCGATGGGTCACGTGGGCGTTTACCAATGGCGTTGATGTAAAGCGTCCTAGATTTGTTGAAAATAAGATTAATAATACTGACACATGTTTATCTAAACCAATTTCACAATAAAAGGGAATAAATAAAGAAAAGACAAAAAAAAATTATCGTAAATTTTGTCTGTATGTTTTGATAATTTGTACCTATTTTGTACCCATCTGGCATCTTTTACATTCTCTATTTGCTTAATTCGATCCATATGCGCTGCCTCATCAATACGATCATGACCATACGTAGCAGTATTACCAGGAACACTCTCAAGATAAACAGTACCAGCGCTTCCTGGCTCATACCGGCTACCACCACCAGATGCAAGGAACTGCCCCAGGAAATGATTCTCCCGATAGAAAATAGCAATCCGACCAGCAGCACCTCCACCACCATAATATGCGGACGAACTGTCGCCAGCACCACCGGAAACAACAAATCTTCCATCACCATGGAYACGTGATGCGTACACCAAAATACTGCCACCACTGCCACCGCCACTTCGGGTATTCGATCCCTTAAGCCCAYGGGATGAGATGTTACCATCATTTGTTAAAGTATCATGTGCTATTATTTCTAGTCTACCACCACCACGCCCACCGACAAACGGGAACACACCAGCGCCTCCGTTACTACCTGATGATGTAGGTATTTTGAAATTTCCGTATGAAACACCAACGCGAGGCTGTTTGGTCCCTTGACCACCATGACCGCCATGACCTGCACCTGAAGATCCCTCGGTATCTGCAATTCCGTTGCCATGGTTTTTTGTGGTTAATCCATCTGATAATAAGTGGGCAAACGGCTCCACTGTGATGTTTTTGTAGTCCAATGTCAAACTACTAGCCTTAATCTAAGAAACACAAATATGTACCATTATTGGAAGAATAACTCATCCTTTGACAAACAACTTATTTATCCCCAATAAAACAATAAAAGTCAAACAAATGWTCACGGAACCAATGAGCCACCCTAAAAGTACATAAAGAGCTACCAAATTATATGTCAATACGCAAACACATTTATCACATCGACGATTAAAAATACTTACTATGCCTCCACCTCGAATATCGAGACTTTTCCCATAAAACGTCACGTGTTGCTCGTCATTCCTTTCGACAGCAAAATAACCATCGGTCTGCACCACGATGTTGCTTAAGGTAAAGTTAGTCTCAGTAGAGTCCTTTATGACGAATCTACAGTCTTTTCCTATTGTAAGGTTTGTTAATTTGTCCATAGAACCCTTCATAATCACCTCAGCACCACGACACGTCATGAAGTTAGGAAGACCAATGTTCGTTTGCTGCTGGCTGAGGAATGAAAAGGGAAGATGGTGCTCCTCGCCTTTGAAGTGAACCCTTTGAGAACGACGTACCGTCATCAAACCACTCATGTCACCTGTGATTGTATTAGCTTCAAGAGAGAGATTATGACCACTGAGACCCAAACGGGCTGTACCACCAATGTGCAGCTGAATATGAGATGGTAATCGTATTTAAATGWTAGACTTGATTACGATAGCAATGGCATAATTAACACAGAGTTGATAATAGTTGATATATTGCTTATTATTTGTACCTATCATAGCTCACCTCTTCGAATACAAAYGTTTTCGTGCTCTCATCCTTGTCAACGATCCACGCATTTGGAGACGGAAAGTAAGAACTTTGTTCAGCAGATGTGGGATCTTCAGCAACAAAGAWTTTCACAAGAGAAAGGGATGAATAATCTGAAGAGTCCTTTCTTARTGATATGGTAACCTTCAAAACAAACAAAAWKYSAATAGGACAGGCATAAACACAGTGGAAATAATGATGGTCACAACGTTTATTMATATCGATTATCAAATACCTTGGTTGCTTGTTGTTTAACATCAACTCTTCCTGGCTGTCCTTTCACACAATTACTTGTATCAACCCAATCACGTGAGTGCACTATGACGTCATTTTCACGATAGACACTGACATAATGCTGAGTGTTATGACTAGATTTCCCACATGTTGGGTAGATCAGGAGATACTCYAGTACGAGAGGTATCGGGAATTCATAGGTGATGACAGGTGATGCGTGTGCAGTATAGTAGTAAGTRGACACATCGCTTAGTAGATTCCCTAACTTACTCTCAGTACAATATGAAAAGCGGCAGTATGGTCGACTAGTGGTTGATATCTTAACCCCAGACGGTGCTTGGTAAGAGACTGCATTGCCTGGGTAGAGGACATTTCCAGTGAGAATAAGTTGTTTGTACTGGTCTACTCGTAGTACACCATGCCTTTCAACACCATTATTGATACGGAGAATTCGATGAGGATGTGATTCATTTTTTCTGTTCTCGATGTATACAGTACCAGCACCTCCCTGTTCAGTATGACCCTTTCCTCCGTACGACTTGTAGTCACCAATGAAGGTGCTTTCTCCTGTATAATAAACAGCAACTCTACCACCACCTCCACCTCCTCCTCTACTTCCACCTTTACCGCCAGAGGTTTCAATCGAGCCTTCACCATCAAAATGAAGCGTCCTTACAGTGATACYTCCTCCTGCCCCTCCTCCCCCTCCTCGGGATGAATCGCCATTGGAATGCACACGACCCTCAAGTCTGAACATGTCAGTAACATCTACAATGATGGTACCTCCRCCACTTCCACCAGAAGAACTTTCATTATTACCGCCTCCACTCCCATAACGTTCTGGAGTATAGATGGTACCATATGCCTTTGATGACAAGATACCATGACTTCCACGACCTCCGCGSCCTCCATGACTACCTCCTGTAGGTCCAGTGTGGTAGACAGTACGTGAAAGACCAGCTCCYGGACCTTGACCTGGACCAAATCCTTTTCCATCTGCAGAGATCTCACCTACATTAATAAAAAAAGCATCGTTTACAAAAGAAGTGACGGTATGACATCAATAGGGAAAATAGATCACAAATMACACACAAAGATCAATGTACCTGCTACGTCAACTGTAGCGTTTACTGCTACAATYCTCAAATCATTACACCGTACCAGTCCTCCTCCATTTATAACCAGTCTTGTCACATTTACAGTCACTCTCTGGACACTTCCCAGAAGTCTTGTGGTCACAAGCTTCCCACGTGATCTTATTGATATGTTAATAAATCGGAAGGAGCCTATTTGTTCATTGATAGAGTTTCCCTTGGACCAAAGGTACAGCTCACCATTGCGGTCAATCGTATAGTCATCAGCATGAGATAATGTCCCATTGATCTCCATGAATACCTCTCTAGATAAGCAATAACATAAGATTTAATCAAAAGGAATTGATATATCTTCTAAACGGTTGGAATTTATAACGAAGATGAGGAACAGAGATAGARAGGGRAAAAAAGGKAACGCGAGGGAATTAAACGAATAGACTCAGTTTTCACCTTAATGACATACGCCTTGGCACTTGCAAACTGCCTTGATGGTAAACAAGCGTATTGATTGGATAGTACACATCAACATCATCAAATGAGGAGGACTGGTATCTACCTACATGAAGAACACTGCTTCTGTCACCAACTAGAGTTTTGGCGCGAAAGTCTACTCGGTTTTGTGATGCGTTTCCATACATGGCAACGTGTGCATTGCCATGGAGATGGAACTCATCCATGGAGTAGGAATTTGATTCATGCAACCACGTGACACCTCCAATGTTACTATAAATAGAAAGCAAATGTTAATTTATAACATGAAGTAAATGCGTGATTGTGTAGATATGGATTGTGTGCAGTTTAAACTTGATGCATTCACCTTATATCACTATATATTCCATTGAGAATGTGCCTCAGCTTTCCTCTTCTATCAGGTCCCATAGGGTAGGTCAGATGGWAATTGTTGATCTTAAGCACACGGTATTCAAGGATACTTGAGTTACGCCGTTCAAGATAGATAGTCCCTGCAGCTCCTGGTTCCACGTTACTACTGCCACCTTTGGCAGATAGGGTTCCATTGAAGTTAATCATGGTTTTGTGATAAACAGCGATCCTACCTCCAGACCCTCCTCCCCCTCCCGACGAGCCATTTCCACCGTTCACAGAAATCCTGGTTGAAAATATCAATGTTAAATTATATATTTAATTGTCCGTCGTCACTATCTATTTTTGTCTGCCTTTGGTTTCCCAAACCTCTGATTCTGCCTTAACCTTCACCTCTAGTACCCCACTTTTTCATGTTCTCTATGGCATCTGTATAACGTACCTTCCATAACCACTCAAGTCCTGGCAGGTGATCCACAAACTTCCGCCACTGCCACCACCGGCGGTGCTGCGAGAAGCCCCAGACTCCCCGTCTGCCGACAGCTGTCCATCTAGAATGAAATGACGACTGTCTATTTTAAGAGCACCAGCCCCTTGTCCGCCAAGACCACCACGTGTAATACGATTACCGCCTGAACTAGTAGAACCGTCGCGATAGTTTCCGTAATGCAAAGTACCTAAACAGCGGGATTAGAATGTGAATACATGGCAGTAAATAACCACATAAAGATAAAATATACTTGCCGTAATGAAGGCCATAACCTCCAGCGCTGCCGTACTCCCATGGTTGAAATAACGACCCATAATGTCGACCAACACGACTTTCAGCATTACCTCTACCCCCACTCCCAGCATGCCCTGCACCACTTGCACCACCGGTATTTCCTCTCCCTTGGCCGGGGCCTTCCGATTGTTCAAACTCATTTCCAGTTCTCCCCTCCTTTGTTACGTAGCCGGCGTGATTGTGACTGAGTTTGCCGCCTGAATACACCGCTAAAAGGTGATGAGCCGTTATGTTTAGACGATTGTTAGATTTAAAGTGCCCACCGCCGTAAATCTGTGAAATATMAGAAAGTTTGATCACTATGGTTAAGAAAGGAGGATAACATTACGCCAAGATGAAGGGAAAACTCATTGAGACGATCGCTTACCGTTACGTTTGTAGTTGATAGACGGCTGTTTAGTTGCTTGTCATTGGAATAGAGTTCAAATGTTCCCTCACTCTGGACATGTAAAGTCTTTACTTCGTACTCTCCGGCGGACGTGTTTTGACCAAGACTTGAATTGGAATCAGAATAGAACGAGCCACCATCATAAACAAACAGATCCTCAATTCCTAATATCTGCAAGAAAGACAAAGAAACTGAGAAAAGACATACTAGACAGTACAGGCAGATTGGGAAAACCATGTCATTCGATAACCCAAGAAACTACACAAACATAAGTATAGATAGGTTACCTTTCCTGATGATTGCACGCTAACCTTCTGCAAGAAGGCGCGTTTCGGCATGCTAATACTACCATTTTCATAAACACGTAGGCCGAACGGGATATCGGGGTCGGTGACGTCAATTTGGAATGAATGTTTATACCCAACATGTAGATATCCGCTCTTATCTCCATACACTCTGCCTGCTCTAACCGTCACAGGCGAGGTTAAAGAGGTTTTTGGATACACGGCGAGTTGTGCAGAGCCATGAATGTGGATTTCGTCAAAGTCGTAATCATTAGTCCCTGAAGCAGGTTCGATCCATGTCTTAGCACCATCAAACTGACGATATTTGTATCTAAGAACGTGTGAATAAATCAACGACTGAATTTATAAATAGATGAAGGAATGAATGGTTGGATGAAGAAGGTATTTGATAATTGGATGGATAAATGAATTCAAAATAAAAAAAAGGATAAACGAATGTATGTTATAAGAATAAACGAGAGTATGAATGGATAGAAGAAAGATTAATAGGCGAACAAAAGATACATAACAAGGGATCGCATAATAAAAAAAATTCCCTACCTGTCATAGACATTTTCACCATCAACAAATATTTCAATCTCTGTCATCCCAACATGGACCGGATGTTGTGAATACGGTCGAGTCAGATCAAACGTAATTGTCTTTGCGTTTCTACGGACAGGGAGATCGACAAACGATCCCTGTTTACATCCACTTGTCATTAAAACGAAATTACTGGTAACAGGAACAGTAGTACTGCCGTCATTTGTCGAAACCTGTCACAAAGGAGAACAATAATGATAATCATAGATTACAATTTGTCCTCATTAATCACTATAAATATCACTTACCTTAAAGTCTGTTCTAATATGGCAGAGAGGGTAGACGCGAATATGGTTGATATACCTTAGTTGTTTTAAGTCAATTACAAGGTTCGTTGTTCTGCAGTTTGATTGAAAGCCTTCGCATGCACCAGAAGTGAACGTTTGGTCAAAAAGGTACGCAAGAGAGTAGAAACGTCCGCATGTATGACAATGTGAACCACTACAGTAACGCAAAGCACAACCAGTGGTGACTGTCAYACCACTAGATGAAGTATAAGTCTGTGACGCATCTTTACTGCCACCAGACAGCTGCAACTTYACACCTTCGTTAGKTATTCTATTGGAAAGTGTCTTCTGATTGTTGTTGTTCACCTTCAAGATGGAATGCCCGGTTCCAAGATGCTTAAGATAAGCAGTTCCGGATGCCCCAGGCTCTGCTCCTGATATRCCTTTCCCGCCAWACACATTAAGACTACCACGATAGGGATGATCTGTATGTGTGTTATTATAGTAGACAGCCAATCGTCCTCCAGATCCACCACCAGAACCAGGTTTTCCCGATCCACCAAGACATTGAACAGCGCCAGTATGACTACCAGAGAAAACTTTAGTAACAATGAGTATACTKCCACCACTTCCACCACCAYTGTTTGTCTTGACGTCATCGCTGTTTGCAATCACWTGACCGTCAACCTGTAAAAGTGCGGATATAGACAAATATAATCAATGCTACTTTTTTATACGCTATGATTATATTTCCATATTATGGTGATAACATGCAATATTCTTTTACACGGGCTTTTCTGAGAAAGACACTATTGGCCACCATTGGGTAGTTAGCTATTTGATTATATTATGTACGTATTTCACCTGAAGTGTATTAGTAACGTTGATTCTTAGTTTTCCTCCTCCTTTCCCTCCATTCGGTCCATCTCCACCGCTACCAAAGCTTTGAGGATAAAAAACATTACCATATGGCAAGCCTTTCTGCAAGCGACAAGTATTAATGGCACCATTGCTGTCACACTTTCCTCTACCACCCGTCCCACCGTGTCCAGCACCATTGTTATTCAGCCTGTTCGAGAAACTTTTAGGTAGATCCCCTCCATCATTTGCATCAATAAACCCACCGTCATCAACTGTAAGGTTGATTGCATGTAAGTCCATATTAACAGTTTTAACTCTTGCYCCACCCTCAACAAGAAGGATCTTTGCCTTCAAGAAAAAGGGATCAGGATGAGAATTGGGGCTATGAGATTCAATCTTCGAATCAGCCATTACACGGACTGTCTCGTTAAAAACAAAATTACGTCGTGGTTCGAAGCCTGTGAATCCAGTTAGATAACAGTGCAATGCACCACCATTTAGAAGTGTGAGGTTTGTWATGTGATCTAAMGTCCCTTSAACGTGGACAGCTATTCTGTTCATCTCAGCTATCTGAGAAAGTCCAAGGTATCCTCCATYGTAGACATAGGCACTGTAAGGAATGTCTAAGAAATGTCTCTTCAGGTCGATAATCTGGTTACTACCAATGTGAAYAAACCCAGTCCGGTCTCCGATCATATATCTAAAGAACATTGATATCTTTCTATCGACTGGATTGGTTTGGACAGAGAGGTGTGCGCCGCCGWAGATCTGRAGCTCTTCAAAGTGAAACGMATGTGAATGGTTGGCAAAATGATGAATYCCTGAATCAGGAAGAATGGATGCTCGACARCCATCCTGTGATAAGTCRGMRTAATTTGAAATACGGTTGGTCATTGGATGYTGGCCACAGTTATCAAGCAATAAGGTTCTATGTGTATGTACCATGTGGTATAAAAACACAGTRCCCGGTCCTCCAGCTTCAGTGTTACCTGCACCACCTTTTGCTCCTCCGCAAGATTTAAATTTCCCGATAAAGGTTGTATTCTTAGTGAAATAGACTGCTATTCGACCACCAGAACCTCCTCCGGAATTTATCCCGCCSCTTCCACCATGTACTGAAATGTTTCCTCTGCCTTTTATGATATAMGAATGCATCCATATGCTTCCACCACTGCCACCACCGYTGTRCGTATCGTTTCCACCATATCCATTAGCCGTTACCTCACCATCAATTTGAATAATGTTGGTAATATTAARCCAAATGATTCCTCCACCAGCGCCAGACCTGCTCCCACCACCACTACTACCAAAACGTACTGGCTCATATAGATCACCATACGCTTGTCCTACAACTAGAGCGCCAGTTCCCCGTCCTCCTCTACCACCATGTCCAGCGCCTGATGACCCGTGGCTTGATGATGCACCAATCCCAATGTTAACAGGGCCATGTAGTCCTGAGCTTGATTTGGGATGACTCGAGTTGTAYCCTAATCCGTCAGCATTCATGTGGCCTCCGTCATCAATCGTGATGTTTTCGGCATGGATCGTATATCGGGTTCCACGAACGACCCCTCCACCTTCGATGGACATGGATTGTAATTGTAGTTTTGTCCCATGGTGAAGAGTAGGAGATGTGAAAGCTCTTATCAKTGCCTYGTCTTGTACTCGRACAGTATTAAACCTGAAAGTGTTATTAATTTGACCGTCTGTTCTTCCACCATCATTGATCCAGAACGTTCCTCCATGATGAAGTGTCATGTTTTGTATGTAAGCCACTGTCCCAGTGATGTACAAGGTTACGCCGTGGACTACCGTAYACGGTGCTAAACCAAGGTATCCTTTTTGATAAACATGCACACTAAAGGGCAGGTCAATTTCAGGTCTTTTGAGATCYATTATCTGATTGGTTGAAACGTGCATCGTTCCGGTTCGATCACCGATCATATAGCTGAAAAATAACGATGTGTTTCTGCCTACGGGATCAGTCAAAACTGCCAAGTGACCACCGCCGTAGATTTGAAGTTCTTCAAAGTGGAAATCGCCCTGTCCCTTGGCAAAGTGATGAACAGAAGACTGAGGCAATAGCCACGCTATGCACCCAGTTTTAGACAAGTCGTTATAATCTTCGATGGCCGAAACAAGTGGCTTTTGATTGCCATTGTGAATTAACAGRGTGCGATGGGTATGAATCATGTGGAATAAAAACACTGTTCCTGGACCTCCTGCCTCTGCCTGGCAAAGATGTTCCTTACCAAATTGACAGCCTTGAGCAGCTCCTCCGCGRGCTTCGTAGAYAAAGTATGTCGATGTTTTATTGTCTTGRAAATAGATGGCRATTCTCCCTCCAGCTCCACCYCCACCAGGGTAGCCATTCATTGAKCCACTTCCTCCGTTGGCCGTAATTTTACCATATCCTTTAATGGTTTTACAGTACATCCAGATACTTCCACCGCTTCCTCCTCCACTGTAGTTATCGGTGGCAGACTCTCCGTGGGCTGAAACAACACCATCGACGTCTATGACGTTGGTAACATTCATCCACAACATCCCACCTCCACTACCACCACGCCTATTTCCAGGACCCTTTCCCCCTACACTTCCGAACATGGCTGGTTCATAAAGGTCGCCATACGCCTGTCCCACAATAGGAGTACCGCTGATAACATAACCGCGACCACCACTTCCTCCATGCCCTGCTCCTGAGGCTCCAGTATTCGAGTCCACTCCATGACCAGGGTTAATTTTTCCATAAATGCCACTACGTTGGTAACCGTGGGAATGGTTATATCCTAATGCATCAGCAATCAATGACCCTCCGTCATCAATCGTTATGTTCTCGGTAACAAACGTTAAACGAGTTGCACGAACCACACCTCCTCCTTCAATATATACGGCACGAGTGGTCAAAACAAGCCCCGGGTCGTTAACGGGTGATATCACAGCGTTAATAAGCCCAGTATCCTGCACACGGACAGTATCAAACTCGTACTTGTGAATACCCACTAAGTGAGTTCTCCCGCCATGTTGAAGCCATAGCTTCCCTCCATGATGTATAGTGACATTCTTAATGTAAGCCAAAACACCTCGAACGATAATCTCGACACCGTGAATGAATGTTACGGGYGCAAGACCGAGATGACCCCCACTGTAAATATAAGCACTAAAAGGAAGATCAATTTCTGGCCGAAACAAGTCCATCTCTTGTTTATTCCCAATATGAACCATCCCTGATCTATCACCGATCATGTATTTAAAATATATGGAAATATTTCGTGGATCGTTATGTTGCCGTGGCCATATTGCGAGATGTGCATTGCCGTATATCTGGAGCTCTTCAAAGTGGAATCTATGTGAGCTGTCGGCAAATCTGTGAATTCCAGATTCGGGCATAATCCAGGCTTTTCCTCCTTCCTGGTGTATTTTGCTGTAGTTGATATGTCTGTTAAGGGCACTTCGGCCATCGTTCTCGACTATTAGTGTGCGATGGTTGTGAAACAGATGATACAAGAATATAGTGCCAGGCCCTCCACTCTCGACGTCTTCCAGACCAACCTTTGCTTTGCCACCATGAGCTTTATAACTGAAAAAAAACATAAGTTTTTGAAATTGTCTTTTATGATATAAAGAACCATAAACATTTTCCCAATTATTATTCATTCCCTTACTGGCAATCATACATGGTACAGCACAATATTACTTCAACACGACAGAGTACAAACTTACGTGAAATTWGTAAAAGTCTCATTCCTTCTGAAGTAGACAGCCAATCTTCCTCCTGCACCACCCCCATTATATTGTGTGATGCCAGGAATTCCTCCGTTTGTCGTTATGCTACCATAGCCTTTGATAATGTTGGTATATATCCAGATACTTCCGCCGCTACCACCTCCGGCTTGGGACTGGCCAGCCCCACCGTCTGCTGAAACGACACCGTCGACTTCGAGAAGGTATGTGACGTTGAGGAAGAGGCGACCGCCACCGGACCCTTGACAGAAGTAAAAACATCACAAACTAATCAGTATAAGGTCAGCAAATCCCAGTCATGAGCTATTAATAAATGACTGTTGCTACGTAAGGACTTCGAACGATACAATATGACGCAACCAGAACTGAGTCAATCGAAACAGGTGTGGATGGAGTCTCATCAGTACTTAGCTCAGTAGCAAAACAGTTATTTGACTGTCTATTACCAGCCCAAGACTGCTTTCTTGGTGTTYAGTAACTATCGKYAATGTCAAAAGGGAATAAAAGAACCACAGGCAATGTACCGACAATGTTAACTTACCTGCCGTTCCGCTSCCGTTACCACCGCTGCTACCAAACTCCCAAGGCTCATATAGGTTTCCATAGGGAAGTCCTACAATTGGCGATGTCTTTCCCCGTCCACCGGTCCCACCATACCCACCACCAGATGCTCCGCTATGCACACTACCACSATCAACAAAACTCCCACGACCTTGGTTTATTTTGCCGTTGATACCAGTAGACGTACCATGATCAAAAGAATAGCCACGCCCATTGAGTGAAAACACACCATCAGTATTAATACTAATATTTTCGGCGAACACATGTAGATCACTACTTTCGACCTTCCCTCCCCCCTCTACATGAAGCAACTTTACAGTCAGGTTCATCCCAGAATGAGTTGCGGGGTTAGAGATCATGCGCAGAAGGCCTTTGTACTGGACAGTTATAAAGTCAAACTTAAAGTCGTTCTCTTYGTGTTSATTAGCTGTGCGTGAGTTCTCATTAAGTGATAATAAACCATCGTGATGAAGTGTGAGGTTCTTGACGTAGGATAGCACACCGTCTAARTGGACACCCACTCCATGAACCTGACAAGAGCAATGATAAATTAGAACGTTTAAAGAAAGCGMCTTYTGATTKCWTAAGTAACTAATGAACGCAAGTCATTTTCTACGAACATAATAAACAGCGAAGATCAAAAGTTRATGCTTACGATTGTGACCGGTGCGAGACCAAGAAAACCTCCACGATAAACACGAACGGAGAAGGGCAAATCGATGGTCTCTCGTAGCAAGTCCATTGTCTGATTGTACCCAATATGAACAGTACCAGTGCGATCTCCGATCATGTTACGAAAGAGTATCGATGCAGAACGATTATGTGGTTCAGTCAGGATAGCCAAGTGTGAGCCACCATAAATCTGTAGTTCTTCAAAAACGTATTGYTGATCCCCTGCAAAGGGGTGGTCGCCTGATGATGGAAGTAGCCACGCCCTCCCTGGRACTAACGAGATATCGGCGTAGCTCTTGATAACCTAATATACAGCGAGACATCAAAATCGCGAAAAAGTCAATGAGGATTCACTATTATAAGAAAGTATACAAATTTGTTATATCTCTTACTTATTTTTACGCTCTATAATTACCATACATTATAGGAATTTACGACAAGAACGTTTTGTAGGTTTAATTATATAATACTGCAGTAAATACATTAAAAACCTACTTGCAAACTGGAGGGTAACGGCCTTCTACCAGCATTACTTATCAATAACGTTCTATGYTTGTGCAACAGATGGTAGAAAAAGATAGTCCCAGGCCCTCCACTTGACCCATCAAACGTACCACTCCCTCCAAAGGCCTGGAACGAGCCACTAAATGTACGGTTACTTTTGAAATAAACAGCTATTCGACCTCCAGCACCACCGCCACCATTGACGGGTAAATAGCTAAATAAATAACAATATTACCTTAGGATATTCATGTAACATATACAAATAKCGAAGATAAATTCAAATAAACGCATTGCTAAACAAAGTCAAAAAATTAATTTCGTTGTTATTATGATTAATACTATGGCATCACACACAATATTTTGATCTTAGTTTACTGAAATGATTTTCGATCAATGGCAGAACTGCAGGGCCGTGTGCATTAACAAAACTCCAAATGACTTGACGTTCTTAAACCACTACAGACGATTCTTCACTTGAGGAGGGACAGCTCTAATTATGGACAGCTTTCCAAAACTCCGTTGTTTTTCTTTGATACAAACACTATATGTGTGCACTGTTTTTACGTTTATCGAATGCGYCCCTTTTGTGGAGTCAACACTGCGATCGCTCGTTTTTCTTTTTGTTYATTTTCATTAAACGAGAAATGGGTCAAATATCTCTACTGAAGATCTGTCTTATCTTGACTTTCACAACTCATTCGCACTTTTGCATAAGGCTACCGCAACATTACTGAAGAGTATTATTACAGTTATGACCCACAAAGTTTTTTAATTACTTTTCAGTTTGCCGCGATAAAATATAAGAATATGCCTAAGTGCCAACGCATCATGTTGGCAATGATGGCAAAAAAATTGGGCTATCCACGGGAGACTGTCCGTTAGAAAGGCAAAATCAATTGAATTTATCACCCAGAATCCAAAACTATAATCTTTAAGTTGATGGGAGTCCTCATTATGAGCGACCACAATTAAAAAAATAGATTTAAAAGATTGACCAGCTGCACGAAACCGTTAGTTCTTGTATACCGTGTATGCATCACCGAAAAGAAATACCGAAAATCTACCGGACACTTAATATCAAAATGGGCTCCCAAAGCAAACAAAACAAGGAAAAATCATTTCGAAATCAGTTATAATCAAGAAATAAACTTCGCATTTCCTGCCTTATAAACTTTTTATTTGATTCTTGTCTTCCTGTGACATTCCTTTTTTTATATTGAAAATATCTGCTTAAGTTACCCAATCGATTAAAGAGCGCACGAGATAAAACAGTTAATCAATATCATTCAAACACACCCGTAGACACTTTTATTTTAGATAGAAATAAAAAGAAAATGCGGTATAAGCGTTAAAAACAATTTTATAAATGTCGAGAAAAAGTGTTCTTGGGGTTGTTGAAACTATTATGTATCGTTAATCAGCGACATCTTATTGTTTTGAAGTCTTTTCACAAAACAAACTCTCTCTAACGATTAGCGTAAATCCTGTCAAAAACACCATATGTGCTCAACAATAGTTGAGATATAACAAAGTATCGTAGCAATAAACACGGAAAACATCGACTTTACTAATGAGGCATAGCAATTTGYTGAGGACAAATACTCGAAATATGAAACGTAAAAACAACATAACATTGAGATCGTGAAGGTGCAGTTGGATGAAATCATTATCGAGATCTTCATGTAAAAGGAATAAAGYATGTGACGTAGCATGACGTCAAAATATAATGGATGGATCACGTCCCATTTCGGTACAGGTGCAAATAATCCAACATCTTTAGCTATTACGTTTTAGGGATATGTAGAAAATGTCACAATTGAACTTAAATATTAATGTTAATTGAGGCAAAAGAGTGGTTTATTAGAAACGACAAAGAAATATAATTTTATTTTCTACAATTAACATAAAGCAGTCACGCAATTGTATTACTTGAGACATCGTTTGATAATTTTAGTAATCTGAACGAAAAATAAAACGAAAATTCATTTTGGATAATCGTTCCTCATACCAARTAAACCCGGTTATTCAATATGACGAGCTTTCCATATCAAGTGTTTTCAGCGCTAATATAACTATAACTACTGCAGAAATCATGCAATCGATATCCTGGGATATTATGAAAAGGCTTTGAAATATTTTTATTGAATTTAGAGGACGTTTAAAAGTACATTGGTTMAAAAAAACCTTGATACAACCGCGAATAAACGTTTCACCTTGATTAATGCAATCAGTAATTCATAAGCTGGATCGTTTGCAAATATATGAAAACCGCCGTCCCGCAGCGACAACTAACAAACAATATTCCACAATATTGTAATAGGTAAATGCGATTTTGCAATAAGCTCTCTCATTGGACAGTGAAATAATAAATAATAATACCTGAATTTGTTCAATAAGATCTTGGATTGCTAAACTTACAATGAAAAATAAAAATGAAAAATAACCATTTAGTCTTAAGAAAAGGTAATTGAATAAGTARTGGTGCCTCMAGCGTATTGTGATCTCGAAATTTCATTGGGATGAAAAAATGACATAATAACCGAAGTTGCTCAATGAAATCATGGATTACAAATTTTTCAATAAACAACAGCAATATTCATTATAAAAACTAATGAAATCAATAATAAATGTATGGCGATTGCTCAATACTTAAAACCTCTTTCCCTGCCATTTTCTCATGTTTAGGCCGCAAARTAAGATATGAGTGCCAAGGTTTCATCTCCACTAATGCGTTTTCGTTTTACATTACTTTTTGCACTGTTTTCATTTAGATATGGACAAAAACYAATAAAATCTTTACTAAAAGAAACACTGAATCCAAGGTGTTTCTCAGAGCATCGTGGGCGCATGAAATCCAACACAATGATGAAACAACAAAACTTAMACCCTGGCTTTCTTGTTTTAATTACTAAAATTCCATTTTTATCTGCACAAGCTATTTAAAGAAAGTAATCAAGTCAATGTTTTATACGTTCTTCATGGAAAAAAAATCCAAAAAAATAAGGATTTAAATTATTCGTGTTGAAATGGCGACAGATAGGAATTCTTAAATGAAAACATTTCTAGGTCAAAGTGTTAACCTTTTCAGTTTTGATTTTCGCTTAGGACGTGATGCTATTGTAGGACAAACTGTCACCTCCTTGGATTGATATTCAAAATAAAATCATTATAGAGTTCTGGKGTTGAATTCGTGCTATTGCACGTACATAAATGGGATGAGATTGGTATTTCTTGGTATACATATAAATCTGGTGGCTTCAAAGGATGCACACCGTTTATTATTTCATTAAYATTGAGCAGGCATATAATATACGAAAAGCCACARACTAAAAAAATTGGAATGACTCCCAATAACTGAAGGATGATAATATCAAAAAAATGTACGAATTGACTTGAGAGATGAAAAGATCGATAAATAGTATCAATTGATGTGTTACGTGGAGTGTTTTTAGAGGCCATGTCAAGTAATTATTCTACTGTCATCTCTKATGGAAAACATTTTTCTTTGGGTTGTTACATTTTGTCATGATTTAGAGTAAGATAAAGTCAGAGTATGACAGCTGATGATGGAATTTCATACTTTCTAAGATGGTATAATATCTTAGTTTTTCTCGAATTTCATTTCGAGTTTTACTTTAACAGCACAATTTTCCCATCAGGGAGTGCGCGATATTATAATGTATCGGTGTTAAAATGWATAGCACCACAGCATGTTGTAAAATACCCTTGTTTGCTCGAGGCACTCAGTCAAAATYCTTGTCGAGTACGTCTCTCTGATCTCTTTGTACTAACGTAAATTCAAATTTCCTGGTAATTCACTGGAAATGGTTTGACGCCGGCCAAGTTGTTTACAACTGACGTGTACAGGTTTTGACGGGTATCTTTAACGGTCTACCTTGACTGCTTAACTTTTTAACACACTCTGTTTACGCTKCAAAAATCTCATATAATCATCGATCATTTTAGAAGAAATGACGTTAATATATTATCGTGAAATCAACAAAAAATGTCTTCGCTCAAATTTTCACTTTTTCGACGAAAGAGTCGGCGATCGATGCGATATTCAAACTATTCAATCAACCGGCTTAGCAACATTTGAATCAAAAACAAATAKCTTTGTGGTAAAAAAATTACGAATCACGCAATGTAATCAATAAGAATTAAGTAATTAGAAAACTAAAACTATTGCTTCCATAGATGAAATGTTTTAGTTGTTTGCGAATATAGAAACACTTCAACAAAGGCAGTAGATATGCCACAGATACAACGAGTCAAAGGTCTTGTAAATGGTTTTAATTCTATAAATGCAGAAACAATGGCCTCTGCGTGAATGCACAACTAATTTACATAAGCGAGGAAAATAACAAGTCTGAGCTTGTAATCCAATCCTGCAAAGTTGATATGTACATTTAAATAAATCAATCAAAAAGTATGACTAAGATCAGTGTATAAAGTAAAATGTGAACATAATTATTTCAAATATCGGATTCGTTGACAAATGAGTCAATCAATCATTCAAAGGTCCAATGTGTTTCAGTCTTTTGTGGAGAATCGGTAGATTCTACAGCAATCCCAAATCTTCCAAATCCCAATGATGTAATATAAAGTTCAATGCTCAAAAATCTTGCTATCCTCTTTAGATAAAGTGCGCTTTCTCCTGTAATGTCGGCCGTGATTATGCCAATTGGCCCTGCTAGTGTTTAATGCCCTTTCAAGATGTACACTTGCCAAATCTTTCTTTGCCTGAGCGCTGCTGCTGTCCGGTTCATTTTTGTCAGTTCGTAATTCGGCCCCATCAGTTTGGGTCGGAGGAGTCTTGTGGTGGTCCGGGATTTCTAATTCGTCTGGATTGAAATAACACTGCGTACTGACCTTTCTTTGTAAGCCTTTCTCGTACATGCTCTCCCACACCGCACTAAGGTCGCTTTTCTCTTGATACAGCGTCCTTTGTGACACGGCACCAATGTCTTCTACAACAGCTTTTCCTAGCTCATTCATAGATACAGGCTTGTCAAGAAGCGACATTTTGATAACTGCAACGCAGACCTCCTCTGCTCCTCTGGTCCTGTGTTTTCAGACTAACGACAGTTCAATTCTTTCAATATCGTGTAGTCTTTCTACAGGTTGCCACCTGAATAGAATACCATGTACTAGTGTTTTCAATTGACTTCAACGGAGTACAGATACCAGAAGTCGAGCGGCACAATCTGTTTTCCCTGTTTACTGCACCGAACTCGAAACAACTGTTCCACGAAAACCGCTGTTCAAAAGGATTACATCATAACGTCCGACCACAGGGGGCCCAGACTATCCGACACCACATCCATGAAATCACAAACAAAAGAACGAACTTCTAACTGAGAGACGTCAAAACACGGTTTTTTCCGTAACGGAAGAATAACCAAACACACCCCAACAGAAATATACACGGCATGTTGTCTATTCAAAGTCATTGAAAGAAGTCTGCTGGGATGTCATTCGTCACATTTTTATAAAAAAAAAACTATACAGAAACAAACTAGATTCTGTTTTGTCTTCCTTTTAATATACTGAAACTYATAGTAAAGCATTCATACAATTAATAGCAAGTGATCAATGCAGAGTTGTTTTGTAGAACGAATAAAGTTTAGTTGGATTTGCGTGCGTAGTTATTTGCTTAAACTAAAACGATTTCTGACATTTCTTTGTCTTGCCTTTGATCATGTGAAATGCACGTGACCACAGGAGGTTTACAGTAGCCTCCGATTCTACATACGACTCATATTTGGAACAAAAGTATCCTTTTGTTTTGCAAAATACAGAGAAAATATTCAAACCCTACAGCACACTAATCGAAAAAGAAGCCAATGTTTACTGATATAAAATCTCCCTTAATTGTGAATTATTTAAGCACCTCCAAGAGCCTTTTGTTATCTGCAGATTAGTGCTATTTTGCATCGAGAATAAAAAAAGGTAAAAACACATGAAATGTATCTTTTTCCTTCTATTCAATTAAATTTTGCGCCTTCATTTTAGAGAGTTTATTGTGAAGAAAGCTCAAGCAGCAAAAAATGAAATTATCACTACACCATCAGATTGAATGATATGACAGCCCAGGAAACGAATAGAGAAATTTCGAGAAAATGATACCATTTTTGATAGTAATAATGTCTCTAGTTTATACAAGTTGGGTTTTACATTTTATGAATGACATCAAATTTCCGTTTTCATGAGATGAGCGGCAAACGACTGTTAAAATGTTTCACGATATCATGCAAGACCATCAAAAATTGAAAACCAAATAAAAAACTCCAGTATTAAATAAAACAGTACAATATAGTGATCATTTGATCGCACCGCTCGAAAAGAACCCGCTACAYGTCCGTTGCTGCAGCCGTTCATAGTCTAACTAATAGTCTAACCCAGTATGACAATAGTAACGTCTGCGGACCACCACAATAACAATAGCCCAATTTCGATWTGTTAGTTGACTAACCAAGGACAAAAGGCTCCGTAGAAACAACAGTTTAAGCTTTTGCTTTTGATCGTCTTCAGTTTTGTCAACTGTACTGACTTAATTGGCGCAAAGCCATTAAAATGTATCGGTTCTCTCCCCACTCCCTCCCCCTCACTGGTTTTTCCATTCGTGACGAGAGGGATGAATCAGCGTGAAAGCCGTTGTGAAWGACCAGAAATCTCTAAACTAAAGTCCGAAACGTAAGCAGTCCAGAAACCTAAAATGTCTTCAATCTTTCTCTTCCTTTTCGCGAAAGCTTGAATTCCAAATTTATTATTTGTTTTTTATTATTTAGTTTTATGACTGGATCATTAAATTGCAGTTAATCGAAAACGCCATTTTTAATTGTCTGACATGATTAAACGGAAGACAGCAAAACATCAAATTAAGTCCAATAAGAAAGCAATTCTTACCTGCTGTTTTGRTAACCATGACCTCCATTAACTTGTACAATTCCATAGCCTTGCATTATATTGGTAGTAATGAAAATACTGCCACCACTACCACCCCCAGAGAAAACGGATTGACCACTATCTCCATTAGCGCTTAAAATACCATCGATCCTTAGAGTACCATCCACCGTAATATTCACGACACCACCACCAAGTCCTCCACCGCCTCCACCGCGACAACCGAAGTGTGCGGGTTGATATAAGTGTCCGTAGGCGTTGCCTACACGTGGTTGGTTGTAGCCAATACCACCACTTCCTCCATGACCAGCCCCAGAGGATGCTGTACCTGTTTTTCCTTGTCCAGTTGTACACCTCAAAGATCGAAAGTCAACTGTTACATCAGTATGATCATCAGTTAGCCAGTGATGGAAATCAAATTAAACCAGAACGAACAAAAGCAAGAACATAAAGCAATTAGAAACGATAAACTGCAACAATAGCTGTWCGAACAATTCTGAGTGAAGATAATGATGTATATTTATCATAAGAAATACTCACTTCGCATCATGGAAGTCAGTTCTCAGTCTTCCAAGGTCGTCAATGGTCAAATTACCAGCTTCGAAGTACAATYGTTTCATRTGAAAATCACCAYYTCCTTGAATATTGACCTCCCCAATAACCATAGTCAGCAATTTGTCATCAACTTCCTGTGTTGAAGTAACCTCTCCTCCATCTGCGACAGTAAGGGAATGGAACTGGAAGACGCCATCCTTGTTAGCGAGCTTTGTAGTGCCAGTAAGACCTAAATACAKGCGGCATCCTTGAGACACTGTCATTCGATCTAACATTAGGTGACCCCTGAAACACAAGTTATATATTTATTGTATAATAAGCTCAAATGARTATCGATCTAGACGGTCTTTTTTGACGGAGAAAGAATCTCGAAAGCAAATTTTAACAAATATTTTATACACAGAGCACACACACTGCACTAATTGTAATGAAATGGAATATTTCTTGTCAACCAACCTGTTAGTTATTTGAATCCCAAAGCATGTAAAAGATGGCGGTAGATGAAGATGTCCCGTCCTGTGCACATATACATTCACTTCGAACTTCTCATGATCAGCAAACTGACCAACAACRATTTGATTTGCGCCAACATGAAGGAMACCAGTGCGATCACCAACAAACTTGTGCACTTTAAGACCGTGAGGCCTTGTTATGTTAGGATGAAGAGCAAGGTGTGCTCCTCGTAAAATGTGCACCTCTTCTAACTCGTACTCCTTTCCAATGGGTAACAACCACGCCCTGCCACTGTCTAATTCGGATAAAGTATAGTTTGATATCTCACTGGTGTATGGTTTGAGGTTTCTGTTGTCAAATATCAGAGTCCTGTTGTTGATGCCGACGTGTCTGTCCTGAAWCAAAATAATATCACGTAAATACGCAGACAAATATGGAAAACAATGTTTTGTGGAGTATAAGGTGATGTTTGTATTTTATGTGCCATGCATTGTGATGTTATTAGTCTACCAATTACAAGAGCGTTTAAATGTGGTATCGYACGCTACAATTTTACCTGCAAATACACCGTACCAGGCCCTCCGTTCCTCGCTCCAGTTCCTCCAAACGAGGTGAGACTTCCAAACCACCACTCTCGGTCTTTCCAATAAATGGCCATTCGGCCACCACCGCCCCCACCCCCATTACCATTACCATTGCCACCGTTGACAGCAATAACTCCTGAGCCCTCTAAAGCATGAGTATGTATCAGAATACTACCCCCACTACCACCCCCTGTGCCAGAAGCTTGTCCAGACTGACCACTTGAGGTAATGGTACCTGAAAAGAAGAAATAATTTTTGATTCTTACTCGTTATTCATATTTTGTAGGCTTATTTCAATGTTAGTCTCGAATAGAAACTTATACAGTTAGGTACGATTATTTACTAAATATTGTGAATAATGTATTACCTTCAACGACGAGAGCTTTCRCAACCTCGAGCTTTAARATTCCACCTCCCGACCCCCCTTTTTCACTAGGACCTCCTCCACCGCTACCAAAAACACGTGGCTGCTCGAAATCCCCATATCCAAGACCAGTTCGTTKCGTAGATATGCCGCTGCCACCATAACCGCCGTAGCCAGCACCAGAACCGTCCAGAGATCCAGCACCCGGRCCTTTCCCTGGAGGATTTACATGAATTTCAGTCAACACCTACATTATCATTTTTCTGAGTTCTGGTCGCAGTGATCAAATGATTAAAATAGATCCTGATATTTGTATTTACCCGATGATTCGCCTTTCSCGTCAAGKAGGAGCATCCCAGCTGGATCCACKACRATTGATTCTGCCTTTAGACTYAACGAGCGAGCCTCTAGTCGACCATCGCCTTCAATGGTCACCATTCCCTCACGTCCAACAGGACCATAGTCTTTRATAACGTCWATATTCCATTGATCGGACTCGTTRGAGGGTGAGCTTTGTARAACCAAACGTCCGTTCTTTTGGATGGTTATACCAACGAATGTTAGACGTCGATGACTAGAACAATCAATCAATTAAAATGATTCTGTTTGTACGAGTTATTTTATCTATCAGGTTTTATTTGTTATTAAGCCTTTGCTCCATGAATGACGTATAAAGTGAATGACTAAATTAAAATCAAACTGAATGAAGTACAGTATATCGCAAACAGACTCACCTTGATGTTTCAAAGCTGATCGTACCACCATARCCRACCATCAAATGCGCTTTCCTACCATCAACTCTCCCCCAAATAGACACATGACTACTTCGAGTGAGTTTGTTATACTCCAGACTCTCGGCTTGCCGAAACTCTACTGTTCCATTAGGTAGCATCAACGTGCCTCCTTTGTATATATAAGGCGCCCAMGTGACATTGATACGTCTATATTCGGAAACTGACRTCATTTCCAGAGTAGTTGTTGGCCCTACGTGAATGAAACTCGAGTCATCTCCATATATGGTATCGACCTTGACATGGGTGTTCAAGCGCGGGAAAACTAGATGGGATGCACCGTATACTTCAATGTGCGTGAACTCGTATTCGAAACCATCTTTCGGTGGGTTWAGATAGGCCACAGCACCTAAAAAAAATCATACCAAAGGAATATAAGATAAATGAATCCATATGATTAACCTACAAATACTACAGCACTTACCACTTGAGATAAAGGTGTTGAAATTTCCATCTATTGAGACCATAGCAGGGAGACCCTTATTATCAATTCTCAAGTTCTTGATCACTGGMTGTGAGCCTTGCAGRTAAACGATGCCTGGACCTCCATTCTCTGAAGAACTCTGTCCACCATTAGCTACAGTTCCATCACTAGGAAAACCACCAATCTCATAGAAGACATTGATACGACCTCCAGACCCCCCGCCGCCGTTTCCGATCCCGTTCCCGCCTATAGCTTCGATACGACCAGATCCTGTAAAAAACTTTGCGTTGGACCAAAATGATCCTCCACTTCCCCCTCCGGCGTCAGTYGACTGAAAAGGAAAACAAATGGTAATTACGCTTCTGAAAACAAGAACACAGCCTACAGGRTTCCTTACAAACATACCCTTCCTGGATCTCCATTTACTTTGAACTGACCATCAACATTGAGTGTTCTGTTGACAAATAGGCGTATGCGTCCACCACCGCGCCCCCCACTACCAGAGGAGTCTCCATGGCCCCCTCCGCTACCCCAAGTCCCTCTAGAAAAGATATCACCATATGTTTTTCCAGATGCTCTTATTCCTCCACCTCTTCCTCCTCTTCCTCCATAATTTGCCCCTGAGCCTCCACTGGACGAGCCTTTTCCAGCTCCTTGACCTTGATCGCTAGCACAGCCRCCACCACTGACATCAACTCGTCCTGATGMACCAATAAGGACGTCACGTGACGCGTTAACAGTCAGAGAACCTGATTGYAATATCCCCTTGACTTCTAGAGTGTTCACACGTAGAAATGTATCAGAAGCACCTTGATCAACGCCACGTGGAGCTCCTCTGTGATGAATATTAACCGTTCCACCAGAATCAACGGTGAAGTTTTGGGAAGTAAAAGGTGCATTAAATCCAAATATAGTGTCTGTATGTAGTAATCCACTGACTCGTACGAAATCGATGTTGAAAGCAGTATTGGCTTTAAAATAAAACTGAGCTGAGCTCCCCAGAACGTTAAGTTGTTTCCATCTTGCTCCTATGTCAAGAAGACCGATCTTTAGCTCCCCTTCTACTGTTACAACATCACACAAGATTTTTGTTATATTTTTGGATGTGACATTGAAAACCCCAGTGGGTCCAACCTTCAACTGTGTCATTGCATTTTGTGTAAAACCTTTCAGTGTTATAGCATCCAGTGAATTGACTTTCCCATTGATAGTTGCTTCATCTATAGAGAAAAGACGCACAGGATCAAACTGAAAAGTTCCAGTCCTTTCGACTGTCAATATCTTCCATCCTGGTTCGATGCTAAGTTTCTTAGTAAATACCTTTCCCGCAATAGTGACAGATTCCGCATGGATAACAGATGTGTTATGAGACGAAATGTTAACAATGCCAGATGATCCTATCTTCAAATGAGGAATAAAGCTTTGGGAAAGGCCTTTAAGATGCAGAGGTCCCTGAGATGTTACAGTTCCATTAATGAGTATGTTGTTGAATGAAAAGGGTTTAACAGGACTGAACAAAAACTTTCCACCATCATTGATAGTTAACGTTTTCCAGCCAGGGTCAATGCTTAGCTTTTTAGCCAGGAATTCCCCTGCAATAGTAACATCTTGGGCATGAACAATAGATGTTCCATTTACAAAATTAGATTGAGAGGTAGTGGCAATCTCAAGATGACCTTTAGGCCCAATAGAAATGTTGCTTGATACAGAAGAAGCTCGACCACGAATGTAAACATCAGTATCAAAGGATAACTTTCCATCTACAACCAAATTATTAACACTGAATGCGCCAAACGTACGAAGCTTCACTAATCCTTGGTCATGGATCACAACTGAATAAAGTCCAACACCAATTGATGCAATGCCAGGAAGAAAGTTTCCGTTAATTTCCAACTTATTCAAAGTGAAGTTAGATACCAAATCACTACCATTGATGCTTAACTTTGACTTTTCTTCCAGGAGAAGTTCGTCACCAATGAAAGCTAAGTGACATCCTACGGACATCTTCGCTCCAGATTTTAACACGATTTTCTTTGCTAGCAATTCCCATCGGCAATTGGAAGCAACACTCGAGTAACTCTTAAGCACGATCTCTGCGTTTGGCTCAATGGAGAAGTTTGTGAATTGTAAAGTCTTAGGAGAAGAACTAGGAAACACGATTAGCTCCCCTCCATGTTTTCCAAATGAAAGAGACGGCTTGTTAAGTAAAGATAACTTCCCATGTAACGCCAATGACCTTTCAATAGAAATAGCCGAGGAGCCTTGACTTATTACTAACTCTCCATTATTGAAGACTTTTGTGCAGGGTGAAAGGACGCTAGTGATCTGTAGTCGTACGCCTGAGGAAACATAAAGATGTCCTGTACCATCGTCAGCAACGTCATTAACAACGAACTGTGCATTGGTCGGTCCAGTAAGTAGGAGCTGGGCACCACGTGACAATGACACCCTTTCAATCTGAGGAGGACTAGAAGATATTGGAACCCAGGCCACCGCACCTAAAACAAACATAGATATAGATCTTTAATCGATCTGACAAAAATCATATATAACAAATATATTACCTGATTCCTTGAATAACTGGTAATCAGACGAAGAACTGACCTAATAACGAAAGGAAATGGTAAGAGAAAGCAAATAATATTTCCGATACCAAAAAAACAAGTCTCATTCTTGGCCCTATTTCAGGAGGGCTTTACACAGATGTGTCTGTGTGCAGTGATAAAGCATTGCCACTATACAAAACGCCTCACCCTTGAACTGGAGCCTATGTTGTCAACAAGCAGTGTACGTTGTGGAAGGCCATTTTTAAAGCCATTGATAAATATTGTTCCTGGACCACCAGCCTCGGGAGAATCATCTTAATAGGAAAATTATTCGTTATCATCATATATAATCATTTCGTGAAAGAAGAATGCACGTAGTCTACTTACCTTGAGGGATGTAATCACATTTTGGAAGGTTTGAAGGATCTACAAGAAGCAAATGGGTCAGCATAAAAACGCATTAAAAATGGTAAATTCCCTCTATGTATTTTAAGACTTTACCTGACACAAACCCCTCGACAGCCACTCGCATGACAATCCCTTGATTCCACGTTAAAGGAACAAAACGAATGGTTTTTGTATGAACAGGAAATGCCAACGTGTTACGTTTGGCTGTATTTGTATCAGAGTTTCCAACAAAAACTCTTCTTTCGCCATTTTCCTACAAAATACAACGGATAATAATAAAACAATAACGCCATAAGCCCGTGCAATAGATATCAAATAATATCAATTAACCAGAAAGCAGACCCTAATGATAATGATGACGATGATCATGATTAATTGATGTCTTAAAGGTGCGTTCTATGAAATCGCTTTTTCGTCTCATTCACATAAAAAAAAAACGTCTTACATGTTGCGTGATTAAATAAAAAGAAAGAGAGTACTAACTTTGTAATTCCTTAGTAAAGGTACATCAATGTCGTTATATTGGATGAAGTACGTTTTGACGTATTCAGATCCACCATATTGTCCTTGTGTTACCACAGCTGTCACGTAAGCTTTTCTGGATAGCGTTACCTTGAAGATATCAAATATAGGCAGAAACGTAAAGGTATTGTTTGATTAAGATAAATGTTTTAGCTAAAAGCGTCACTTACCTCAAGATACTCATTGATGGAGTTTTGGCTCGGTTTCCAACCACCTGTGGAGCCTTGATAGTTAAGTATTCCATGAGAAGCGTAGTATTTCCCAATCCGCCAGTCCCTGTATTCACTACTGGCAGACCTTGTTCCAGATTGAGAACTGACATCACGAGCTGAAAAATACGATATCAAGCGTGTGATATATTTTCCTTTTCTGAAATATTTTTGTGGCTTATTTTCAGTACAAAGGCTCATGCAGCTAAATATGGTATTGTAAGCTATACCATAATACAACATGATAATGGTCTATGGCCGAATACATGAAGGTACCATTTCGCGAAATATAGAAATAAGGGGATATACTCTCCTCCTTTTAATCCCTCCACTCCTACAGTTATATCCCGTATTATCTATAAAAAAGTAATCTAGGTTGACGGCTGTGGAAATATAGATAGTGTGATTGGTATATGGACGGACGCACTTACTGAAGAAACAATGGGTGGAAAGACAATCATGTGTTGGGCGAAACTGATCTACTGATGATTGATCTGTTTTGTTGGCTTTTCTTTCAGAAATCACTCAACCAAAAAGAATCTGAAGTATTTACAGGTTTAGACGCAGTTTGTGAACAGTGGAATATCGAACAGTTGTAATGGGTTTTTTGGCGTAATTCTATTTCGTATACATTGTCACGATAAAGATAATAAAACATAGAGAAAGTGAATGTAGAAATGCTATGGCCGATTGTATGTTCAAGAAATCAAAGATAACAAATTATAAATCAGCAGACGCACTTTATCATCTCCATTCAATGAGCCATAGTGATATTACGCCGTGACAGGTCATCCTTAAACAACCACAATCCCTTTCGAGTATTTGTATCAGTTTTGCAATTTTGCATTGTCAAAAATTACGCTATTTTCAATGGGTTTTGTACCGCAGAGGATTCATGAAGGGAGCGTCGACGGAGATGACGGAGCTTCTGAGAATTGTATAATTGTTATCTTAGATACGACCGAGCAATCGTCCACTTCACTTTCAAGACTGCAAGTTACAAAGCATGTTTTAATTTATTCTTCTTATTGACGCTAGAAAAAAAACTCTCCAAGACTCTCTAGACGTGATGAACGTGAAATTACTCAGACATTGGAGATGGGCTTCAAAGATTCTGAAGAGATGCTTAGCAGAACATGTTTCAGCAGATTTCACTGCCATGGGCACTAAATCAATATCCAATAAAATGAATACTTAGGATTAAAAGCAGTAGTGTGGTATATATATTGAAGAAATGCGCTAAAATGAATATCCCATTATTATTGGTATGAACTCTGACATAATGAACTCATTCGGTAAACAATTCACTTGTTCATAACTTCTAATATATAAGGAATGAGAGTATTGAGTCAGGCGACGAGAACACAAAATTGAACAAATTGAAAATAAAATTAAAAAAATACAAGAGACCTTGTAACACTTTTGCTATCAAATTATTAATATACAACTACGTTATAGGTTGAAGTGCACTGTAGTCAATTAAATGTGAGTCGTGAATAGATGCACGAAGTACTCTACCTGTTTTGCCGCCATAGGAATGCGCCAGCCATTGATAAGCACCATGTTGGTAGGTAACTGATATTCTACCACCACTCCCCCCTCCACCTGAACCATGACCGAGACCACCTAGAGACTCTACCTTACCGCTACCATCAATTTCAAAGCAGTACACAGCAACCCCACCACCGCTACCTCCACCGCCATTACTTGACACTGCTGTCCCACCAGGAGCCTTCACGATGCCATTGAGAATAAGCTTACGAGCCTCAAGTTGTAAGAATCCACCACCTTTCCCATAGCCTGTCCCTCCGCCCGCGCTTCCAAGTGAGGAAACATTGAAGGGGTTACCATAGGGTATAGCTTGAGACGCAGCCAGCGTCATCCCTGATGAAGCACCCCCACGTCCTCCAAAGCTTCCTCCTGTTCCCCCATTAGAGTGGCTCACACCGCTACCTTGATTCAAGCTACCCTCATTAAACCCGATTTGAAGGATAGCATTTGATGTTATCTCTAATGTCTGACCAACTTTTAAAGTATGATGGCTGGCTATTGCACTCGTCTCAAAGAATACATCACTTTTTATAGTCAGAGAGAGATAGTTGTGTTTTCCTGGTAAGTATCTACAAGGAGAGCTGATTGTGGCTGTTGAATCAGTAGGACAATATGGCAGAATTGCTTCACTATATGTAGCAAGATGTAGCAACAAAATAACAGGCCACAGATGTCTCTTGACGCGTCTGAACGTGCTAAAACAATTCGTTGAAACTACTCTAGACATTTTACCATGTTGCTGTCATCATCAACAGAAACCAACTACTTGAATTTCTTTTGTCTCTCTTTTTGATTTTTCTTGTAACGAAATTTTAGTTCTCTGTCCGATATGTTGCAGTGACAGATCCGAATGATAGTTACGGATCCAAATGATCAATATTATGCATGATTAACATGTTATCATTATTCAAACTGTGTCACGCAATCTACTACCAAGCTTTCAACAAGCGAGTAAAATTGAAACATATATGCAGCATTTAATGATAACATTGATATACTGACACATATCCATGGTCAGTAATTCAGGTATCATTCTATTGCAGGGACGCAGAGGCAAAATCGCTCAAAAAGTATGAGTAAGACTAAAATAGTTGAATCACAAAAAAAGTATTTATATATTTTGCTTTTCGCAAAACAAAAAGGTGAACTGAAAGTGAAATGATAAAATGGTAAATAAGTCTAGAAAAAATCTTGCCAAAGGACGGGAATAAGCAAAATATGACGTCACACCAGGAATTGTCACGCTCCGGAAAAATGCCATCACGCAATACTTAAATATTAAGTGTTCTGATCAATGGCCCAAGGTATTGACGTCAGAATTCTAAATGTTTGTATTGCTAAGCTAGATTTATAATTGTTTAATAATTGTTTAATAATCATCTCTAACAGAAATAATATCTTTACACTGAACAAAGTGAAAGCCACAAACATTTAGACTAAAAAAATAAGTCGTTACTTGTCGTTAACTTTATGTCAAGACATAATAGACAGTATGACTGTGGTTTTACAAAATATGGTCATAAAGTTTAATTTATTCAAATTGACTTCGCTAAATTAATTTGACTTTGTGCTCCCCGCGTGTATTGTGTAAGGAATTAAGTCGTCAAAAAGAATTATCAGTATTATTAAGAATTTGTGCAACATACGACTCACTCTACTAGATATAACATTGGCAACTGCCAGGATATTCGATCATCGGTAAATATTTACTATTGGGATTCCTGTGTTAATCAAGGCTTGACTTGAACACCCGATAGATTGAGGGGGAAATATAAAGCATTGCTAATAAGTGTACACTAAAAATCTTTTCTTAACAGTATTCATGACTTATAAGCCGTTATGATATGTGATCCAAGTTGAACATTAAAAGGATTTCGCCGAAAAACCCTGAGGCGACCCGGCGGCCATCAAAGAAGTCCAGTTATTCTGAATGAAGCCTTCCGTTACAAAAGAGTATTTTAGATCATTTTCTCATTATCAAATACATTGAAATACTGACTGACCACTTACCAAAAGTTGATTTTATGCCGCAATAATCCAATATTTTGATTTCGAACTGGACTCCAAGCCAACCCATCCACACTTCGCCCAAGCTACATCATCGTATTTCCTGTTTTGTGATTTCATGACTAGTATTCAAAACAATCAGATGAGCTAAACTTTGTCTCCTCAAGGAGACACAGACCGAAAAGTACGAAGTATTGAATTAAATTGAGGAAGAAGCAGACTCTTTCCAATAGCAGCCATTGCAATACAAATAATGGCGCGAACAGGAAAGCTGTTGATTGGCTGATCAGATAGAGGTGCAGATGACGTCAGGTAGACTGCGAAGGGGTCAAGTCAGGGTCAGTCAGGGTGAAATTAAAGTCCATTATCAATTATCTGTCAAGACTCGAGTATATTGCCCCCAAAGTTTGGCAAATGGAAACCATAGCAAAACTCAAGCATTCTTTTCTTGTAAATACCAGTGATTGTCATCTGGTTCACTTTGTTTATTAGAAAGACATTGGTTTAAAACTGTTAGCTCGTGGTACAGCTGTCCTTTTTCATGAATATGTAATAGTTCTTCAACTAAACACTCCAATTGTTAAGTACTTTATAGAAAATATTACACATCACAGAAGGAAATAGTTTTAATTTTCTCTAAATGAGTTTTTACCTCTCCACAGCCTTCTTATCCTGAATTCAGCCAAACCAAAACTGTCGACACAATGACAGTTTTGGTTCAGCTGAACACAGGCAACAGCCTTCTTTCATATCTTGAAAAGTAGCCTTGCCTTTTTGCATAAAAAAAACATTATTCTACCACTGCAAAGTCAATTGCTGTATAGCCACCTTACAAGATGTAACTGGTAGCCATCAAAACAGTACTTTAAATAATATTCACTAGCTGAAAGTTATATATTGATAAATGTCAATCCATCATAAATTGTTTACCAAACATAATGCAACAGATAATTTTGCTTACTACAGAAGTCACACTTTGGTAAAATGACTTCTATTACATGTAGGGCCATGTAGATCTGCAGTCAAATAAAACATCCTTTTTACATTGATTTTAACAAATGCACATTTAAGTACAAAGTAGAAATATTTCAAGAATGCTGCAATCTCTCTATGTGTTAAAATGGTTGAAGACATCACTATCTAAGATACCAAGATGGCATACATTTTTCATACTAAATAGATGTACTTTTGAGTGCAGATTAGCAATCCTAAAATATTTCATTATTTTGATTCTGACAGCGATCCATGCAGTAGACAACAATTGAAGTGAATATGTCAACTGATGACGAGTTTTTAGAAACATGTAAAATAACTGTTTCTTAGTGTTTTCTGATAATATTTTAAGTAATAATTCTTTCCTGTTATTTATCTCTAGTTCTACATGTTTATTACCATTTTTACAAATCTATAAATTAGCACTAAGTCTAGGAGGCTAGAGCTTTGATCCTCATTAAAGTCAAGCATATTCTTTGATCTCCTTGATACAGTAATCACACTGAATAAAAACATGATGTCCATGGAGCATCTTCTGGATGTTTCTTTGCTTTGTTTTAGCTTCAAGTAGCTAAGCAGTCGTCAATCTCAGCAGTGTTCATTAATACACCCAATGAATTGATAGATAATGTCACCCAAAACCACTTCTTGGCTGTTAGTTTCTCATACATGTAACTTACTGGCCAACTAATTTCAGGACTTTTCCAATACCTATAGTTTTACCTGGAAAAGAAATAAGATAAAGAAATCAATACAGAATAGGGAAAAAAAAGGTTCAAGCTATGAATTGATAGACATGTAGACTTGCTTGGATTGGAGGTAAAAATTGAAAACATACATGAACATGGCTGGTAGTGAAACAAAGAATTCTTCCCTCATTCCATCATGAATCAGGAAAAAACACTATAAAATCATTAATTGATAAAATTGGAAATATTTGTCAGTACTGCACCTTCATCTCTCAGTGTAAATCGGCCCATCTGTTGAAAATCAGCAAACTTTTCTATACAAATAACACCTGATGTTTGTAGTCGTGCTATGGCGACTTGGTCTTGTTTGATAAATCTTGGTCTTTCTGGTACTTTTTTGCCTGTCTTTTTATCAATCAAGCCAATCAGTGCCTATCAAATACAAAAATACACAATCTATTTTAACTGCCATGGTGAAGTTTACATTGAGTTGATTTGTATGTTTTTTGTCATCACTATGGCAAACTTATTCTTACCACAAAAGAAACTTCTTCCACTACATTATGAATATGTAGAACAGCTTTGTAACCTGCACAAATTATTGACTTATGCTCTAAAATTACCACCTACAAAAACAATAATACAGTCTTCATTTTGAAAGGATATAACACAATAGTCACAAGACTATAACTRCAGTAATATACTTGTGGCTGCCGTTCATACTCACTAAAGCACACACTTTATCACAATATTTTAGCATGTAGCCTGGACTCCTCATAGCTAGTTTTGGTCTTTGGGTAAAAAAGAGAAAATTGCCTCCTTTTTTGATAGTTTTAATCATGATTGCTCAAAAGGGAGATTGAAAGAGAGTGTGGATAGGTTCATCTTACATACCTGTGCATCAAATGTCCTAACGGTGTGACAAAGGCTATCAGGTGAACAAAGGACAAAACCTGGAGATACATCCTGAAAACAACAAAACAAACATCTCAAACAACRACAAATCTTTCTGACAAACAAAGATTATSACTTACCTCTTCTTCAACTCCTTTTAATCTCAACTTGACATTGTCGCCAGCTTTTGCATTATTCATTTCTTCRTCATCATAGATGACTGTTAATATTTCAACATTAACCTTAAAAAGAAATACAAAATTCAGCAAACAAAAGATGAAAGTGAAGCTTTYGGTGTKTAGGAACTCAAGTATCATGTTAAAATCAATAACAGTACACTTTTGTGCCAGGTTTGATTGCAAGAAATACTGTAATAAACCATTCTGAGAAATATAGCAAGACAGGGCTCACAATACTGTGTTAACCAAGGTATCAACATGAAACAAAATCAAAACTTAAAATATAAACAATCTAGTACTATTAATAAACTCACCTTATTAGGCATCAATATTAATGACTGTCCTTTATTTATTCTACCAGATTCAACTTTACCAAGAATTATTGTTCCCATTTCCTGGAAAAAAGTATGTAAAGTAATAGTTAATAAAAGATTTGTTTCTACATGTTAATGTAAAGTGTACTCACTCTGTACTTATCAGCTACTGGTATTCTGACTGGTCCATCAACAGACCTTCCTAATGATGGCAGCTCATCTATATAGGTTAAGAATGGTTTACCACTGAAAGATAAAACATTTTCTCATTTACAGTAATACTTACTTAATTCTGATGACCTAACGCTCTTGACCATACAGTACTTTTATTGTATGTTAATGTCATGGAATAATGAATATAATATATTCATATATTATACTTTTTTTACATACCTATACCAAGGACACACTTTGGGATCCAAACTTTCTTTGATATTGGCCCCTGTTAACCCTGAACAGGGCATGTACATAATATCTACAAAAACAGATTATCAATAATTCATTTAGAGATAATAACCTCATAAGATACCTTAAAGTATAATATACACAAAACAGTCAGTGGTATTAAACTCACCTGTTTTGGGATTAAATCCTACTTTCTTTAAGAAAGGTGTAAGTTTAACTTTAATTTCTTCATATCTTAAACAAGATATAAACCCAATAATTCAGTAATATAATCTTTTAGAGTTAAATACAGTATTTTCAACATTATYATTAAACATTTTGTACCTCTCTTCAGACCACTCCACAGTTTGATCATCCATTTTGTTTACCAACACAACTAAATGTTTGACTCCAGCRGTTTTCGCTAACATGGCATGCTCTCTGCAACACAAGTATCACAAGTCAATTAAAAGATTTTAATTCCCCCAGGCATCATTAAATGAACTATACCTGGTTTGACCACCTCTTTCAAAACCTGTCTCAAACTCCCCTTTACGAGCAGAAATAACCAGTACTCCTAAATCAGCCTGAGCTGCACCACTGATCATGTTTGGCACAAAGCTTTTGTGACCTGGTGCATCCAGTAAAGTAAAATGCTTTTTTGCTGTATCAAAGGCTGCACGTCCAACTTCAACTGTCTTTCCCTGAATTATAGAGTTTAATACATTAATAACTTGTAAGAAAAGATGACTGGATTTCATTGTCTTACTTTGTCTCTTTCTTCTTGATTGGTATCTAGTGCCCATGATAAGTACCTATGTACAGTAAGATAAACAATGTAAACAAGGTAACTGACGATGCAAGATACTAAGAGAGTACACAAAACTAACCATGTTTCTCTATTTTTCTCTTTGGCTTCTCTTTCGTATTTTTCCAATGTTCGTTTGTCTACTTGTCCTGTGAGATACATAACATGGCCACCAATAGTTGACTTACCAGCATCTAAAACAATAGGGATCATTATTTGTAAGAGAATACTTACTTATTAACAATTTGACAAGTGACAGTCTTTTTGCTGTTACAAATCAAGATATTTCAAGAGGAAGCACTTTGCTTGAATGGTGGAGTTTTAATGTGCTAACATTAAGAAATCATTAGTAATAAATTATATCAATTAATGGTGTTATATATACTAATATACTTACCAACATGGCCAATAAAAATGATGTTCACATGTTCTCTTGTGTCTTCTTCCTCTTCAGGTAAAACTTCAGGTTTCTTTTTAGGTTTTGCTTTAGTTTCTAGGGGAACTTCTTCCTCCTCTTCTTCCATTGGTTCRTCTGTTGTCTCTAAAATAACAGGAATTTTCTTGATACACATACTTTGAATAYCAATAAAATCTCAATCCACATCAAGTCATTTATTTTGAGAATGAAACAAGAAAACAAAAGTTGGACATCACAAGTCAATCAAGTCCAGTTTGAAAGTTTTTACATCATATCTGACGGCTTATCTGCCATCACATGTATGTTTTGACCTGCATTATCTCATGTACCTTGAGCATGTGTYGTTTGCTCTTGTGTTGCTGTATTGATATCAGTATTTTCTAAGGGCATAATGATTATAATAATTACAACATGTTTATTCCACTATTGTGAGATTAAAGAAATTTAACTACTACGTGTATTTTTTTTCTTTTTTTTTAGATTTTTGATAAAAAAATTATGTAAAAAATTTGTTAAGAGTCACCACAACATCATTCTGTAGTAATCGGATTGTAAATCCACTGATTGACAAGTTGTCAGGTCAGTGAAGACAGATGATTGACAGTTTAAGATCAAACATTTTCATAACATCATATCTGCAATGTACAAGAAACCACTATCACCAATTATCATATCTTTTTTTCTTAATTACCTGTGTTCATTTGTGTATCATTTTCATGCTTTTCRTCCCTAACTGATTCTAAAGTCGAAGTGGCTTCTTCGCTCACTATATTGACAATATCAAATAAAATTGTGGTAATAACTCCAGTCATTCAATACATGTACATGGCCACATCGAAAGCAAAAAAAAAAACAACAGAACTTTAAGTATGAATAGATCCGACCTACCTTGTGTTTGTGGAGGCTTAGCAGAAGCTGGGACAAACGCCGGTGCGAAGACATTTGGTACAAATGGAGTGGCATTCACATTCAATTTCTTGAATTGTGTAGAAATAGACGAGTCTTCTCCTGGCCCTGGATCTTCTATCGAGTCCCAAGAATCGGGCAGGTTTGCGTTTGAGTTTGTGGTGTCCATATCCAATTGATTCGGAGTTCAAATTTGTTCAGATAAGTAAAGATTATCAAGTATTATTTTGATAGAACAACTTTTTTCAGCCACGAGACACCGATGGTGCAATTTTGAAGCACGCCGGTAAAGCGCGTGAGCATGCGCRCATGTTTCCGCTGACAAGATTATTCTTAGAGTGCGGTCACATTTGGTAGTTTTCATTTCTTTTCTCATGATTCAAAAGCAAATAGATATGATTGCTTTTTTTAAATTACTATCTTTAATATCAATCCTTAATCCATGCGAAAAAGGGATGATTCGCCACTTTGACGACTTGATGCATGTTATTTTAGGCGGTCAAGGGTTCGAATCTTTATTTTTTTATTTTTTTATTTATTTTTCCTTTCTTCTRTAATTCAAATTTATCATACTTTTGCATTTAGAATCGTTTTAAATCCTTTAATATACTGTAATAATACAGTTTATATCATTTCAGGGTTATTAAATTTTGTTTTGAGTGAATTCAAATCGGAAAAATGAAGGCGTTCAGCCACAGCCAGCCTGAATGAAAACAGATCTCAGGCAGCCYATCCGAAGCATTCTAACTTTCCCAGTGTGTGATAACCCTCTTCATTGTCATTGGAACTGACATCTCCAAACCTACAAAATGCAATATTGAAAAAAACAAAGTATAACTAACATTAACGGTAAACGTTAGGTTAAAAAAGACTATTTTTTTGTTACTAATTTTTTTTTTTATCTTTTACTTATAAAAATTACAGGAAATATAAGTTTCATTCTGTAACTTTTTGGCACAGTGCATGTTGCATAAAATGACGCAGCGAACATTTTTGATATCAAGCTTGAAACCTGAAGGAGTGCGTGTATACCTTAGTGATACTATRGGGAGATCTTCTTTATATGTAAACAATCCTGAGTCTTCACGCCAGTTTTCATCATTTGCGTCACAGTTGCAGTCTTTCCCCTTKACACAGCTATTCGTCACGCTACATCCACATTTACCACTGTCACGCAACGCACCACCCCAGTACTTCATTKGACGGTCATCACGTGATACAGGCCATCCAACTGGTGAGTYGCTATGAACTAAATGAATAGAATCGAAAAAGTGAAATCAAACTAACGTTTTTATAGAAAAACGAAAATACTAGTTCATCATTACTCCAAAACGGTGAATTGAAGCACTCATATTTGACAAACTGCTCGCAGCCCGAAGAGATCGCAGTCAATGCACGCAGTTGATTGACATCAGATATACCATCATACACTACATCACGTCTGTAGCAYCCATTAGCCTCACAACCAGACACTCTCGTACGGTATTCACTATTGTGACTGACAACTGTAACGCCAATACCATTGTGACTGCTCATGTTACAATACACATGAAATGGCAGGACGTCGCCATGGGGRCCGTCAGGATCAATGACGTAAAACTTGCTGTCATGGTAACCTAAAGACTTGGCGTGAGAACAGGAGACTGGAACTAAAACAGAATTCGAAATGACTCAGGGACGCAAGCACGGTGAATACACCTTTTCAGTTGCACTTAGGCCTCGATAGCAAGTTAATTWTTCTTTTGAATTTGACAAATGAGACTATTCATATCAATGTTTGCATTGCTCACATTCCTACAAATTCAAAAGAATATTTAACACGCACACGAGGCCTAAGAGCAACTGAAAAGGTGTATTACAGCAATGATATAATGCAAGGCGCGTACATAATCATATCCAGGGGCGGATTYAGGGAGGGGAGAAAAGTCTGCAACCCCCACTCTTGCTGGACAAAATTTCTTTAGTATTTTAAGTATATAAAAATAGCACAAAAAAACATCGAGTACGATGGTAATTCATACATTGGCCCCACCCCCTTTTTKGGGAAAAATTAAATTCTCGTACATGTYTTTTAATAACTCTTCTAAAATGAAAAATAACAAGTGAATTAGCTAGTTTCCTAATTAATTCGCTAATTTTAGTGGGAAATTTCTATTTGATACGTTCTCCTAAATAGATCCGCCATGCAAATTTCCCGCCAAACAAAAGTTCGCGCCCCCCCCAAAAAAATCCTGTATCGTCTAAGCTATAAACAATAGGCTATAAAAAAATAAGAAACTTATGATATTTACTGCAAGTTCTAAACTAGCACCGCGTGAATCATTGGAACACTCACCAGTCATGGAATCATAAAAGTCATATTGGTCTGACGGCACAAGTATGGCTCCATTGGTGCCCAACAGGGTGCCGTAGATGTGACAAAAGCGCGCTCCAGCGCCATTTGGCTTTYTCTCAAGGTTGGCTGAGAGACACCGGAATTCGCGAAGACAGAAAAACATACATTCTAAAGCATCTTCAACTTTAGTTGTCGCGATAATCTCAGYTCCCTTTATCATARTTTGAGCGTGTCTTTTGAAGTTGGCAGATTTGCAACGTTTTCCGTCGGTCAAGTAGAAACATTGAGCAAAGGCAAAACTAACGGCAATAACTTTAAATCTTTGAGTTGACAAGAATATTCTSAAAAACATCATTGCTTCTAGGTATATCTTTGCAATCTTTGCGATAAACGATTTGAAACTGAAAACGAATAGTCAGCAGCAACGTTATTATATCGGCAATCCACCAACACCATATGACCGAYCATAGAAGTATGACAATTTTAATAAAGAAACTCAGACAGATATCAGTATTGTATTATTTCAAAAACAGTAGGACATCTTGAACGTTTTACTGTAAGCTATTGTAGCCTGCGAATCATAATTTTTTTTCGCCAAAATATGAATTACGCMGCATTGGCCAAAGAAGTATAATTTTAAACTGGGGGGTGGCTAATGAGATTTTAAGAAGAGGATCGCTATTTTATTTGTTTTTCCTATCGACATAGGATTTTTTTGATTTTCTGAATGTATTGATCATAATTTCTATTAAATAAGGARGTTGGCTAGTCACTCTAATCTCAAGTAATTATTGTTTTAAACCAGAAATATTGTGATCAAATATTCATTTAACCAGACGAAACAACGCGACTTTTTCTTCGTTCCTATGTTTATTTAATATTTTTTGATTGCTTATGTCTAAAATGAGCTATTTTTGAAAATGTATTAAATTATATCATATAGTTTRGATCTAAAGAAAGAAATTAACCTGGTCTAAAAGACTTTGTCTTGTATTGATAGCAGCCTTTTAGAATAATGTTAATTCGTTCACGGTCACGACTGCTAATGATCACTGCCTACTTTTTCCTCTTCTTCTTCATCATCMTCTTCTTCGTATTCCTGTAGCTCTTCGACACTGTGGTCCGTCACGTCGAACCTCGTTCGATTAATGTGTTCATTTTCAACTCGGAAAAAATTCCAAATAAATCTCCTGAAAAAGTGACAGCATGAATAAACGAATGAATAATAAACGAAATATGCAAGAACTGATAAATCAATCCATCTAATGAATTCGCCCCATGTAAAGAGAATCCGGAATCCAGTAAAAAATAAAACAGCTTTGGAATCCGTATCCTGGAATCCGGAATTCACATATTTGGAATCCAGAATCCAGCAAACTTTTTGAAATAAAAAAATTATCCGGAATCCAAAATTCTTTGGAATCAGGAATCTCAAGGCTCCGAGTCCGGAATCCAATGTTTTGGAATCTGGAATCACGTGCATTGAATCCGGAATCCTCTTACATGAGGCGAATGAAGCCTGAAAATTAGCATAGGTCTTACCTAAATATTTCAAAAACAGCTAAAAACCCCGTTAATACTTCTGAGTGAAAAAGCCCCGCCTCGCCAATAGATAATGTCAAAATCCACGAAAATCTCAGAACCAGATCACTAGCCATGGCAAAGTAATAAAAACTCTGGGAACAAATAAGCACAGGATCATTACGTTAATTATTAATAAATATTGTATATATCAATACTGTATATATGAGCTATAGTATTCATACCTTATGCTTGAACATGCGTCTAGTTCTCAACAACTTATCCTCTCTTTCAAGGAGACCCCAGTCCATTTTGATATCCCAAACAAAAGTATAGCATGTACTAACAAAWGCTGCCATCACCCAACCAAAGAAGTAGAAGTCCAACTGAGTTGCTCCTGTTTCTTCTAAAATATTCAAGMAAAGAATACGCTRCAAAGATGGTTTTCAYGCAGTCAATGAATACTCAATATTTTTAGGCTATGCTAAATWYATGTAAAGAAAGCCAAGTGGAAATCTTAGAAGAACTGACAGCTTTTCTAACCTTTYCGTGAAGTAGCAATCGTGGAGAAGAATACCACAAAGAATGTAGTGGAATATTTCCCTGCATTAGCCAGGTGAGGAAATTTTTGTTTAGTATCATGATATCTTCTTAAGCTTTGTGAAAATCGCCACCATGCAGGCAAGCACGCAACAAGTGGTCTAATGCCATACAATTTGCTTCCACATTGCGTTCTGTCTATTGGAAATGAATAAATAAATGATTTTCAGCTATAGTTGATGGAAAAAAAATCTTTGAAATAGTGAAATCAATAATATATCAGTTGCAACTAAATTAAGACAATAGCAATAAATTCAGCCAAAGTCACAAAAAGAAAATATTGTAACTGAAACAAAATAAGATTGATGATAAACGCAAGATTGATATATCGGCATCAACAATGACACCTTACCTTGAACAGAGTAAAAGTCCAGGGCATAGTAACAAGCAATGTATTCAAGATCAAGAATAGCAATAACAAGACTATTAAGTTGATCAGCCAACCAGAAATCAGCAAAACCAACTGGATGGAATGGTGTTGTGAATATGCGCCACTAAAAACAAAAACAATTTATTGTACAAACTTAGTTTGATTTTTTTAGCTATCCAGCCGTGATCTAAGTTTCACATGGAGATATCTGGATAGAGACACTTACGTCCAATTACTCTTAAGACATAACTTACCAGAGTTCGAATCAACCAAAACCTTGCACTCCGATGAAAGATTTTTAATGTATTAAAGAAGAACAGTACAAGAAAACAAGTCAAAGCCAATGGATGGAAATAGCTTGAAATACTGAACTGATGTGAGAAAATAAACAGCACCACACTTATACCCCAAACTGCAGCAAAGAATGATGCACGCTGTAAACAGGAAGACACAAAATTRATCATATAATCTAAAGATAGTATGATACTATACCCAAAAACATTGCTTTTATTTCTTTTAGACCTGGTATAAAATGTTCTATTTTACTCAAATAACTTACTCACTAGAAGTATTAAAGAACTTTACATGTATTTCAGGGAAAGTTGAAAACCGAATATACATGTAAGCCTGTTCAATAGTAGTTTTCATGATTTCATAGTTGGCTGTTCTAGCTGACACAGACCATGAAGTTTAAAATCAATAATGCATTGCTGTTTTGAAATGGTATACAATGCAGTACAGTATTCAGTAGTCAATGTTCTAAAATCTCTATAAATTAAATATAAAACAAGGGCAGTGAACCCACACCAGTAAATATTATGGATAATGTGAGAACATCAGCAAGTTGTTTTTCAATAAACACTACAATAATATTATGTAAGATTTCAGAAATGTGACCAATAATAATAAACTATTATTACCTCAAGTATTTGTAAAGCACTAAGATGACCATGGTCCAATTCAATGATTTTAGCATGGTTTATGCCAGCAGCCTTCCATCCACAAATATTGATACCAAATAAGAAGAATGATAATATGAACATAAAAAGTCCTCTGTACATTCTGAATGCTGGCTTCCATTGTATGTCTGTTTCTGACTTAATTGCTGCAGCAAAATAGTCAAGAGTCATTAGCATTAATAGAGTTWGTTTTCACTATGTTCAACAAAGTATAATAGTCAGTGTGATAATGTCAGTGATAAATCAAGAAAAAGATGTACAATTAAATGTCAAAATAAAGTGCAGAACTCTAAAGTAAATACCAATCATTTTGAGTGAAAGACCAATGATTTACGTACCTGCAACAATCATTACTGTAAAGAGTACTACAAACATACCAGCACACAACCCAAACCTAAAGACTGCATACACAGACTGTGCATTGTCCTAAAAAAATACATTTTACAGAATTAATAACAACCATGAAATTGTTATTTCTAATGAAACCGCAGGATTGAGCAGATGGCAAAAGGCCCTCCAATTAGAGGAAGAAGAGGCTCAAATAAGTTTGTCCAGGGTGGTGAGTTTACCTTGGCATCATGTAATTTGCTTTTGAGCTTTACTTGATATAGGGTTGTTTTGGAAGTGTGGTTTGATTCTTTTGCACCTTCCTAGTAATAGTACATTTAATATTAGGTGTATTAAGTTAAGTTAAGTTAAGTTACTGTATGATATTGGGAAAGTCAAGTCAAATAAATACATTATATTAATAGCTAATTGTGCTGCTGCATAATGTACTGAATTAATTCTTGTGTAGTGTTTGCTATATTTCAATACCATAAGCCCTACATATTGTATTGAACAATGTGGTAGTTCTCAATGCACTTATAAGTAATGTATTTTGAACATGCATGGACAATGAAAATCCACAATACTTTGCCGTTTAATACCTGGCCCTTTAAGCGAGCTTTCTCTCCTTGACGTCGTCTCAAATGTAGTCTTCTCTCTTTTCTATCGTCTAAGCTTCGAATTATCGTCAATAAAGGGCCAAAATGCATGACTGTGTTCTATAATCTTCGATAAATAAGATCAGCTGAGAATTCAGGGCTGCCCCACGTCACATGGTGTTGTTCTGTATTAAAACTGTTTGATAATGTTTTAGTGTGAAGAAACCATCTTGACTTTCACCAACAACAGCTTGATGGCATGTCCATTTTAGTTATTAAAGGACAGTTCAGAGTTTGCACATAAACAGTAATATTCTTCAACAGTTAAGCCTTCACCTTAATTCGGACTTTCCGGCCACAGGAAGCCCAAATGTATTATGTGCGCACGCAAACATGCTGCTCGCGCAGCTCACATACGTTCCCAGGGCCTTTCTAGAAACGGTTGAACTCTCTGGGTTGAACTAGAGAAGCTCTATTAAGGAGGTTGCACGCGCAAAAGAGTCCGRCTTCTGGTGGTATCTACATTCTCTTCTTTGTATTCTTTGATCGGATCTTCTGTAAATAGCTTATAATTTGTCGAGGGAATTTGACAAAGCCGGAATTTTATACAGCTTTGAAATGGAAAGAAGTGCTCTCTGCAGGGGCAGTGCAAGGGAGTAGACAAAGGCCTTAAAATGGGACTTTATTTGCCAAATCACCAGGGAAATTAACAAGAGTTTGTTCTGCGTGAATCCAAAACGACTCTATCTCTTGGCCATAGGCACCATTTGAGGGTCCATTTCGTATTAAAAAACACTGACGCCAAACGGCTTCTAATTTGAATTCAACAGAAAAAATTGACGCATTTCTTAAAAGACGACATCAATGTTCCCGTTTCTCAAYCTCATACTTTCTTGCGAACTTGAGTTCAATTTTTCGTTTGGCCTGGGTTGGATCGAAGGTGTCCACGGAACTGTCCTCCCATAATATTTGATTTGGGATGAGAGTCTTATTGAAATCTGACAACGATAATCCCGTAGACTAATAGTAGATCTGGAGTACAAGGACGGCAGTGCAGTTATCAAAATAAACTTCAGGAATACACAATGTATTAGATTCACCTTGTTTAATAAGTGCACTTCTATTACAACAACACAAAATGGCTGACTCTACACAACCATGGCAATGATGCTAACTGGKTCTTATTTCTCCGACTAGAAAATAGAAAAAATATCCTAATATTGTTCTGAATACAAAAAATGTACTTAATAGAGCCCTTAGCTAGTACAAGCCTCGCAATCAACGGCCGCACCTCTCTAAGATAAACAGCCATAGTTGAAAAGGCTCTAGAAGAAGTATCAAACTCCGTTTTTGTACTAGTTACTTTGGATTTTGAGGGTAATACAAATACTAATATAAGATCATTAGAAATTGTTGTGCTCATTGAGTTAGTTGATTATACTAATAAAAAGTTTTGTTTATGTGCGTTTAATTCAAGAAATTCTTTATTCGTCGTCTAATGATGCTGATGATCCACTTCTAGTAGATGAATAGCCCCTACGAGATGTCTGCAAGAAAACACAACACATTAAAATGATGCCTAGCCTAAATAAYAGCTAATTTCATCTAGAAATATCATATCCAGATGGCAATCATCATCATCATTTCCACCTTCATCGTCATCATMATCAACATGATCATCACCACCTTCATCGTCATCATCACTGACATGGCAGGGCTTTAGCCACAAGATTTAGAGTCGTCCGTTCTTTTAAAAAATGGTTGTCGCGGTCAATGTTGATCCTGTGGCAATGGCCATTGGCCATGTCATAAATATCTATTCAGCAATTTTCCCACAACATGCATTCATAGTCCTAACATCAACAATCATGCATCAACAAACAARGTAACCGCTGGGTTGGCAAACCACAACATTCATGGATTTGTTWTGGCTGACTGTAAGACAAAGTTATGTTATATACGAACAGTGAAGAGACAACATGCGTCAATGAAAACAAACTATGTGTACATACACTACAAAGTAGATTAAAAAAAAGACCACGACAATGATAATTACTTCAACTATGACAAAACTTTAAAACAGCTTATRTGAATATGGYCAAGACCGACAATGTTTCGATGATTTTTTGATGACAGTKGAGCGATTAAGTAGCGATACATGGTTCGACAATGGATCGATTTGTGACGAAATATGTTCGATTGCGTTAATTGCYCGAGTGAATCTTCAATACCTACACTGTAGGTTTTTTAGTAGTGTTTCTTTCTATTTCTGCAGGATAAATACATAAAGTATATTATCACATTGTGGTATTTCAATATTGAGAAAGCATGTGCTGTAAGACCATATTTTTCATTGCAGTGGACGGTACAGATTGCARTAACAGAGCGTAAATTTGGATAGTCAAAAATATATACAAGAATAAAAACAGCGAAAACGAACGATGAAATTCAGAATATAAAATGATATCGTTAGTTGGTTATTTCTTGTTATTATGTACAGATGTATCCTAGATTTTCTCGTCGTTAATAGAGCACCGCTGACCTTCATGTAGCAACTTTCTGACATTTTTGTTACAAATCTGACATATATGTGTCAATCACACTTTTGAACAGAAATGAACTCAATTGTTGGGGAKTATACTCAGACAATGGCATTTAAAACTTAAGTAAACTTTGATGAAACAGAAAGTCCTTAMAAATAACAGCTTAATGYAGGAACGAGGCTTTTTTGTAGTACAAATTCTGAGACTTTTCTCACATATTGTTCACTTGGCTCGTTAGTTCAGAATCGAAGTGTCTTCTCGAAGACGTGACGTCCACACCATAATATTTGCTATTTTCAGGGTAGGCAGGTCACTAGTTTAGTCAAGGAAAGGAATCTATAATTTTACTCGAATAAGAGCCAAATCTAGTTCGTCGGTAAAATCAAATGGAGTTTTACTCATCACGCTCGTTTTTATTAAAAGTTATTGCTATAACTGCAATTCCACTCCTAGAGAAATCTCAAATATAATAGAAGAAAATATTTACAATGGATTTGACTTGGTTCGTATGATGAAAAACTTAATACAATCTCAAGGTGAGAATATAAATTGTTATGTGACATTTTTGTAAACTTATCAAATCGGAATTGAAATTTGAACTGTATTTCTCTATTTTAGTAAAACGACCCAAAAAMTTATTAAGCATTAAAAAGTGTTAGAATTAAAATTAGTGGATTTGACGAGTGGATTAGAGACCTAAAGACCTCATATTTGGGAATCCTTATTCACTTCTGACGTCGTTTAGAGGTCTGCAACAAAACCACACATTAAATACCATCTGTTCATAACCGGCCAATCACAATTTAGCTCGACTACATTCGACTTGTTAGCCTTATGGGCGATGTACACTATAACATTCAGGAAGCGATTATGTTTAAAAAATGTTAAAACAGGGTTAAAATCTATTAGAATAACGACTGGATGTATATAAGGATGGCCTATAGACCTCTCTTGATGATGTCCTCATCACACCACTTGAACGGCCACCGCCACGACCACGAGCCTTTTGCAGGGAGCTTTCCAATCCTTCAATCCTCTCTTCGGCTTCCTCAAGCTCTCCCTGGACCTTGCGGTAACGAGCGAGATTTGAAGCAGCAAGTGCTTCCTACGGGTCAAAAAGATATCAGAAACATACATGAGAATGGCATGTGGAAGTTGACAGGTKGAAGTTTCAAGGCGAATAATGTTGAGTGAAATTTAAAAAAGGAGCTTACCGCCTCTTCAACCGCAACGCGCATTTTCTTGATTTTATTGTTAAGTCTTTCAGAATTTTCTTGGGCGCGGGATAAGTTCTTCTGGTCCTCGTCAGCCTGGAATTGGATTTCCTTCATTCGGCGCTCGTTCTTCTTTGCAAGTTTCTGAGATTCGTTGCTGCGTTTGGCTTCTGTGTCCAAGTCACGCTCGAGCTCCTTCACCTATGTAGACACGAATGTGTGTATTAACTGAATATGCTTTTCAAACCAATAAAAAGTTAATATATCAAGTCCAGTCGACCAATTATAACGTCAAGTTTGTATTCACAAATCTGCTGTGATTTTGCGCGTAAAATACTTACTCTCTGTTCAAGTTTCTTGATTTGGTTTTTGAGAGCCTTTCCACCAGCAGCTTCAAGTTCCTCGATYTTCATCTGCAGCTCATTCTGGATGCGCTCAGCAGACAAGCGTGCGCGTTCAGCAGCACCAGCAGCATCTTGGGCAGAAAGAAGATCRGCTTGAACTCGAAGAAGCTATCAATCAAAGAACAATGATTAGTTATGAAAGGAAAATTAAAAYAATCATCAAATGCTAGTTGTTTACATCAGCAGCGGCCTTCTTGGCACGTTCATCAGCTGCCTTGGCTTCGTTTTCAGCATCATCAAGCTCATCTTGCATTGTGCTGATTTGTCCATCCAGTTTACGTTTGGCCTGTTGAAGGTTGTTGGTTTGGGTGGTGAGCTCTGTAACTCTGTCAACAGCCTCGCTTTTCTCTTGGTCAGCTGCACGTCTTGCACGGTCAGCCTAAGTAAATCATATTACATGGTAAGTATCTACCAAAAAAAGTATCCAACATACTCGAAGGATAAGAACCTGTTCGAGTTGGTTTCTCAAATCTTCAAGTTCAGCAGAAAGCTCTCCAACACGGCGCTCAGCACGAGCACTAGCGTCACGGGCGTCGTCACGTCCACGTTGTTCCTCTTCAACCATGAGTTGCAGGTCTTTCACTTGTTGCTGGAGTTTCTTGACATTTTTCTGGAACTCTTGGTTGCCCTGGATTTTAATAGAATCTTTTAGTCAAGGTCCATATGATGAAACGCTTGAATGTTCGGACTTACCCGCATGAGATTTTCACAGTTGTTCTCAAGTTCAATGCAGTCACTCTCAAACTTCTTCCTGAGACGGGCCTGTAAGAAAAATATCMATTAGAACTGATTTCAATTGGCTGCTAGGATTTTCTCTCAAAGGTGAATATTACCTGTTCATTCTTGGCCTTAACTTCGTTATCAAGAGATCCTTGGAGAGCATCAAGTTGGCGTTGTTGGTTCTTCCTGAGATTGTCAATTTCTTCATCTCGGTCAGCAAGCTTGCGCTCGAATTCTTGCCTGAGTTGGGTTAACTCAAGTTGAATCTTGAGGACCTTTCCTTCCTCTGCCTCCAAAGCACCTTCGGCTTCCTATGAGACAACAAAAATTTAAATGTATCTGTCCAATTACAGCACCCTGCTACATTCCTGCCATCCCTTACCTCAACAGCGGTCTGCAATTCTTCCTTCTCCATCTCAAGACGTTTCTTCAGTTTGCCAAGTTCAACAACGCTCTTGCCTCCCTCGCCAAGCTGGTCACCCAAATCAGCAACCTCGCCTAGATAATGAAAATAGAATACAGTCAGTTAMGAATTTGAAGCAGGATAACGTGGTACACTGACCTTGAAGGGCTTTGTTCTCTCGTTTGAGTGACTCGAGGAGCTCRTTGAGTTCGTCGTTTGTTCCTTTGAGTCTATACATCTAAATAAAGAAATTTGAAATGATTGAAAAGAACAAGTTATAAACAAAATTGTTTGTTAAGCTTAATACCTCAGTGGAATAGTTTCTGGCTTCTTTCTGGGCCATGTCCAAGTCACTTTGAACTTCGTCAAGTTTGGCTTTCCATTCATTGATTTCTTGGTCGATYTTCTTCTGCCGTTTCTCTAATGCAGAGTTATTGGTAGTAGCCTGTATAGAMAAAGGGAAGGTACATTACAGTTGAATTTTTGACAATTGCCTTTCGGTAACCAATAAGRCACKAGTTTGAAGAAACGATGATTCATTTACCTTCTCCAAGTCAATGATAGCATCCTCAAGTTCACTGTTGAGYCTGTTCTTGGCTTTCTCAGCACTGGCGGCTTTAGTGAGGGCAGCATTCAGAGCTTCCTCCGTTTCTGAGAGCTTAGCGGCCATTTTTCGCCTTGAATTAATGAATTGATGACATATTAATCACAAAACACGACAATCATGCATTTCATTGGTACTTGTTCAAAGTAACAACTATCGATACATAAAGRCTTACTTGGCATCCTCAAGTTCTTCAAGTTTGGCTACTCCTTCTTGCTCGTATTTGTTTTTCCATTGTTGAAGTTCTGTATTAGCACGAGAAAGTTGTTTCTGCATGTCGGCTTTGCCATCTTCGAGTTCTTCAAAGTTTTCTTGAAGTGTGTCATAGTCTGCCTCGAGGTTTTTCAGTCGATTGGCAGCTTCTGCTTTCGCCTGGACAAGATTTGGCAGATCAGTTAGAAAAGACATTTCATTGAGAGCCTCAATATTTGTGGCTTGTATGGTTTTGATAACTGATTTACAATGTAAAACTGAAATTGAATAATAGCCTGACGAACMTCCTAGACATAGCAAGGAGTTGCATAAGTATCCGAACATTTTTCTGTAAGATGCGATAATACTTACGCGCATTTCGTCTTCAAGCTGTTTCTTGAATTCTTCTAGCTGTTGTTCGAGGTTCTTTTTGTTCTTTCCGAGTTGCGAATTTTTGTTTTCGAGTTCCTCGACAACTCTGCCCAATTCGGCATTTTCTTGAGTGAAACGTCCTCTGACGACTTCGAGTTCACTTATTGTCTTTCTAAATTCATCRTTCTAAAAGTAAAGATCATCAGAGGATCACAATTACAGTAAATTGGAATGTGTAATTTAAAAATGACGAGATTAAGACGCGATTAAGATTGACAAACCTGTGATTTAGCTTCATTGAGAGAATCGTTCAGGGCGCGGTTATTTTTTTCTGCTGCTTGCTTTAAGAGAAGTTTACAAAAAAACAACATTAATCAATAGAGTACAAAATTGGTAACTACAGCATAGGAATATAAATGACATACTTTCTGCTTCTGCAAAGTTTCCACGGTAACAGCGAGGTCATCTCCTTCGTTTTGAAGCAGGCTTTTTTCTTTTTCGAGTCTAAACAAATGCAATATCACTGCRATTACGCGCGATTTGTGAAATATATCAATGAACAATAAGATTTTTTTTCTTGTAATCTAATGTGACTCAGATGATCAGATAACATTGCGTGACAACACCATTTTCCCAAGCAGATATCCACTTATCAAAATGAATTGCAGCATCAAAAGAATCAAGTGACTTTCCCTTATTTCGCTTTTTGGTTCCCACATTTTTWTTCTTTTGAAATAAAGGARAATACTAAAAAAAATGGAAATAATGAATCAGACTTATCGCAAGCAAACGAAAATATGCGATATATGCAACTATCGGAACGGCCAAACCTTCTTGGAAAATGATATTAACTTCCTTTGGAAGAGATATCTCCTAGACAATTTGCAAATATTCTCACAAAGATCACACCTATCTTAACAGGAAATGCAAATGTGAAGAGGAAAATTAAAAAAAGAGACTATTTAAGGTTCAATTGAGGATGGAAGATGCTGCAAAACACTATACAGGCTTCAAATGTTCAGTGTTTCTGTTCATTAAAAAAAATTCAACTTTGATTTCGTGGACCTCCAACAATGCAACTACTTAATGGCGGATTATTGAGATAAAGATTTGTTACACTTGGAAATTTTATCCTTCGTCCACGATATCTTAAACAAACAATTTAGCGCAAAGTTACAAATGACTTAGCATACAAAGTGACGCACGGAAAAAGTTTCAAACAATAAAAGATCCAATCGTGTTACAAAATCAATACTTTATGCTAATAAAGGTTAATAAATGGTTAACCACACGCCATTATTTATTTACCGTGCACCTCGACGAAACGTCATGTATACCTGGGTTAGTTTTGGGGTCAAGCGTGACTGCGTAATGGGAATAGAAATACTATACCAAAGCTGCTCTGTCTACGATTTCGTAATTCTGCCAAAGAAAATCATCCAAATCGATTGGATTTCTAGTTTTTATAGACTTACTTTTGTTTGGACTTTTTGACGTTGTCCAGTTCATCCTGCATTTCTTGTAGAGCTTGGTTTTGTTTGGCGCGCATGCTATTGACAGTCTGTTCGTTTGCTAACGCTTGCTCTTCTAAATCCTTTCGGAGTTTGACAATGTCTTGTTCTCGTTTTTTGTTTAGATCCATCTGCAAATGGACCAGAAAAATGATGAGCAATTCATGAAGATAAATTGCATCCGCCGCATGCTAGAATARCTAMAATATGCAGAAGCAGGAATCGTTTGGTTGACCTAGGAATCWTGTATTCGGACTTGTAAACACTCGAAGGAATCAGCATGCGTTCGAGTAAGTATTGTCATTTAAAACTACCAAAATATAGGTTTATTATGTGCTATACACTTCTCTTCGACGTTGCATTAATTCTGAGAGTGCATAATTGAGGATTAACGCCTGGTTTTTCTGGAATATTGAACAGCTCCCATAGAGACTACTTGGTTGGATACTAAACCAAGGAACCGCCCTTGACATTCCTACGATATATATACGAGCCTCATCTAGTCTTTCACAAGAAAACGATGCTATTTCTTACTATTCTGGAGATCGAATGATGGTCAACTTCAGTATCGCTATCCCACATCTTGAAAATGCCTAAGTTGGACGAGCAGCTTTGCTATGGTTCATTGACAACAGAAWTAATACCGTGAACACAGCAAAGGATGCTGGTYCTTTACAACACCCAAAATGCATTGCGCTGTGATGCAACAAGGAGTGTCTGTGGTATTGCATTGCTTGCATAACGTTCGTCAGCTGTCTTTACCTGAGCTGCAGTTGCACCGCCAGCTTCGTCAAGTCTGTCATTCAAGTCATCTAGTTCTTGTTCGAGTTCGTTTCGTGCTCGTTCGGCCTATGAAGACAAAAGAGCTATAATGTAACACATCTGTAACAGTTGATTTCATTGATCTTAACAGAAATTGTCCTTTATAAAATACATCAGCAACTGCTTTTGTATTTATGACGAAATATGGAGTTGTAGCATATTAGCTAGTAAAAGTAAAATTAATCGTTCAATTCTTGTGGCCAGTCAGTCATCAATCATAGCATTAGATTCCATTTCCTAAAAAGTTCATGACCCAGTTGTCTACCCGCAAATCGTTTGACACAGCAGTCAGTAACATGAATATTTAGAATGGAAGTTGAGGTCATTCAATTTCAATTCATTAAATCAAACATATTTTAAGCTAGGTTCAACAAACTTTAAAACTTTCGCATGTTATTAGTAGACATTTAGGATATATGATATGCACTACTTCCTTTTAAATTGTCACTCGGGATGTCAAAATAATTCCATTGATTGTCCAAATTCCACAGCTACTTGTTGAATGGGATATGTGCGTTTTTGATGCAATCAATATTGATTTAAGATAAAGTTTGTCGTGTTCAAATCTGTAGCCAGTGACCTTTTTGGCTAATATTTGACATTTTTCTAACTGCAGCTACCACTACAAATCTGGAGCCTGGGAAATGCAAGTGACGTGACTGATATTGTTTTAGAACTTTCGTTTTCTWAGYGTTGTATAGTAGCTTTTACCTTGCTGCGGTTGTTTCTTTCATTTTCTAGTTCTTCTTCAAGTTCGGCGATTCGGGCCTGTAATTGAAAAGATAGCAAGTCAAAATCGACTCCAAAAATAAAGATGTCATTAATAATCAATATGAATATCATAACCATCTCATCAAAGGTCTACCCAACTTAATATTATGAAAGAGCTCATAGACTCTGTACACGCTTGGTAAATATGTGCTTTCTAAACAAGCCGATGGTTTTCCACGGGAATTTCGCATCGTACARACATTCAGCAAGTACTTATAAGAAGATCATTAAAAACTTTCATCGTAATTCCAATTCAATAGGAAAGACAACTTGGAAAACTCCATGACCATCAGAATCAAAGATAAACATACTTTAAAGTTATCAAAACACAGGCATCAAATATCACACATCGATACAATATTTGATTTATACATACTGAGTAGAAATTATCAAAAGATGAAGATTTCTTATTGGACATCATCGTATATACAAGTTAATATTCCAAATTAGATTTTTTACCAAGATGCCTCACAAAGCTCCGGTTTATGCAAATGACTAGTAAGACAGTAGTGACAATCACATAGGACCACAAAGGTGTGGCGATTGTTAGTGACATGATAGGAATAACTTATTTGACGAAAACATTAACCAATACACGCAGCAAAAAAWTTGATTTATTACGGCTGTTATCAGTAAAAATCATATCTATATCTGTACATATACTTGTCTCAGTCACTAGAAGCCATAATTTGTTGGGTWATGTCAAAAAAAGAAAGTGCGCGGTACTCCCCMAAAAAATGTCTGAAACGTTCTAAAAATAACAGTTCATGCAAATGGCTGCAACGCTCCCCAATTGGCAAAGCGAAAGGATTTCTTCAGCACTATGACGAAAGAAATACAGACTTATTTTGGTATTGACTTTCCGGTTACCAGCTATATCTAGAACGATATCACATGTCCCATTAATTGTCAAACACTTGTTTAAAATTCTGAACATTTTTTAAATGTGTAGACAAGTCACACAATGTCATTCAGTCGGATAGATGTCCGGTTAATATGATRTTTCAAATGTCTTTTCTTTTTCTGGCTTGTTGAAAAACATATTTTGTTACATTTGAATATTTTTATAGTAATCGAGCCATAATACTAGAGTAATGACCGACAAACAGAGTCAACTGTTTGTAAAACACTTTACTTCCATCGAATTTTGTAATTACAGCCACTATGTCGCGTCAACATGGCGGCTTAACAGTTCCTATGGAAACATTGACGTCAAAATGTTGGGGATTTGTAGCTTTATGAACTGAAATATTTACGGAGATTCATTCATTTTAACATTTCATTGCTATTACTTTGCAACTAAATGGCGTTGAGAATACATAACTAGAAAACGAGTTGGTTCGATAAGACTTMCGCAATGCACATTTAAGCGCTAATAAATGAATTCGTTGATTGTAGTTCTTACCTCGAGTTGTTTGATCTTTTTCTTTAACTGTTCGATGAGAGATGATTGGTCGTCTATTTTTGAATTCAACTGAGAAATATTTTGGTCGCGCCTACGAATAGAAAGAAAATACAAGATCGATTCAGGCGTTGGTCTACAGTTACAKAAGCCACGGTTTCTACATAAGGCGCTTCCTAAAAGACATTTGTAGGAATTCATTTTGATAGAAATGGACTAAATAAGAGCTGCTTCATCGATCATCTCTTAACAAAGAATTCCTTGCGCGCTTTTATAAGTGTGTTCAAGGGTTTACAAACGCAAGTAAAGTAATGTTCTGAGCACTCTTAAAGATAGTCAAGGACAATGTGTACCAAGGAGACATTCCAAGACAAAGGCATACGTACTTTTTGACTTCTTCCTCGGATTTTTGTTTCGCTGCCTCGACTTCTGCAAGAGTGTCTTGTGTTGACTGGAAAAGAACAGGTGTCATATCAATTTCAATTCATGGAAAGTCAGGCTAATCAAAACTTGAAATTCTTACCTTGAGCTCACCCTCAACCTTTCGTTTTACTTTCTCGACATCTGCTCGGAGTTTCTTTTCTCTTTCCCAGTTCATTTGTGTCTAATTGGAGGCAAAAATATAAGTCAGKTTAAAGAATAAAGATCCATCGTAGTTGTTGTTTGAGAGAGCTTACCTCGTCGAGTTCTTGTTCTAATTTTGTTTTAACTTTGTTAAGATGGTTAACTTTGTTTTGTTCTTCTTGTAATTGGTCCTCGAGTTCCTGCAAATGCAAAATTACACGTTGAGTGGAAAACTGCCTTCACCTTTTGTCTCTTTTATCGTTGTATCCCTTCACTGGGAATTCTAAAGTGAATGTTGGTCTATTTCCATCATTGAAGTTACTAACCGCGCACTGCTCTTCGACTTGCTTCTTCTGTTTAGAGACCTTTGCGATAGCTTCATCTTGTTGTTGCAACTCTTCGTTGAGCTGTTCGATATTCTTATCTTTTTGCTTGCCCTCTTCCTCAGCCTAAAACAAGAGTTTGTCATTGATTATTATAGAATATTTGCGCTGCTTGATTGAAAACCCGTTATACCTTTTTGAGAGCGCTGTCGAGTTCTTCGATGTCTTGTTTCATTTCGGATATTTCAGATTCTAATTTATGTTTTACATTGGAGAGCTCGGCGCTGGCGTCTTCCTCATCTTCAAGCTGGTCTGACATTTCTTTCAGTTGAGCTTCGAGATCGTTCTTTTTTGCTTCTAACGCGGCGGCTCTTTCCTCGGCGTCTGCGGATGCATCTTGCTCCCTCTCTAAATCTTGGAAAAGCTGGTTTTTCTCTTCAACAAGTTTGGTGTATTTTTCTTCGAGTTCTTTTCGCAGTGCCTCTTCCTTGGCGGCTTTCTCTTCGATTTCTTTCAACTGTTCCATCTTCTGTTTCATCTCTTCGTCAGCACGTGCAACTTGAAGTAGAGGCTTCACCTTTGTATACAGCTTCCACCAGTTCCAGTTTCTCAGGTACAGATACTTTCGGACGTTTCTCTGGATGACTGAAATTCCGATTCTGGATAAAAAAGAATTGAGTTCAGTTAATTGAAAACAACAACGTAGCTTGAAAAAGATAAGTGACCACAATGAATAAGCATTTCTTTCGTTTACCTCTGGTCGCACATCTTGCGATACTCCTTTCGCATAAGAAAACCTTTGCAGTAAGCTTGGAACATAGAGATGATCTTTGCAAGTCGCTCATCACGCATGTCTTCAAGTTGACCCAAAACACCAGCTCTGAAGAACACTTTGGTTGTACCAATTCTGTACTCATTCTCTTCAAGAGTCAAGGCTCCAAGCAATTTCTCGCATGCCTTTTTACCATCCATGAATTGTCCGGAGCACGCAGTAGGTGCAAGGATCTGGTATCTAGAAAGAATGTCATACACATTGTACGTCATGTGCTTTCAAATAACAAGAGTGAAGGATAACAAATCCAATACCTCTGTTTGAATTCTTGGAAGGGAATTCTGTTGGGGAAACCTTTTCGGCAGATACGRATACCCTCAAGCACACCGTTACATCTCAGTTGGTGAAGAACCAAGTTTGTGTCAATTACTCCAGCTTTTTTCATTTCGTTGGGGATGATGCAACGAACGAAGTGAGGAGAAGTTGAATAAAGGGTGTCCATCAACTTGTTCAGTTGTTCCTTTTAGTTAGGAAGGCCAAAAAATATTAACAAGAATAATACTTGTTCAAAAATTGCTTTCTTTAAATTCTTGACTTACCTTGTGTTTGGCACTGACAGTCATGAAGGAACCACCTTTTCTGCTGTGGCCTAAAGTCAAATTCAAAAATATTGCTCTCCAACTGCAAACGGTACCCCAATGAGGTCAAAAATCATGCTCTTGCAAGAACAACAAAATCGTACACACAAAAAGCGGCACCTCAGGAAGATTCTTTGGAAATTAACCCACAGTAATAATGCAACAGAAGCACGTGCATATGTTGCCAGTTTTCCTTCTCTAACTTACCTTCAGTTGCGTAGTCTTTCCACAACTGGGCAATGAATGGATCGCCAGACTTGGCGAAGATTCCAGCCACGGCTTCATTTATGGGGTCCTTGTTTTTGTCCAGCCAGCTGTCAATGTTATAACCTACAGTACCAGCGTAATGGTGGATCTCGAAGTGGTAGTTGATGGTCTTCTTGCCACTGATCTTTGGTTTACCAAACTTGACTGATTTACCATCATGAGTACTCATGAGTTTGCTCAAGAGAGTTTGATCAGTTGCCTTGGGTACGATGCACTCCTCCTCAAGGACGGCAAAAATACCAGTTCCCTATAAGTAAARCACAAGTGTGTTTTGGAAATATAGCCATAAATCACAAAATGAATTCATGTACAGTAACAGTCCTTTGTTAACCGTGCAGTGACAGTTTCCGCAGCACTTTACCTTTGCAAAGATGAGATCAATGGTTGGAAGCAAATCAAGACCAAAGTCGATGAACTCCCAATGGATACCCTCTCTCTTGTACTCTTCTTGCTCCAGAACGAACATGTGATGGTTGAAGAACTGTTGAAGCTTTTCATTTGTGACGTTGATGCAAAGCTGCTCAAAAGAGTTGAACTGGAAAATTTCAAAGCCTGCGATATCCAACACACCAATGAAGAAGGCACGTCTGTCCTTGGTCATTAGAGTCTGGTTTGCCTTGTCGACAAGCCACAAGAACATTCTTTCGTACAAACTCTTAGTCARTGCACCAATGGAGTAATGAACCTGAATTAAAACAGTTTAATGATAATGACAACATTGACTCTACTGATTGAAATGGTTAGACTTTGAAGAGGAACTGGMATTCTCCTTGTACTAAGTAAATGATTGATATTCTGGAGTCCCACATTTATAATTAGCAAAGTGATTATATGACTTCACCTGTTGTACGTTACGTCCTTGGTTAACATATTCACGTCCGACTTTAATTCTTGGTTTGATGATGTTCTTGATGAAATCAGCTCCAGGAAGCTTGAGCAAGAATGAAACCTTATCGAGATCTACAATTAAAAAGAACCCAGAAATTAATAAATACGGATCTCAAACTGAATGTCGTCAGGATATTAAGAATTATCAGCAAAATCAAGTACTTCTATATTAATTTTATATGTTTCCATTCGGTTTCACACCTTTCGGGTCAGCAACTTCTGCTTGTTCTTCTCGTGGTCTTTGCTTGAATTTCCCATTTCCCCAATGAAGACATGCAGCACAGATTTTGTACATGCTAATCTTTTCCTCTGGAGTGAAGCCAAGAGTGTCGGCAGCAACCTAGGGAGCAGAGAAATTGACGAAGATTAAACCAATCACTATTTGCAAATCTGTAAGCCACATCTAGAGCAACCTACAATAGCAGAAAAGGACTAAATCATGATGTAATTAGGTATTTAAAAATACCTCAGTATTATGGAATTCCTCTACATCGTCGATACCCTCAGCAATTTCTGCTCCTTTTGCGAGGAAAGCGTATTCATCTTTCCTGTTGCTGTCCAGCAGAAGATCAGCTACAGATGAAAATGAGATTTAATTGCAATGACGTCACATTTAGACTAAGTGATAGCTGGGGATTGGGTCGATTCAAAAAAGGGCGCAAAGTGGGGAACGTTGTAGCTACATTTAAGCTGTTTACAGATGAAGAGAAACATCTTGTCAAATCAGCGAAGTTAAAAGGTATGCCATTGTTTTATTATTATACACATCTCCAYATTCGCATTTCTCACCATGCAGTTCTTTTGATCCTCCTTTGAGGATTTGGTAGAAGATGTGATAGTTTCTCTCGATTTCTTGCTGGAAGATCACACGAGATTTTTCGAGCAGATCTAAAAAAATAATAAAACCAATATGTTGACAATAACACAACTTAATGCATGTTGCAAGTTATAAGCTACTACTTCCAAGTTCAGAGATTTATTTTACAAAAGGCCCTAGATTGTCATAAATTCCTAACTCTTACATTGTTCAATGTCGGCTCCAGCCAGTTTTCCCTGGGGTCCAAAGTGACAACGAATAAACTTTCCCTTTTGAGAAAATACAAAATATTATTTAATCAACAATTTCAATACTTTCATTAGACATAGTGGTAAATGTAASCTAAGTTAAGGCAACTCAATTGTGTATAAACTGTACTTACGAATCGAGAGGAGTTGTTGTTTCTGATAGTTTTGGCATTGCCGTAAGCTTCAAGAATAGGGTTGGTTTGGATAACTTGATCTTCAAGAGAGCCACCCTATTTACACCACAAACAAGAGTTAGTAAATCCATAATATGAATTAAAACAACTGAAGTTTACTTCCAACAATATAATCATTTAGACTAGCAATACATCAGGTGTTAGCTAACCGATTTTTTCTCGTCTTTGTGGGAAAGTCCTCCTGACACATGAGCCAGGTATTGGATGACTTTTTTCGTATTTTCTGTCTTCCCTGCTCCAGATTCACCACTGGAAACAAAAATAACAAAATAAAAATACTTTATATAATAGTGAATTAATGACAAGACAAATGACAATYATCCAAGCTGAACTCTTTCAAGTTCTTTTCTTTTTGTTGTTGTTTTTCAAATTAATATTTGTCATTAACTATACAATATTTATCAGTATATTCAGAAGGATGTGCACGTAACTACACAAATGCATTTCATAGAARGACAGGATATAAAGATTGAAGAAATTTTATTTGCAGATAAGAATTAATCAAAAGTAAAAGAGAAGATTGGTTCAGCTTGAGTGATGCTCTTTGTCTTTTTGTATATTTTACATTTGCATGGCATTTTTGCAATCAGGTGTTTATGACACAAAAATAGTAAAATAAAGAAAAAAACTGGTTAAAAGGTTTTTTTGGAAATGTAAAAACTAAAATATCCAGTTCTTAGCATGCACAAATTGTATTAGCTAATTATAGGTAAAATATGTTAACACAAATTCTTCGAATGGGAAGGTTCATTTCATTTCTTTAGATAGTTAATTAGCACCCATATTTTCTAAGTGTTTCATTGATAGTCAAATGTCTTTCTAATATAATGGTTCACTTCACAAGGCAATATTGAAGTAAATAGAGTGCATTTTCACGCAGGAAATGTATTATCTTAACACAAAGAAGCTGTGAACAAAGGCACAATAGATGCTAAATGACTTAATAACGATCTAAAAGAATTATAATCAACTCCAGGGATTGTTGAAGATAAGTGAGATTCATGGAKTCACAGTTGTGCATGTAGCTTAAATTAAACAACATWTTCCAACCACACAGGGCTTGTCAAAGCAAAATCTAAGTATGCATGTTTCAAAGAGCAAACAAACTCACTGAAAGTTCATTTGAAATAAACACATTCATGCACATTTCTCAAATTGCCCTAAAGTCATTAATATTGCTGACCCTTGTATTATTTGTATACCTACAGCAAATTCCTTATCGGTTATTCTAAACACACTTATGATTATTAATCAGTTTAACATTAAGTGAGCTGGACCTCTTAATCAGTAACATACTCACGTGATCAACATAGACTGGTTTTCACGATCTTGCAACATGTTTTGGTAGGCATTGTCGCAAATAGAGAAGACGTGTGGTGGCATCTCATTCTTCCTCTTTCCTCTGTATGCAAACACAACTTTGTCTGTGTAGATTGGGAGACGGCGGTAAGGGTTGATAGCAACACAAAAAAGCCCAGAGTAGGTCTAAACAAAAAGTTTGATATGAAAGTTGTTAACCTTGTGTATAGTAACATGAAGGTAAATATTGTCTTTGTCTCCCTGTAATTTGTCAAATGTCTACTTAAAAATGGTAAGCAGTTATTAATATAATTAACTGTGAATAAGAATATGATTATGGGATAAGTTAAATAAGCATAATCAAACAACTGATATATTATAATAATGTATATAATTTACCAAACATATGAAAATTCATTTATTCCTTGCAAATACTTCTAGAAGTTTGTGTTATATAAGATACAAATATGATAATTTTTAGACTTTTTTGACATCCTTTGGTTTACACTTCTCTTGTCAAGATTTAATTGTTAAAATCATGTAGGCACACTGTCAAAGAATGACTAAAGAGATCACCCGTTGACATTRTATTTAATTACATGGATTTGACCTGTTGTATGGAGTAGTGGAGAGGCTTGTTGGTCTTACTAGGGTAGTTATAATCCTTCAAAGGCAGCTGTTTTGCAAACGGGACTGAAAAAACTCTGAATCTATTTAACTATATACTCTCAGGCAGTACCATTTTAACTATAAAATACATAAAAACAAAAAGCTTTGTTGGAACTTTGGATTCAAARCCGAAAATACAGGACATGAAAGACTGGAATGTGAGCCGACCATCCCTGTCTGTTCTWAGGTCGACTAACAGAGAACTATATTGCATRWTTTCCAAGTTTAAGGAATAATCTGGGCTTTATCATGTAGAACAATCGTTATATTATACAAATTCAACGAGGAAAATTAAACAGTTTTGCAATTTATTGCTGCACATGGGAATCCTTTCCCGGCATAATGAGCTTAATCCCATATATGGGTAAAATATTTTAAACTCCAGTTTTGACCGGAGAAGGTCATGTACTCTTATGAAATATGGTCAGTTACCCGAGTAAAATTTACGTTCAATCACATAATTTTATACTTAACACCTCATGCTAACTGGAAGATTGTTTAATAATTTGGAAGCCGAATGTTTTGACGGAATAACAATAGTTTTCTCGCGATGGAAGAAGCTGCTCATTCAACAGCTGTGACTAGAACTAGGGTGTGATAAGTACCTCTCCGTCAAAATACTATTTTATTACATTAAACACAAGTACAAATTCCTTTACAAATCCTTTTGTAAAATATGAATAAATTTGTACGGTTAGATGCAATTATTTCTGTCCATTGGGACACATAAAAATCTCTAAAGAATATCCTTTTATTCGGCTAATCGTTGTGGTGAGAATCAATTTATTAGCAAAGAGTCTAACATTATATAATCGACAATCAGTTAACGACTAAAGTGAAATTTTATCCATCTTCACCAAAATCTGTGCTACTGATAACATAGACAAAATCTCTAAATCTGCATGCTTAACTCGATTATAAAGCCTGATTACAGTATGAGAAAGACAGTTTTGGGGTGGTATATGAGGCTACACCTAAAATGCCGGTCTGCTTTGCCGGTACTGTTGCAGTAATGACTGCAGAATCAGTTGTAAATATACCTGAGAAAACCTGATGAAGGGACATCGTTCCAGGACAATGACCACCAATTATGGATGCACTTAACCATGAAATAACGAATTTAAAACTATTACATGCATTGTAGAAAGGCCAAATAGCACAACCCTAGAAACTGAATGGGTTCACTTTTCCAAGTATTTCTTATCAATGGTCAGCAAGTTACTCGTAAAAGTGTTTAGGAATGCTTGGCTGGGACGTTTGTTTGAATATTGATATCCGAAACACAAACACAAAACAGAATTCTTTAAAGTTAAGGCATGCATGAATACAATTAAGTATGGGACTTAAGAACTATACAAACACTGAAATGTTCTCAGGGTCGGGTTTTGTTAATACCAGATTTTAAATCTTCCATTATATTTCAAGACATCGGTGATCATACGATCATCAGTAGTATTATAGGCTATCATGGGGTTAACATGGTTGATTATTTACTCACATAAATTAGACCTCCAAAGTATCTCTGCTTTAAATTATGGATAACGCTAGCTTCGTTGAGGTATGTCAAGTTTGCCATGTCCTCTGTCTTCTCGAATTTCGGAGGGTTCATCTGTTCCGTGTTGTCCTTTTTCACGGTCTCTTCCTACAGAAGCAGCATTATGAAAATGGTCAGATCCGTATTTGGGACATATTTACGATAGGCAAAGGAGCATGCAGCTCTGAACACTATAATACTCAATTATGAATATCATTATGTCACACGGTTATACATAAACACTCCAGTATTACTACAACTGGACGCAGCTGTTGAAGGATATTACTAAACTGAAATACATTAGTATATTTTAATCGGTGGACTTACTTTGCCATCGTTGGTCTCAACCACCAATGTATCTCCCTTGGTACTTTTAACCTCAGCAGCTTTGTAGCCTTCCTTGGGATCTGATATCCAAACCCATTTCTTGGCTTCAAACTCCTTGTTTGCTGCTAGTAGAGCCTTCTTGTCGACTCGTAGCATAGCCACGGGATCATTTTCGTCCTCCATCTCGTCTAAACACTAGACTTAAGTTAGATGCCTTAAGAAGAAAAGTCGGAGAAGTTAATCACACCGAGTTGCCTGCACAGCCACTATGTGTCTTGCAGAAGCGCTTGCCACTCTGTGCTGCGTCAAATTAGCTACGGTACTCCACTATAAGTTCATCTAAGCCACTCCCATTACAGTCTTTTACATGACAGACTCGCCGATAAACTATTTAGGTAACGTTAGAAGTCTATGATTGGTCAGTTATATCAGTTAGCCTTTTGTTTTTGACAYCGAAGGGTTTATTTTGTCACGGTAGATCAAGCATTTTTGTTCGACCAAACAGTCACACTCATACCACACCTATTGTTCCATGACTGAAATGACCAATGGAGCGTCCGATTACTGATCGGATTTTATCTTTCATCTTACTCGCGTGTGATTTGCTATCAAAAGTCAAATAAATGTGCAGATAAATCCCCTCTTTTGATTAAAATATTATTGCAACAGAACTAAAAAACAACCCTGTTATTTTTGAAAAGGAATTTGGCTGGTAAAAAAATAGTGTCAGCTTATCATTTAAATCATTGTAAATACGGTTTCAGTGCATTGTCCGACACAATCCAAGAACATTAGATATCTGAAGGCGAAGCGACTCATGTGTTTTTAAATACTCAATTTTCTACCTGGAAAAATGATCAAAGTGAGAAATCATTGTTTTGAGATACTTAGATCATCAGTCTATCGCAAATATAACTTGCATAAATTCTGTTTCAAGAGGTTTATTGGCAACAGAAATCCATGTACAAGTTGTGCAACATAATAATCATTCAACCTTACTAATTAGCATAGATCTGTACAATGCTTATGATTGACACYAAGTCAGRGGTCAGATTTGACAACGGAAGAAAAGAGTCCAAAAGAAGGACGCTGTGGCGTAGATCCTACTTATCCGCAGGACTTTGAGAGCTGCACTTGAAGGGGTAGATTAATCACAGCACAACTTTGCCATGACAAATCAAGCAGGGATAAAAAAGTTAACGTTTAACGATTGAACCCGCACAGTTTTCAAACTCGTCACGCAATGTTGTGACCAGGAGATTCTCGCTAGCCTGAATCCTCAATCAGTGTATTTTCTATTTGACTTTCCATGGATTGTATTATCCCAGCCATTAGTTAAATTTGATATATACAGTTGTAGTAGTTTTGTACTTTTTTTTAGTTTTAAATTGTTTAGTCGTAATAACTTCAAAAGAGGCAGCAATTCACCTGCTTTAAATGACATTATTGCACGAGAAAGTCGAACTTTTGACCCTTGGTTTGTTTCATACTGTGCTTTAAATATTCCTTTGGATTTGGATTATTTGACATCGTTATARATATAACCGCAAGACATCACAACTATCTTTTAATAAGATTTTATTACCTTAAAAGGAACGGTYCTTATATAGGATTCACGATAAAAAACCTTTCACTACTCGATATGAATAGATTCTATCGTGAAAAATATGTTTTCTATTTTCGCTATAAATTTTGCAACTAAATATACAAGAGTAATCGATTGAATACTTTCAAATAATCACTTGAAATAAACTATCTGGGACATACCCTTAATCTCTATCTCCTCGGCAGTTCATATATTCAACAACAGTGAATTAACAGGTAGCAGACTGTAGTCACCCACACAGCTCGCTGCCTGTGAATTGCCAATAACAACTAAATGCTTTTTTTACCCAAATATTCTGTTATACTGCCAGCAAAGTACGCAAAAATCAATTCATAGGTATGATTGCAATAGTTGTATTGTTATATGAGTCAGGAAGACAGCAGTCATGTTTGCCGGCSAACTGTAGCATGGGCGTGGCTATTCCAATTTGTTCTAATAGACAATCTTAGTATAGCTTCTTTGTTTCATACTCCACAATTATCAGATGTATCAAACTATAATTTACCAAGACTTTAATAATTTGGAAATACTATAGAAAGCTAAGCAAGACTTTGCCGGCTCGAGAAGTGCACATAGTTCACTTCGGCAGTAATAAAAAGCTGTTCGAGAAAATCAACATCATTCGTTGTTGCCATAATGTGATCGATCGGCTCATAAAGTCTGCARAGAATTCCCCCTAACAAAATAMCATCAAATTTTTGTACAGTATGCTTTCACGTAGTGTAAATTAAACACAAATGTGCGTTRYATTATTTCGAGTGACTGAATTGACAATGGRACAATCTCCGATGCAGCCTCTTAAAACTCAACCGGMTGCTACAGAGGCTGATAGAGAACCGAAYCTTGATAGTGATGACGTCAAATATCAGCAAATGAGTTGWGTATAAAGTGAGTTCTGATTGGCTGAGGTRCTTTCGCTTAGTGGTAACATCGGGCGCAAGATCAAAGGCATTTCTTAACCTCACTTTGCATTTTAGAAGAAAGAAATATTTATTTAGCACTAAACTTACTCTAAAGCGAGTTCATGCTGTCAGACAACAACAAGTTTTTTGACGCACTAGGACCACTGCAGGCTATTGAGCTTTAGTACCAAGAAKAATGCAAAGCGAAACAAGCTAATGRGATATTTCTCTCATTTCCTTGGCTTKTTAATAGTTGTCTCTACTGTTGAAATATTCAGCTTTAATAATCTCGTCCCTTTGGGTATAGCGAATAATCGTTAAAGTAAATTGATAGCTGTTCTGAGGACAAAGGTATCAAAGGAGATCGAAACAGAATGGGTAGAACAAACACCCGACGTAAACATTAGTSAATTAAAACCTTATAACACACAAATAAACAACATCAGCATAAACACTTAACTTAACTAAAAGTAATTMCTAATTCAAAGAACAAACTTGCCAAATTAGCAAGTAAGCAAACCGTGTGACTACTAAATAAACGTATTGACAAAMAAACATAAACTGAAGAAAAGCAATCAGGCCATGTACTATGATGTTAAATGCCATTCAAATRATGTTATTGATATGGTTTATGACCTCAGGCTAATATTAGCTTATATGAATACAATAGTGTTTAATGCAAGGGCTGTAAATTCGTCGCACATGACGCAGCGTCGCATCGATGGGTTTGTTACTATTATACCTMTGCCAGGTTTTTGCGGTTTCCAAAMATTTCTTACTTCTGTATATTTACTAGCCCTAATATTGGCCACTATTTCCCTGGCAGCATCTCTSATGTCGATCTTCCTAAATTTGATATTATGATGCRTTWATCGCAAGCGTGCGTTTCTGTCGTTTCTCTGAAGACATTTTTATTGACCACACCCAGCTGCAACTCACCCCACCCACTGTCCGTTCGGTGTTATTTCGTATCAAAACAAAARCATTGACGGCTAGCTWTGTTTCAAAGTAACAAGTTTGTTTTTTGACCAAAGYCAGATAAATCCTAAATGACGATCTTCTATCACAGTGAACCACACGCGTGAGTGCAACTRTAGTTCACGAGTGTCAAAGAGCATTTTTTGAATGATGCGTGGTTTTTGTTATTCATATCGCATTATAACATGTTCGAACACTCGATCAGTGATAAATCGGCTCACTCGAATGAACGAAGTGCACACTCAAGATAGACAGAATGTCTTGGATTGGATAACAAAATAGATGACATGCGTTAGCCATGAACACGAACAYTGATTAGAATACAATATACAGACTTCGAAGCAATCCATATGCTTAACGATCTAACGTTCGCGAACATTCGATCAACATATGTATTTGTCTTGTATTGTGATTTTCGTCCTCATCTCAGACAGGCATTGATAGACCGATGGAATCCATGCTCGTTTGTCACTCAGTACACGTGTTCATTGTTGTCAACAAGAYTTTTTACTCCCTTTTAATTTCTATTTTCAAGATTCTTCGAGATCTTTCTTCATTTTTTATTTATAGATTTTGTRTCATCCATGTTGAGTGCGTGATTTTACCTGGTGAATCAATTATAATAACTGGTATCAATGGAGGATGMATGATTAAAACCCACATACAAAATRCTGCRGTRTACAGCATGACAAGTTACATCTGTGACGTCATCATCATTGATAAGAATGCCTGTACAACTAATACTTCGATAACAGATCGCTGAAAACTGCAGTTTATTGTAAAAACAGATTTTTCCATTAACGAATTATCAGCTTATCAAGTTTTCCTTGACGGTAAAACATCTAGACGAACGCGATAGTAGTCTACCGGTGCGATCGCAGTCTACCGGTGCGATCTGTGCAGAAATTGAACTTCATTCTAGATCTGATGCACATAATGGATAATAAAATAGTGATTATCACATAGGAAAAGGAAKCTAATAACGTCTTTAGACGTTAAAAATTACCCTTTCCAATTTATTTATCCACAGAAAACACCATCAATACATTATACATATTACACGATAGACAGCAATGTTCCTGGAAACCAATGGCACGGTCATAACAACATGGATTTTATTGACAGAAGGATCAAAACTACTGCTTTTACACAACGCATTGTATCTTATCAATAGCTCTTTAACGAGCCCATTTAAATCCCCTCAYGTACTGAATGAAAACATGTCACGCGATGACGTCAGGAGGGTTTCGTGACGTAATGCGGTAACGTAGTCAAGTGACACATGACTATATATGGTATTGGTTCCGTTAGCTTTTAAATCCGATTGTCATAGACATCATAGACACCAAGAGAGTTCGCCCACACAAGAATTTTAATCATGTAGGGTCTGAAAACCACCGCGTTGCGTTGGCTGACATAGCCTCTGGAAGGTTAGGACTAGTCTGAATTCAACTTCTGACAGCTATGTCGACATTAATTAGAATTCCATCGTTGCCTGAGTAAAATTAAAGCCAAACGTACTGTCAAAGTGCATAGAATGGTTTTAATWAGTGAAAACATGAAATAGAATGGGACGAATAGAAGAATGAGAAAATCGAAAAGAGAAACAAAATGACAAAACTACCAATAACCACATTTCTTTCATTTTTTGCCAACGAATTCGATATCGGTCCATATTAATTGCATTAAATTAGCACCTCCATATTACGACCACCTCTTCATTTCGGCCTCTGTAGTGCTGGACACCTACATTATTAAACATTTGATATGCGCAAAATTATAGCAGGAAAACTGCGAGTATGTTGATATTTTGTTATAATAGATAACAATACACTTTTTTCCAATTATACGCACAGWACTACATCCTCTTTCATATCACAGACAATTCRWTCCGCCGAACAAAATTTTCATGGCTTCTGTGTAAAAAATAACCTCTGCGATTCAGTGAAGTGTGCTCCTGTGTATTGCTCCCTTTGGTACCAAGGAGACTTGATTAGAAAGGTCTTCCAGGAGTTCTCAAGATTATCGAAGAAGAAAGTATAATCATGATAACAAACAACCAAAAGAAAAGTCTGTCGAGGACCATAGCAAGATATCGCCATTCCTCTTTATTCTTCTCGATCAATCGTCGATGTTTAACGTCATCAGCTAATACCATAACACCTTGACTAGTATTTTCACCGAATGAGTCCTTCGGTTTGTCTTTATTTTGACATGCGCACGGAGGAGTAGTATTCCGGTCTGTTAGTTCAGTCTCTTCGTAATCTTGATTAGCTTCCTGTCCGTTACCAATAAGACGTCGTTTGCTGCTACCCAGTCGACGCTCAAGATCTTTCTTCATTACAGAWATTCKTTTGAATGTTTTCTTGGTAGAAATGTCGTATTTATCCTCCGAAATTGGTCTTTTAACCCCAAGTATCTTCCCGACCCAGCCTAGAATATAATGCTGTACCCATTGAGGAACTGGCACTAGTGCGATGCCAGAATTCATATGGTGAATATGAAGGACATAACATGTAGCAATAAGCGATAGGGCTACCTCAGCCATGACAGTAATGTAGAATAYCCCAAGGATTGGAACGTTTTCGGAGTTTCTGGGTAAGTTTTGAGCAGCGAGTTGCAAGAAAACCGCCATAGCAAGAAGCACRGTGATACTAAGCGTAATCCTCTCACCGGACTCTGGTGGTACGAAAAATCCAAGTAATACCATTCCAGTTATAATCATACATGGAATAATCAAGTTGAACATGTAGAAGAGTGGCTTTCTTCTAAACACAAATTCAATSGTCACGTCGGAGAAAGGATACTTACAGCACGCATAGTGCTCAACATTCCTCGTCCTACTTGCACCAATCAGGTCCCACTCTGCACTCTTAACGTATTGCTTAGAATGTAAAGGAGAATTATCGACAAAAATGTCCAGGTCAATGGTTTCAAATGTCCAGGAACCAAACTTCATGAAACAGGTTTGTTGGTCAAATGGGAAGAAAGTGACGTCAATTTGACAAGTACTTCGAAAAGACGCTGGACTGTACCAGGAATGACCTCCATTGTAGTTCATGATCACTCGTGTTTTGTATTTTTCAAGGCCACCGCTGAACTCACTGTCTGCACTGCAATCAAGAAAGACAACACTGTATGGATGAGTTCTGTTACTTCGTACTGCTTTAATAAGGCCTCTAAGGTCAATAACTGAAGCAGTGAGGCCATAATGTGCTTTAACTTACCTGTTATATAGGACAATGTCAGGAATCCATACTTTGCTTGGGTCAATACGCACTCTTTTAACTCCACCATATTTAGCAGGATCCCATCTTAATAGATAATTGTTCCAATGCTGGAAAACATGAAAACAAAAAAGAACATTCCAAACAATCTGGGTGATTTGAGAAAATGCGACTAGCCAATCAGCGCAAAGCTGACAAGCTTATGTTGTAAACATAACCCTCCGACGGGAGGAATTTGCACAGCAAAACTCGACCCAGTGGAGTAGGCTGTCTGTCCTTTTATTCTATCCGAAAAATCGAAGCTAAAACGCAAAGAGAAATTGAAAATCTTTATAAAATAGCTTTTAAATGYCAATCAAATATTTATCGTTATAGAAAGAGAATTTTATCTTAAAAATGAAAAATACAAATAACTTTTTCTTTAATACCACGAGACTCCCCTCCCTGATAGAAATAATTGTTCTGTGTTCTACGCGGGTTCTCCATTGCATGCGAACCAATGACCGACTTCACGAAGACTTCAGAAGGTCGTTGAAGCGACGTTCAACTCCAATGTATCTTAGGAGGAACCATTGCAAATCATTTTTCTTAGCTCTTGTTTCCTCTAAGCTTTGAGCAGTTTGAGGTATCTACAACATCACTGGAAGAGCTAGAGCAGCTTAGGTCCACGTATTCCAATAGAGTTAAAGCGTTTGTTATTTTTGGTACAAACAACGGTCGTAGTTCATTCTTTGTCGCATTTTCGGCAATATGCCGCAAGCGTGCTCGACGATTTGACGTTATGTAACAGGCCAGTTACACATTTACTAGCTCTGACCTTACAACTAGAGCTAGAACGGTGACTGGGGTTTTTCGTGTAATGTCTTGATAGCGACTGTTTATGTCGAAACGACTCAAAACAAAATTCCATCGTGAAAACAGTTCGACTAAATTCCCTTCTGAAAAATACGTGTGTATTTAAGGTGGAAAATGTTTCATATGAGCATTCCATTCTTAAAGGTTTAATTCTATAATCATTTTGTTTAGTTATGTAAATAAATTTAACACGACTTGTACTGTTTGTCTGAATTAAAGGCGAGATGCGGGTTTTCCCTTTCTTTATTTACACTTTCAAATATGACCGCTTAACAAAAATGCACGGGCTCACTGGCTTACAACCTTGGCGAATTCATATGCAGGCCTGGTCACAAATCAATCACCCAGATGGCTTATCAGCATTTTCACTMAATTGTTCAGGATTCTAGAAATGGGAGGGTGGAAGAACAGGGAGCCCAACATCACGAAAAACGCCTGCGAGGAGACTAACCATTTCTTACCTGTCGAACCCAAACATTTGTCGTTATGATTTGATTCTTGTCATCCTGTGAGTACGGAACGGAAAATAGGTTATTTATATTAAGCGATRTGCATCCTCATTAACTTGCACGGCATGGAAATGTATTTTAAGCCTAACAGAATTATCCTTGTTAAGAGGAATTATCAAAATACACCTAGTTTGCGTACGTCCCCTTCAGCTTATTCTGTACAAGAAAAAGGCTTAGGTAATGGGTGCGGCCAGCTTGGTTTATAACAGGGGCTTCAAGAAAACTCAATTGGATCGTGTCTAGTAAAGCTTAACACTAATTTCACATCGAAATTATATTTAAAAAATGGACAGTGTCCCATTTTCCCAGTTGCAGTAACTTGACTCACCACATTAACGAGTTGAACGAGTTCCAAACTAAARCGAACTCTGCTCATATTTTTGTGAGCGTCAGGGACTGGGTACGCGTCTTTGTTATAGTTTGCCATCAGGGTGTTCAGCAGTATTTGTTCGTTAGAGGACTGGGAGATAGCTGTAAATATATAATATAAAAAATGGTTGGAAAGTATCGATAAAACAAAATATGAAATATAAGAGGACAGAAACAGGTGAAGCYACTATACAATCCATGTGGTTCAAATGGTGAATCTTATCAGGGGTTTCTGCAAGRTACATCAAATTGTGTTTTTACACTGAAATGGTTTGGGTCAGTAGACGATATTTTGAAGGAAGTTATCCTTGTATCTACATTAGACTTTGTTGTACGTAACTTTTTATCATCCTTGATTACACTATGCAGTATCCCTTGAAGACGCCATGGGATATTAACGCTTTTACAATCTGAYAAACTATGACTGGCACTATAAAGTTACAGGTTTACAGCATGAACATCTCTCCAGTCAAAACACTGAACACCAGTTGTGGTGATTGACGTAAAATCATGCTAAGACTGATAGCGTGAAAAACGTCATAATTGTCGTAATGTGCTTCACGACTCTAAATGTTTAATATCTTGGTACTGTGGACCGACTAGTTCAGTCTTCAGTCATTTGCTTTAAGTTTATCTCTGTCTGACAGCTAATACTTTCAACTACAAAAGAGARGTTCCTTTTTCTTCATAAAGGAATGTTTCTATTACTGTCAGGTTGATCTTCAATTGGAATCATACCAGGCTCCATACTGAGATAGTACCGAGCTGAAGTAATAGAATTGGTTGATGAGAATCACATCCTTTAGATTTCGCTGCTACACTACTCCACSTATCAAACATTCATATAGGTCATTTATGATTCGATTTGAATATGCATTATTTGGTCGTGGGTTTTTTTCATAAAAAAGATTGTAGACACTATATTTTTTGTAAAGCATTRTGTTATGGAATAATCTAAAGAAATGTAGCAACCATTGAAGTCAAAAGTAATAATTATTGCCCTTGCTGGATAGGGCCKCATGTGGTGTAAAGTAAAAATTGAAACGATTTCACTTTAAACTAGTCTCAGTTCATTTTGTTTATCTTCTGTACGTATTCACGTTTTGTTCTACTTTTTAAGGTCAGATTTGGACGTTTTCTTATCRTATATGTGCGGAATTGTATCCTCTTAGAGTCAATCACTAACTTACCGAAAGCGGACGCCAAGAAGACCACAAAGATCACCATTGTATTTAAGACTCGTGGATTTTCTCCAGTTAGAGATCTACAAATCAAAGCAAAACACAATGTGTTATAGTAGACTCTTCATATATAGCCAATGTATTTCCTTGTGATAGGGCTGTCAGTCACTAGCTGAACCAGTGTACCAATCAACCTTTTGTCTCATGGCCAAATTGTGTCATTTAATGGGTTTCGACCATTGAACAGCTAAAACTCATTTCAATTTCGTCAAAAATTACGCAAAATAGATATTTGAGACCARCAAAAAATGATTTTTTCTAACCTTATTGGAATTCCTACGGTGCTCATAGAGCTTCAAATACCCATTCCCTAATGACCGTGATCATCCTATTGGAAGACGTAGAACACTTCTCTACAGGACGTTATGTATGTTTAGGTATATAATCAAAAAGAGCCCTTTCTTTATTAATTTGTTTACTTTACTACAAGAAAGACTCGATGGGAAGTCTACCCGTAATCATGTTTGATCCTTATGCCGAAACTTTGTTAAAAACACATTCATTTGATCCAATAAGGTTCCGTTTTAAACCATTTTCCCACTTTTTTGATCCATTTGTTAATAGAAAACAGCAACTATAGCAATCTATGAGCAATCGTATTCGTACCTCATGATGCTAAATGTTTGTCCAAAACAGTAGTTCTATTTACAAAAAATACTTAACCATTCCTCGCTGATCCAATCAAGCTTTTGCTTTAAATGTTGTTAATCCATGTACTTCTAAAAGACTATTCGGATTAATTTGTTTATTGYACGATGTCAACAAACCGATGGAAATGAAATCTTTACAGCTAATTTTCAACTGTTTATTTTCAAATRTTTTCATCTGGCCAAGGTGACCAAGGGACAAGTGTCAGACTAGGGAGGCTGTGAAAAGAGGGAGTGGAAAATCTGAAAACTAAACAAGTTAAAGACGCAAAACAAAACCCTTTTTACCGTATGCACGCGAAGGTCTTTTTTACAATAAACCTACTACGATTGAAAGCTGTTTCTATCGATAAGTTTTAATTACAATATTATTATAATTTTTTACTAAAATCAAAATAAACAAAAATATCATGATGATATGGATTTCATAAGATTTCAATTTGTATTCCTTTGAAARTTACCGAAGAAATTCGTGATATAATGTTTTCAAGACTTAAACAACAAGCTAACAAGTTCCCGTTTTTCATGTGAATATCACAGCATGGCAACTGCAAAATACACTTCTCAAAACTTGGTAATCATTTAAATTTACCTAAATTTGACTTACAGAAAATTGGGACGGATATTACAGCAATAATMATAATATGAATACAAAATATGGACGTCCGGTAGCTCCAGTTTACTGTACATGAATTGATTGGTTTTGAGGAAACGTTTTAAATAATACTGTTGACTCAAGAACCTTGGCAACTCTGCAAAACAAGATCTTTTCTACTAGTTTSACATTGAAGATGRAAAGAACAGTAACTTCAGTTCCCAATTATGGTTTCACAACTATATAAAAAGTCGTAGATTCAAAGAGTTTAATTTGGATTTTACGCCCTGAAATCGACATTACAACAATTTTCTTTTTTTCTTGATCAGATTTTGTCGAAAATTTTGTTTTAATGAAATCAGAAACACTAACTCCCTGCTTTTATTCGACGAGAAAAGAAAATGTATTTCCATGTTACAATTTCTTGTCGAATTATCTCAGTTCAGTCACAGAAGCAATTAATTTACATTTCAAATGTAGCATCMAGCTGCGAACAAATTCCTTTCCAAAATGAAGAGTTTTAAACACTGTATATGTAACTACGTTTTAATGCATGTCAAGTAAACTTTGCTCAATAAATATCTTTTATATGGATACAAGTAAGAAAAGTTTTTGAGATCAATAATACCGTCAATGA